GATATTATAGTAGGCCCTTGCCATTAAGGTAGGTTTTACAAATTGTTTGTTTTTTTTTTTTTTTGAAAAAATACATGAGTATAATACTACCTACAATTTATACACAACCATTATAGAACTCAATACAACTGAAGGCGGATGGAGGGAAGAAGCTTTGTTGCCGAAAATTAAGGTAAACAAATTAAGGTAACAGCCTATATGTGCCCTTTAGGTGAGCAAAGGCCACCTATGTTGGTAGGGCATATTCCACTACGCGAACCCAGTGTGGATTGATAGACCAAATAATAATAAAAAAAAGAAACATACATTGGAAGACTTACTTACTTAAGAATACATTGGCAGACTTCATATTAATGTCATCACATTAATATGAAGTCTGCCGATGTATGTTTCTTTTTTTTATTATTATTTCAAAAATATTAAGGTTCCCTCGCGATGTATTTCTTTACTTAGCACGTAGTAAGTCAGCACTTAAAATTTCACTTAAAAAATACAGCGTATCTAGTTACAATGATGATAAATGAATACATAGTTTATTTAACTTTGGATAAATTAACTTGCCAGCAAGAAATTTGTTACGTCACTTTGACTACAAAAGATCTTCCATTGCTGCTAAGAAGAATGTTAGGGCAATAGGTGAAGCTCTTATATAAGGTGTAACTACCGTCGATTGACAAATGTAAAAATATTAAAACTATACTAAGATTTTTAACACAAAATAATAAGGAATTTCTAATCGAACATCCATCAACTTCGTCCTTCATACAGCAGAACTAAGTAGTTTCATAATTATACAACTATATTGCACCACTACATTATTACTGAACCCTCTAGAACACAATTTATCGTTGCATATACTCCAAAGTACCAAATACAGCAATGAAATCACAAGGCTGAAGCCTTGTCTCTATGAGATACTCCATACATTTCAATTGTATTTTGAACGCATGAATGTAACGTCATACTCATACGTAATACTCATCTTCGCAATCCACACAGTGCAAACAATTAAAGCCGAGCAAACCGGAGTGGGGCGTTTAAAAACCGCGGACAAACGGAATAATTCATCCGTTGATTCAATGAAATCTCGGCCGCCCTTCAAAGCGGATCCAAGTCTGCCGCAGCCCAAGATTTTTCCTGGCCGCCTTGGAGCGTTTTAAGGGATAAGCGTTGAGCGTTCAGCGTAGCCGCAAATGCAAGAAATGGTGCAACGATAATAATATTTTTAAAGGCCTTAAATAAAAGTAAAAATAAAGTTTCGTACTAAAAGCTATATGCTTTAGAATATACGAGCTTAAATTGTGAATACAGGCATTGTGGAAACTTGGTACTAATACAATACACATTGCTCAAACACGAACATTTCATGTAAACTAAAATTAATAAGAAATCTCGTGTGTTCGTTATTTTAAGATTATTTAATTAATGTATAATCTCACCTACAAAAAATTGGAAACTACGGATAAAATAAAATTTGGTCGATTAATGTCGCTGAAGGTCTATGGCCAATCGCTCATGCCTCGTTCCCCGCTTGATTTATATTTGAAACGGTGGAGCGCCAATTACTCGCCGAACTGGAATCATTGCCGCTGCCCTCCACTAATTAATTCCGCCCCTCTTTTAATGTTCAAAAATCGCGGCGTCTAATTAGGTTTTAATTCGTTTTATTGGGCCCAGCAATGGAATAATGGCTGAGCCACTTGCGAACGGCCAAATTCCGCCTGGGACCTCGTGGACGCAGACTTGTTTTATTACCTTTGGAACGGCGGACCTTAATTTTAATAACTCCTTCAATCAGTTCACGGATTAATTCAGTTTTTTTCAGACATTCAATTTTTGTGCTTTTATACGTGTGCGAAAAATATAGGCTTACAGGGGACTCTACAGGTAAGACGATTCATTAAAATTTTCTCAACTAGAACCACAACTCAGTAGACCGTGTCGCAGCTGCCTAGGTATTGGCTTCGCCGTCAGGGTTCGATTCCCGCACGGGAACTATTTGTGCGACCCACAGATAGTACTTTCGCATCTAGGTCCATGTGAAATATATGTTTGTAGAACGTCCTTACAACACAGGATAATGTTATCCTAAAGTGAGTGCAGTGTTTTTAAAGAAAAAAAAAGAAATGAAAGCTTGTTTTATGTATGCTATACCAAGCTCATTAAGGCCAAAACCGTTGCAGTAATTTACATGGCCGAAAAATAAAAAATATTTTTGAAGCACTACTACGAAAATGTCATTTACTAGATCTTGCTGCTTTTATACAATTTTAAGGTATAATTTGGGTAGAATAGGTCTACCCTGAACCCCCACCTAGTGAGAGATTAGGATGGGAGAAAGACAGACGTATGTCCACATGTCGACTATCGATAAAGAAAGATATGTTTACCAAACCAGCTGTAATATATATAGTACCAAAGTGTATGGGACTTCCAAATCTAATGGTAAAGGGTCATCAGCTCCCATTACCAATCGAGAAATAGTAAAAAGTTGTACCGACCTTTTAGGTAAGACAAAAGTGACTTGAGTCTTCCTTAGGCGCCAGCTCCGGAAATTCAACTGATTCCGCAAATTACGGCAACAACTATGCAAGCATTGAGCTGATATACAAAAGGTTTACCTGAAAATCAAGCATGGCTACCAACCATCAAGATCCCATCGAAGCGAAGGTAAAATGAGTAATATCTAATTTGCATCTACCGTCAGAAGTTATTAACTTACCGCCGTAAATAATTGATAAAATTTTCCTTTGCTCTTCGAAGAACTTGTCTATGAAACAAAGGCAGTAGAAAATAAGTTCGACTCGGCACCATCGATCGGGCGACTTTTTCCAGTGATTGGTAATCGCCACGGTCATTAGGAGGGAAGCATTGTTTTTTATCTGGCCGGGGTAATGGCGCGAAAAATGTCGTTAGCCGACCAGAGCGGACGATATTGGCAGGTGACGAGAAGAAATCTGTATTGTTTCCACTAGTCTGACAGATAATAGAACCTACTAATGATAGGAGAATTTAAATTTATCATAACTAATAATTGCTGAGAACCGCTTGCTCCGATCGTAATTTGATACTTATCATATTATACTACAAAGAGATAGTTAGAAGATTAATTAGTAGATATTATTAGTTGTCAGGCGTGTCCAGGGGCTCGCCTATAATTCAATATACTCGAGCAACCTGAGTTCAATCCCCGGTGCCGGCACCAATGAAATTGTTGATTTTAAGTGCTGGCTTATCAGGTGCACTGCGGTGAAGGAAAACCAAGTGAGGAAACCTGCATATTTTCGAAATAATAAAAAAATTATTTCAAATATAGGTGAAATCCGCCAATCCGCATTGGGGCCGCGTGGCATGCCCTGATACCCTCTGTATAGAGGAGGCCTTTGCCCAGCTGTGGGACATGTACAGTATGTTACTTTACTTTTTACTTATTAGCGAACCGTTCCGCACAGCTATCTAAAATAAAATAAAATTTTTTTGTTCAATTAGCTACCAAACTTCACAAGATCACTCTATACTAATCTGAAGTCTGTCTAAAAATTCATCAAAATCGTTCTAGTCGTTTTTGTGAATGTAAAATTAATCCTTTTAACGGATAGTGGCTTACATGTTTTAAACTGTTAAATTTCTTTAACTTTTTTATTTGACAAACATTGTATAAATCTGAATTGCAAAAAAATATATAAACCAACAATTAACAAAATTTCCCGCTTTAAACTAGTGTAGTAGGGCCACGCAACAGTCTTCATGGTCTGGACTGGAATGGACAGGTCTGGCCAGGGAAGTACCACAACCTCACAGAAAACCGGCGTGAAGTAATAGTTCTGCAAATGGCGAGTGAGGTAGCCGGGGCCTACTTTATTAAAAGGCGGCAACTGCCACCCTTCGCAAAAGTCCATGAGCGGCCGTTATCACTTAACATCAGGGAACCGCCAGCTGGCTTGCCACCGTCTCACTAAAAAAAATACAGCTTTATGTAAAAATAACGGTAACAGAGTCCCGAGTTCGAAAAGTGCTCGTCAGAAGGATCCGAAGCGGGGATATCAGTGGCGGCTACACTGCAACTTCGCAAATTAAATATTATTTCTCCTTTGGCGTACTTGCAGTCGGAGGCAGCGGCCGAGTACACCGAGGTTAACTAGTTATACGAGCCTCGGTGCACAAGGCCCGTTTAATATTCGCCGCTGGACGTCTACGATCAACGCTCGAACAATTTCACAACTCGCGCGCGCCTTTGAGCGGTCGCAAACTCCGCGGAGAGAAAGAATATTAAAAAAAAAACACGCGAACGGACCCACAGCTGCAGAGGCTGTACAAAGAGATCGTAATTACATCATCGTGGGGGTCTCACGGAGCGATTGTCTTTAATTATTCAACAGTCCTTTAGGGCGCAACACGGCTTGCCCGACTCCGAATTAAGGCAACTTTTGTATTGACTTTGCGAGTTTTTTTTCGCAAACGGTCCCAATTATCTCCCAGTTAATGAAAAGAGATTCTAATAAACACGCGCGATAAATACAAGATTTTGAAAAATTCTTATGGATATGAAAATTTAAGAGCTGTTTGCTGCACATAATGATCAAAGTTTACATAAAAAAGGTACACTAAATGTGACAAAAAGAAACCGTCAAATCATTCAACATCAATCATATAAAATTTCGTGAAATATTCGATGCCGTGATACGATAAATCTCCGTGTTAATTACATATTCATAAAGTCAAATCATCAAGCTTGTTACCTTTGTATAGTTCTAGCTGTTCTCTTGTGCATGAATTTTAAATCCGCTTTAATGGCATTAATTAACGAACCCGTAAAACGGAAAACAAGGGTCCAATCGCCGAAGTTCATTTATCATCAGATGAATCACACAAGAACACACACGGGAATTATTTAGTGCTTATAATAAATGTATGAACGGGTACACACGTATAATAGACAAAGTGTCAATTCGGAAAATGAGAAAAATCAGCAGCTCAGCGACGTAATCAAATCACCCTCACGGCTCACGTCGTGGGCAATGGTGAGATCTATCTAGACGGCGGTCGTCAACCCTAAGGGATCCCGGGAGGGCGCGTATCGCGGCCGATTCCGCAAATCGCCGCCCGAACGCCTCGAGCGGTCTCCTATCAACGCTCGTAGCAATCCCTGACGCCTCACGCAATCTTAGGGCCGCTTTGGTTCGCTCTTCTGAGTTTTTTTATTATTTTTTTTATTTTAAAACAAGACCTTCGGCTTCGGTTTGTCCCCTTGTTGGTCCCGTGAGTCTTATTAAAGATTACTGCAATTACTACATAATTTTGCAGGAACGCTGGATACAGTGCACCCATAAGGTACCTATAACGGGTTAACTTTAACTGTGTTAAGAGGAAGATCGCCTATTTACTAGTAATAATTGTATTATTCACTTTATATATTGTATATTTTTTTCTTTTAACAAATGCCAATATTACGTTAAGAAAGCTCAAAAAGTTCTACAGTACTCATATTCAAAATCTCGATGGCGCCGTTGCTAAGGCTTCAGCGTCGGTGGTCGTGGGTTCGATTCCCACATGGAACAAGTATTTGTGTGTATTTGTACAGATAAAAAAAGTGTGTGCGTGTAACCTTTACGCGCGATTGAAGTAAAACTTCTTTGGCGTTGACGGCATATATCACTGAAATGATTAAATATTTAGTAACGTCATAAGAATATGTCATATTTTTAAAATATGACATATACTTATGACGTTACTTCCCTCAGAAAAAGCGTTACTTCCGTCAGAAAAAATCTGAGTTTCTCCCTAGTCGCACCTAAAGAAGTTTTTCTTCAATAATAAAAACTGGTACAATTAATCTATTAAACAAAATATAATCAGGCCGCGAATGCCGAAGACGTGGGTTCGATTCCCGCTATGGCGACAAACTTTTAACATAATTATATTACGCAACGTTAAATGTTAATTACCCATATTAAATGAAACTACTTTACGGATTTTATCGCGTTTTTTAATTTTGATTTAAATTCCCGACGTTTCGAACCCTTTCCAGCCTTCATGGTCACGGGAAACCAGCCACAGTTGAGCGAGTGCCTGCTGTATTGCCATATGTCAGAGGAGTCACTGACAAGATTGGCTATATCTTGAAGCGTGCTTCAATTAAAACATATTTCAAGCCACCGAAGAAGATAAGTCAATTTTTACCATCTGTCAAGTGTAATATCCCTCTACAAGATCCAGGAGTGTACAAGCTTGACTGCAATTGTGGGCTCTCTTACATAGGACAAACAAAACGATCAATTAAAACCAGAATTAAAGAACACATAGCTGACGTGAAGCACCGACGGTTGAAGAAGTCTGCAGTTTGTGATCATATTTTAGACCGCCCCAACCACTACATTAGATTTGATCAACCGAAAATCCTCGCAAAAGAACACCGATTCCTTCCAAGGATGATCCGCGAGGCTATTGAAATAAAGAAACATCCTAATTTCAATAGAGAAGATGGTTGGAGTTTATCATCTGCTTGGGATCCCATAATTTATAAAATTAAATCCAAGCACACCCACACTTCCAGACCTCAAGATACCATAGGAGCTTATGCGTGGATCGGAATAAAAATAAAATAATTGACGGTAGCCGGGGTTAACTATGACATCAAGACGTATAACAACTTAGTCTGTCCCGTGACCATGAACGCTGGAAAGGGTTCGAAACGTCGGGAATTTAAATCAAAATTAAAAAACGCGACAAAATCCGTAAAGTAGTTTCATTTAATATGTATAATATTCGCGTAAAATCAAGAAAACAATATGTAATTACCCGTAACACTATTCGATATACCAATGACATTTATAGTAACACTCGTTGTGTTGAGACCAACGTTCTATGAGCCATCGCGTGCTCGACTTGATGGGACTCCGCTGCCGTATGCCCTCGGGCGGGGCTTCCCACATATTCGCTGGCACCGGTTTTTCCACATCGCTCCCACTCTGCGCGGCAATCTTCAAATCTGACGACCAATAAAGACAAATTACTTTTCACGAATGACGCTCTACGAGCATCGGTATGGACCTCTTTATGCTATCCGTTTTAAATGTCCAGTGGTTTTTACGATGCCATGTTATTTATTAGTAGTATTGCATGTATTCCTATTTACCGCAAGTATATTACTTAATCTTTTTTCGAACCGGTAGAAATGTTTTTTGACAATCAATAAGTAAGTGTAATGCTTCTAAATTGAATAAAGATATTTGAATTTAACAATAAAAGTACCGTTGCGCTCTGTTTAATTTAAAAATTACAGTTATAACATAGAATTTATATTTATAGTAAGATAAAGTAAGTATAATAATATTATTACGATTACGCGTCTATTATTTAGCTTTACATAAATTAATGCTTATTGTTACTAGGAGGGGATCTTCTGTAGACACTTCAATATTAAAATCTGACTTGGACTTGTATGATTATTCCCACAGAAGGTTGGAAATGAAATAAACGAATCACCTAATGATCGCCTTAGCTCATGGGTATGACCTACGTGGTGATGCGTGCGGACCTATTCTTATAAAAATATTCAATAAGAAAGATCTGCGTAAATATCGCTCATGTTAAGACGCACATTAACATTAAAAGCAACGCGTGCGCTCCACAATAACATGTTTATTGAGACGGGCTGACCCCACGCACGTAATGTGGCTCCAGGAAACCCACGTGTCGTGGCCACGACCCGATGCGGTCAAAACAAACTATCGCGAAGCATCTCAACGCAAACAGACGGCGGCTGAAGTAAGCGCTCGTGTTTCACGTCACTATGATTACAAGATTTTCCTCAATAGACAATGTTTCCCATATTTTGTAACACCTACACATAAAACCAAAACTTTCATTATTTGTGTTATAAAAACCATTATCATGAAAACGGCACAAAAAAAATCTGAGCCACACTTGAATATTTTTTATTCTGTTTTTTTAGTATTTGTTGTTATAGCGGCAACAGAAATACGTCATCTGTGAAAATTTGCCTGCTGACAAATGGACAGACAGACAGACAAGGGATTCTTAATAGTAGGGTCCCGTCTTAACCTCTGAGTACGCAAACCTAAAAATGACTGTCGTATTAGGAAATAAGTCCTAAACCTGCGGTGCTTTACCACGTCAAACACGCAAAGAAAATACACCGGGAAAACAAAAGTGTTTTGAAAACAACTAAACCACAGAAAATCCAACCGGTCACTACTATAGGGTCTGAGAGATGCACGCAGTACTGACGTCACTCAAAATCCGTTCTTCACCCCAACGGTGACACTCAATCGCACCTCCTTCGGCCATCATCTCGAATAAAACTTATCGCGATTCGTTCCACCACACCTCGCTTTAAGCAATCCAGAATTGTCGATGCGAAATATACACCTTACGCAGTGGATATAAAAACTATTTTCGAACGAATAGCAATCAAAGCACTTTGGTCAGTAAACGGGAGGACAACTCTGATCATCTATACGTTCGGATCGGATGCCTCGGAGGCGTTTCATCTGGCATTTGGTTAGTTAAGAGCCAGACGGTGTGAGGGGCGGCCAGTTTTTATATTGCCCACGCACGTGCCTCGGCCCCACTAAAGGTGGAGATATCGTGAATGTGCCCTTTATCTCTCTTCTATCCGTTGCTTTATTATAAAAGGCAATATCACTCGGGTATTAAGATGCCGTTTTTATGTTGCGCTCAAGATTTTTTTTTCTAGTTTTCGAAAGATCAATAGGATGGTTCTAAGTTGAGGGGATGTTACATATGTATCGAGAACGACGTTGATTGGGAACAATTATTTTTAAACCATTAAAATCGCTTATTATGTTTCTACACTACTTATTTACGTTTCCGATATAAATATCAATACACCCTTCCGAACATTTTATTAATGTGAACACATACTAACGCAATTCTATTTTGCATAGTTGATCACTGTAAAATTTTCACACGGTAATATAATAATGTATAGATCTGATTTAATTCATCCAATTCAAGATTAACTTAACTTATTTTAGGTGCAAATTATCAATCAACGTCATTATCATATTTACCTTAAAAGAAATTGTTATATAAACTTTTTTTATAAAAAGATTAACCCCATTGCACTAGTCCAATTTTCGTCGAAAGCGGAAACATTAAAAATATTCCGACAAATAAACCTATGAAAAATAATATATAGACATAAAAATCAGACATTCATTACAGTATTACTTTTAGGACTGGCATTAATGAAGATTTGGGTCAGTGAGGTACTGGCCTCATGTGACCAGCTGGACAAAATACGCTAACACGTAACACTAACGTTGTAAAGCTCTTCAATACCTTATCAAGGCGTAGAAAATTCGAAAGTGACCGCGACGTGTTCATAATTTAAGACCTTCATAAATCAAGCGGCACATATCGGGGGGCGCATTGGCCCGAGTGTTCTGGTAAGGATAAGATAAATGCTTCCGCACGCAGAGGGCGCGCAAGTCGCAGGTGCTCCTCGCCACAGCATCTCTCATCTGTGTACGGTGGGCGGGTTGCCTTGCGTCCCAGCTCCTTACGAGAGCGAACCCAAAGGCTACATTTGCATGTTGCTCTTAATCCAATATTTCCTGTTACTCGGTCAGCGAAGTGGGGTGGACACGTCCCAAGTTTCACTGTTTATCAAATTACTTGCAACTGACAGCTCTCCGTTGAGAACGTAAATTGAAGGTATCATGAGTGATAAATATTACATACTTTCAAATACATTATAATCCACATTATAATTAGATACGACGTACCTACTCATGTATTTTATTTACGTAAGGGACAAAAAGTTGTTCTCGTAATGAAATTCTCGTTTTCAAATTTGTACGAATAATTTCGATTAGTGAAATTTTCCTCAAGACATTAGTTAGCACGTCATAACCGCGATTACTGCAGACTCAGCACGGCGAAGGCGCATCGAAGGAACGCTGACACCATTAGTTTTAGTTCATAAGTTTTTGTAATTATAAATCAGTCCATTCCAAATTGTCATACAGTTAACACCTTGTAATTAATTAAATAAATCTTTTTTTATTGGAATACCGATCGCCGATTACTTAACTGGCGCAGTCGGTAGGATCGCAGCACTTTCGTATTGAATCAAATGTTCTATTACGATTGTGTCACGGTTCTCAAATCGTACCTTGAGCGATCCTAAAGAACCTCAATCGCGCGATCGGGCAAGGACTCGTCAGGAGATGCAGAAAACCCTGGGGTAAGTACTCTAGTTATCCAAGTGTTCCTGCTCTATTTCCTGTCTTATTTTAGGTATTTTTTTTTTTTATTATTGAGTGTGTATGTCTATAAGCTTTAATCGCAACAGACATTTCCCATTCTATTAGTATATTTATAATAATAAGATCAACAATAAATTCTTTAAATAAGAAGCTAAAATAAATACAACAAATTAAAATACATAATAAAATCAATAACTTTGTTTTAAAATTATCATCAGTTCGTTTGTCGGTTAGCTACAATCGCACGAGACATTCGATACTGTGAACGAACGCGAGCGTCATTCCATTGTTCATTAAACTCCTTAGAATCAGGAATTTACTGTGTAATACGTATCGCTATTGTTTTATGTTAACAGGAATCGTAAGTTAGTGAGTAATAATGCTTTTAAAAGATTTCAATACGAATTTTAAGTTGATAGTGGATTTAATGCCTCGATATGATGGGAATCCTAAACTATTAAGTCACTATATTCGCGAAGTCGAAAATATATTGAATTTATTGCTAGACGAACATGCTCGGACACACCCGTTAGTAAGTTGTCTTATTAAGAGTAGGCTTAGCGACAACGCTGTAGAAGCCTTAGCCTATGAGGAATATTTAGATACGTGGGAATCCATTAAAAATGCTCTTATTAGAGGACTCCGTCAACCGCGAAATGAGTTTCAGGTGATGCAAGAACTTACACATACTCGCCGTTCTAGACAGGAGGATTCCGAGAACTTTAGAAAACGGCTTAGAGAATTACTAGACACCTTACTCTTGATAGGCAGTCATAGCAACAAAAACTTCTATGAGAACATGGTCATAGAACAATATATTGATCAATTAGACTTCCATGTCTCATTCGGAGTAAGAATCGCTAAACCCGATACGTTAGAGCTGGCTATAATAGCGGCTAAACAGGAAGAGGCTAGGCTTGAATATAATAAAGACACTCATTTTAATACACTGTCAACGCAATTATACTCCAACGAAGGTGAGTATCAAAATAGTATTCAACCGGTCGACAGCGATGACTTCGATACTGATGTTTACTTTAACAAGCAAGACTCCAACCAGGTTTCTCCTTTGGAGGAGACAGGACGACCAGAGCTGGTAGAGATCAACTTCCAAGATAAAGACCACCACCCCTTCATCAAGCTACCTGAATTTCAAGGTAAATTTTTAGTAGATACAGGAACAAGTCACTCTACTATTTCACCCGATGTTATTCGTGATTCTAGCTTTGAACAGTGTGTAGATTATGAACCCTTTGAAATATCAACGGCACATACTGTTTCGCGTCATGATCATGTGGTCTATTTGCCCTTACCACCCGCGTTTAATAGCAATATTACGCATAAATTTTTAATTTTTGATTTCGATCCAAAATACAAAGGTCTAAGCGGATTTGACTTGTTGCGAAAATTAAAAAGTAACATTGATTTCAATAAGAACTCGTTACACACCTCAACAGCGGATATACCGATATATTTTAACTACCCATACCAAAAGCTTAAAGAAGAACCTAGATGCGAAAAGTTAATGACATTCAAGACCCATTACATAGAAGGAGAGTACTTATATCACGATTTCTATTGGTCTGATGGCTCAAAATCACCCGCGGCGATAGTTAACGTTAAGAACGGGACGTTTAGAACATCTGGTATTAACTTAAAAGTTGATAAAAAATATATTTCAAACAAAGCCCCTATTAGATTAGATATTTACTCTGAAAATTTAAATAGAAATAGTAGTTGTGAATTAAATTATATACAAAAAATAACTAACAAAGACAACCCCATTCAACATATTATGAAGTACGTGATCATAGGATACAATAACGCGATACATTTCGTAACAGACTATAAACCACATGAACTGCTATTTGATCACACAGAATCTCGAAATACCTTAGAAATGTTTAACCCGAAGGAATTCTACCAGGATTATGTACTCAATCACCGAATAAAAGTAAAAGCGATACAGGAGTGTATTGCAGCTTACATGTCCGGTAACATAGAACAGGTTATCGCGAGAAGAAGCCGAGATGCTGAAGAAGTATCTTTCAAGGTAAGTGAAATAGTATATAAGCAGGTGGCAAAGACAGCGCGGAATGACAGGACAAAGCCTGTCTTCAAAAGACCCTATAAGGTAATCCATCTACACCCCAATAGTATCGCAGAGATTTTATTTTTTTTATTTAATTTTTATTTTTATTTTTAAAAGGCCTATCAACAACTGTTTACACTATATCTAATAAAAAAGGAAAGAAACAATAAGTACTTGTATAAGTGTAACAATAACTTAAAGATAAGCACAGAAAGTACAGTTAAACATCATAACAATAAATATAAAATTAAAAATATAAAAAAATGAAATAGTAAAAAATAAAAATGTAGCTTAAAATAAACAGCTGTAAAATAAATTAAATTCAATTATGGATGTTTATTACATAAGGTAAAATGTATATATTCAAATTTTAGAAAGTGAGGTATACATTATTTAAGAGACTTTGGCTATTGAGTCAACTTGAAAATCTATTTGATCGCTAAAAAGATTAATTGTTTTGCAAAATTTAATATAAGGAGAATTACTTCCCAGCACTGTTCTTCTTAGTGGTGTAATAGGTTTGCGAGGGATTCTTATAGGTACTCGAAATTTAAGCAAATTCAATAGTTGTGGGTTATCAATTTTGTTATTTAATAGTTTACTCACAAACTTAGCATCAAGCACTTCTCTTCTATGAGATAAAGAGTTTACCTTGAAATAATTAAGTCTTTCTTCATAAGATCGTAGTTCTCTTGACTTACCCTCAGAAAACGCCAAATGCCACATAAACCATTTTTGAACTCTTTCTATACGTAATGAGTGCGTAGCGTAATGCGGCAGCCAGACTACACTACAGTATTCAAGGATACTTCGGACTAGGCTATTGTAAAGCCATAATTTAGTTTTGAAATTACGAAAGGAATGACAATTTCTTACGATAAATCCTAACATTTTAGATGCTTTTTTTGTTATATTTTCTAAATGTGCATTAAACGTTAACTTACTATCATAAATTACTCCAAGATCAAGTACAGTGTCTACTTCTTTGATTGCTGTATTGATTATGTGGTATATATGCGGAGATAATAGGTAGTCACCCAAATTCAAAGTCTATAAGAGTTCACTTCAAGTTACTACGTAGGCCTCATCTTGTTCTCAAGATCCTCGTCGCAGGAACCATCAACCGCAAAAGTGACCCTGGATCCCATTAGTAATGATAACGGCGTACTATTACTCAAATAGGGACAGTTACTTAGACAGACCGAGTACTTTAGCCTAGCTTGTGTGTATGACATAACAAACAAAGTTAGCAACAATTAAATTAATTAAATTTAATGGCATTATATGCAAGCACTAAAGATGTTGAAAATACCTTAACATCTAATTATAGATATAAGTCCTACGAGGATCTAATATTATATAGTATAAGTTTAATAAATAAGAAGTTAGCATATTTGATTCCCCCAGTTAGAGTAAAACGCGGAATAATAAACGGATTAGGTACAATCGTAAAAACAATAACCGGCAACTTAGATAATGACGATGCCGTTAAATTCGAGAAAGAAATTTCAGATATAAGTAACAAGGTTAATAGAGTTCAAAATTCACAAAAGAAATCTTTAATATTAGCAAAAAGTATGATCAATGAATTCGGCAGTCAAATAAGTAAATTAGAGGAAAATCAGAAATATGTAGTTAAGATATTGCAAAATATAACGCAAAACTCTAATGGAATTAGGGACAGTTTACATTTATTAGATATACATTTACAGATAGACTTAAGTTTACAAATAATTTTAGAAAAGTTAATGACTTTGGAAGATGCCGTCACGTTCGCTCAATTAGGAACTATGCATCCAAGCGTTATTGGTCCACAAAATCTTATTAAAGAATTAGTAATTTTGCGTAATCATTATTCAATGAATCCAGTAGATGAGATAAATATTATAAATATACATAAGATAGAGAAATCTATAAAGGTTAAAGCATATAGAACACCACACTCAATAAACTTTATCCTGGAAATCCCCTCTGTTGATTCAAAAATATACGATTTTATTCACCTTTACTCCGTTCCTGACCGCAACAACCTAACTATAATCCCGAAGTCCAAATACCTTGCACTTGGTAGCGATGAGTACGCCCACATCGAGGAAGAAGACTGCCAACCAATCACCGATGACACTCATCTCTGCAAATCCCTGGAAGTCAGAAGAATGAAAAACACACAAGATTGCATAGCGTCGCTAGTTCAACATCAGAAAGCCAATTGCACGTATGCCAAGCTGCACCTGACCAAAGGAAAAATCCGGGATAACAGCTGGATCTGATCCTGCAAGATGATGAAATTATCAAAATCCATTGTGGCACCAAGATAGACTACAAAAAGACGAAAGGAACGTTCATAGTCACACTGACTGAAGATTGTCGGATACATGTCCTGAATAGCACACTACACACTACCTGAGGACAGTCTTCAACGACGAAACCATCCCCCTTCCTGAGGCACAGCAAATCACGCAAGAACACATCAAGTTTGAATAAATTCAAGAGGATATCTCATTAGACAGCATCCACAAACTCATCAACAAGATAGATGACATAATCCCACAAGATGAATCCAACTGGACAACCCTGATGGCAACCCCCAGCTGGACAACTTTAATATTATACGGGCTGCTGAGTGTAGCGGCCATCTGGAAGCTGTACAAGTGGAAAAGCAATAGACTACCACAGGATAGCAACAGCAGCGAGGACGCTGCTAGAAGCTCCAACTCTCGCTTCTATCTTAAGGAGGGAGGAGTTAGCACGTCATAACCGCGATTACTGCAGACTCAGCACGGCGAAGGCGCATCGAAGGAACGCTGACACCATTAGTTTTAGTTCATAAGTTTTTGTAATTATAAATCAGTCCATTCCAAATTGTCATACAGTTAACACCTTGTAATTAATTAAATAAATCTTTTTTTATTGGAATACCGATCGCCGATTACTTAACTCATTTGGTGACGTATAATTTTAATTTTATATATCTTATTTGTAAAATGTAATGGCAAATAATATAAAATAAAAAACCATATTTTAAATAGGATAATAGTAATTTAAAAACAACACTACTAACATACACCGCCCAATAACAGCATTCGTCGCTTCGGATGCGAGCAACTTCCGAACGTTCCGAAATCAGGCAATTCAATCGGGCGATTTTTGAACAAAACTCGTGTTCGAATTTCAAAACTGGGACCGGTCGGCGTGCCAAAACAATTTCGAAAGAGATAAATCCCGCTACACATGTAGGGCCCGGGTCGAATGGCGCCGCGACAACGCCGCGTGTCCCGGCGCTAATTGTTGTTCGTAATTTGTTCGCGGCCTCCACCTAGCGAACAAGGTGATATTTCAGCGTGGCCGCATTTAAATGCAAATGCGCAAACTTCCCGACCCGAGTTTTGACGGGGTACCTACGCACATAATTCCCGTTTGTCCGAGTCGCGTACTCCCTTAGCGGCGTGGTGCGGGCGGTTCGATACGCATTTGAATTTTAAACGTCTCTTCGCCGGAATTAGAATTACAATCGGAAGCGCGGACTGTGCTCGTAGTTCGTAGCGGAGGTGGAGCCCTTAATGGCCATTGAAACTGAAAGGAGACGCGAGTGGACAAATTGGCCGACGGGGTCACGGCGGGGCCTCGCCCAAGGAAAGGGAAATGTCCATAAACAACAGGCGACTCGGGTCCAATTAATAAAGCAGCCCGCACTGGAGTGGTGCAATTAATTCTGCGCCTTCGTAGATTTTAATAGTTCGCATAAATCAGAGCGGTGCGAGCCGGTGGGTTAATCGCCGTTTAATATGCCGGAGCGGCCTATCGCGTCCGGCCGACTATCGCCCAACGGATACATTACTACGGACACTGATAAGGCACGATACGTGATCAGGAAGTCTTCAGTTTCTATCGGTAGCAAGACCTCGTCTTCTTCGTTTAAGCGACAGTGGCTGTTACTCGTTTAACTCGCACCCAACACAGTTCTGAAGCAATTCCGCTTCTAATTACGATCACACACGGCGGAACACGTGAATGGCCTAAACGGCGTCGGTATCTGTTCGCGCCAGGTTATTCAATTATATTCGGAACACGGGAGACAGTTCCCAAATTCAATTGCAGCTAGACTTCAGTTCGCGTTAAGTGGTTATATCCCCTTTAACGGCGGGGGGCCGAAGTGGACACTGAACGCGAGGTGGAACCGCCCGGTGGGGTGAGGGTAGGGTGTGGGGGCGACACCTCGGAATATTGAATTTGCGGAGTGGCGAGTCTCAATTGTTATCTGGCGCTGCAAGGTCGCCGAAGGACCCCCGCCAGGTACAACCCTTTCTTTCGCGTTAGGGTTGTGGCGGAATGCTTTTGGTCCTAACCAAATAATATTGTGCACGTTTTTTAAGAAGGCCCGCGAACAGATGTGGACGGAGTGTGTGGATTTGTGGTGGTGCATCATGCTTTGAAAAAACATTTTTTATTTTTACCGGGTCACGGATGCCAAAAGTTTTAACATTTAAGGAATTTAACATTTGTTTGAGTTATACAAAATCGTAGTTTTCATTCTTTAATCGTAGTTTTCACAATTCTTCATGTAAATACTCTATTTCTATACTTACTATATTTTACTTTAACATACTGTGTATTATTGATTCTTGTCTTTAAACTTACATATTGTGTCTTTCAGTTTTATAAATGTACAGTATAAAATACTTTGAATTAAAACATTCGAAAAGTGAAAAATAATTAATTAGTGATCTTTTAAACGTTTAAATAAATCCTTACAAATGTTACTTGCACAAAGATTTTTAATTATTTTTAATACGGTACTAATGGTACGAGAGGTCAGCCCTGGGAATGGCGGCGCTAGGGCGGTCATTGGTCAATTTATTTCTTGCGCCTGCCCGGGACCGCAGTTATCATGATTGAATTAAGTAACTCCGGGATTGCACCCGGAGCCCGGTCCCCGGTGATTTAGCGCCTCGCCATTGTCCGCGACCGGGCACCTAGTGCGGCGAGAGTTCGCAAAAAGGGATCCCGGAATTTTAATCGTGAGAATGTGCGCACGGGGTGTGCGCCCGCATCGGAAGTTCGCCCGGGTCCGGACTCGGAGGTCCGATAGAGGTCAACTCTCGGCCAATCGAAAGCTGATTCCACTAACGGCCTTCTAAATTAGTCCCGCCGTGAATATGCCTCATAGTGATTGCCGATCGCTATTTATTTAATGTGGGGAACCGGTCCGGTTCGTAAAGTTTGCGATAGCCTCAACATTGGTTCCGTGTTATTTTAGTTTAATTTATGGCGGGGTACAAAGTATACACACTCAATTACTTCGCAGCAATCCAAGGTGGTTCTTGGACCGATACAAGTGAACAGCAAGGCAGTCTGTCTCGCACACCTCTTGGGCAAACCGCTTGGTTTTTGAGATAAGCCACGCAGCACCGTTTACTGTTGCACGAATGGGTAGGTTTCTCCTGAAAATTGCCATTGTTTCAGAGAATACCGGCGTGACGGGAAAGTGGGCTCAATTTTTTTGATAATAACGCATCATCCACACCAAGACTTGTAGATATAGTAGTAGAGGTAAACGTTAAACGTCAGGCGAGCCGTTTGTTCGTTTACCATATTCAGATGTAATAAAGTCCACCAACTCTTAAAAGTATAGTATATAATCCGGAGGGCTGAATTATTTTTATTCAACCAACTTTTTTGTTTTATTACTTCGAAGTACTCGTCTTGTAATATGGTATAATATACCATTAAAAGACCTTTATTTTAGTAAATAAACGATAACATAACGTCAAACTTTATGATTTTATAATCTAGAACATTCACGTGGGACTATTAATTGAAACCGTGATAGTTCATTGTCCGAGCGCTCGCTTTCTATTCAATATACTCGAGCAACCCAAATTGAATTCCGGCACCCACGAAATTATTATTTTACTAACCTATCACGTGCTCAGTCGTAAAGGAAAACTTCGTGAGGAAAACTGCATATTTTCAAGGTGGCAACCGAGCTGGTCGTTCACCCGATGTTAAGTGATAACCATGCCTTAATACTCTCCGTACAGAGGAGGTCGTTGCCCAGCAGTGGGACGTATACAGGCTGGTACGTACTTTTATATTACATAGCGGGTCTATTCAAGTCTGTCTCCAATGTTTTTTTTTTTTTTTTTTAGTTTTATTCAAACTATATGTTAATGTAAATTTTATAGGAATACACAATACTAGTCCAAAAAGAAGCAAGCCTCTAAATCGCGAATCGCGTTTGAGTCACGTAGCGATCGTAATCGTTACGCCATAGTCGCGTAGCATTACTCCGTAGCGCACGCTACGAAGGTCGTAAATTGAATTAGAACGGCCGATGAAAGGTGCTTTAACTTCATAGTCGGCAACGAAACTTTTCACTTAAACAACTCCAAGTTTGCGTTTGACCCTCGTTGAGACTGTTATGATCCGACGATTCAAATTAATAAAAGTTCCAAGATTATGTTTTTGATTATGTTTAACTCGAAATACAAAAAATATTCTGTATATAATAGTAATGAGTAAGTTAACTTTAATTGCAATTTCATATTGCTAAGATCGCCCAGACAAAGATGTTGAGACCTATTGCTCGGTATTCGCAATTCTATTATTCGTGGTCTATTATTATGGTCTCATACTTTGCTGTAATGGCGATCCGTTTCCATATTTCATACACTCTTCCTACTTCGTTAAGCGCGGAATACGTTCAGTATTTCCACCATGTCTCAAATCGGCCCAAATACTTTGTCACGATAATCTTTATTGCGTTCATTTGTCTCCGACTCAATTTGCGAATGCCCAATTCGGCGACTTCGCGGGCACTACTCGCGAGAGCTCCTTCCAGCTCCAATCTCTCCATCGGCTCCATCTCTCAGATTGGACGCAATAGGCCCATTCGCATTCAAAAGCCGTGGCCGGTTTCATACAGAACTAGGGGAGCAGTTCCTTAGCGCAAATAATCCATAATTTATTGCCATAACTAGGAGCTTCAGATATTTGCATACAATGCCGACGGAGACTGGATCCGAACATAAAAGTGAGGCATCCAATCGGGCCCACGTTGATGCCGTCGCTACATCAAATTATTCCATTCCGTTTTAGACGAAATGTATACAGAGCAAACATGAAAAGAGAACAAAATTAAGCATTACCAGCCGACGCAAGCCATGGGCGGGGGCGGTAACGTTTCTTTGCACGCGAGACCTCACTACGGATGGCTTCCTCTTATAACTACATATTCCACGGCTTCCAATATAAACATATTTATAAAAATATTAACTCGATTAAATGTTATTAAAAACCTTACAATCTGCTCGAACAGAATAATGATTTTATAATACTGGTAAAACAAACGAAACGACCTTTAAGAGAGTCTTTTTGTTTATTGAAACTGTCTGAATTATACGGAAATATAGGTTGCGCCTACCAGCTGATTTGACCTAGTAATGAATTGAAAAAATGTTACAGGTTCTGACTAATTTTTGGATACAGTTTCTAGCTAAGGGTCTTCTTAAAGGAGAAACGCGTTCATTCCGCTTATGAACTCACACCGCCGACCATCAGGAACCGACAGGGCCGCCGCGGCTGCGGGGCCACGGCGGAGAGGGGGGGGGGGGGGGGGGGGGGGGAGACATCAATAATCCTCCTTGTTATTCTTATGCAAATGCCCACGGTACGATAATAAGTGGAACGCGAATCACCAGACGTTACACAGATTGGAAGAACCCGCTGACAGGGAGGCGGCACACGACCCGCGTGCGACCAAATGGCTAAACCAAAAGAAGATCGATCAATTGTCTTCATAGGAGTTGGTTTGGAACAACTTTATTAACAGATTCTGATTGTGAAAGAAATGTTTACCAAATAGGTACAGACTAGGTTCACTAACACAGCTGGAGTCTAATATTTTAGAGTTATATTTTGTTGTGTGTACGGTGTTTATTCATTGGCCGCTAAGCCACAGCAAACCGAAAATATCATAACGTAAAAGTGGATGTAAACTTTTGTGTGCAATATAACAAATGTAAACATATCCGACCTACAACTTAGTACTAGCGATAATTTAAACAAAGCACTATTTGTCTGCTATTGTATTCTGCTTATAACTATAAATAAAAATGTAATTTTATCCCTTTTACAAATACGCAATACTTCTTACGCTTAAGTAACGGACTGTGCGCTCGGTGTGCCGCGGAGTGTATCCTACGAACTACACCGTCTCGTCGTGTACAACATCCCCTAATTCTTTCAATCAGTGCGAAACGTCACGCACAACTGTAACGACGCACTAACTTGTAACAATCGCTATGACCCCCGCAGAGGACGGCCCCCCGCACCTCCCGCCCCTCATGTAAGCGCTAACTCCATAGTTGCAAGCAATTTTTATGCCAATAAGCAAAACTCACAGAATAGTCTTTAAGTACGCATGGAAAACTAAAGCCCTAGTAACAAAATTAACATTAAATTTGAATGAAGCAATATTCAAGCCTCGAAGTCGACCTAAATTTAATTATTTTAATGTATTTCTTGTGATGAAATTGGTAACAATACGATCAACACTATACATTGATTAAAAACTGCTTTCGGAACATATTTTAAAGATAAGTGAATCTGTGGTTTACCTGGCAGGGATATGTTTCATCATTAAACTTATTTAAAAAAAAACCTTTTACAATTCGCTAAAAGTATAAGCAGTTTATCTATTCGTTTTTCAATGGAGTTTAGAGTAAACGCTCAATGACATCAACAAAACCCGTGCACACCAGACGCCACACGAATATATAATATATTCCATTTCAGGCCGGTCTTCTGTGAGGCCGTGGTACCCGAACGAGCCTGCCCATGCGTGGAGCAGACGCTAATCACCGAAACTCGAATATAGGCCGTGGTACCTGAACATTCCTTCCCATTCCTGGAGCGAAAGCTGACCACCGAAACTCGAATGTGGGCTGTGGTACCCGAACGAGCCTTCCCGTTCGTGGAGCAGAAGCTAAGCACCGAGCCTCGAATATAGGCCATGGTACCCAAACGGGCCTGCCCATGCATGAAGCAGAAGCTGACCACCGAAACTCGAATGTAGGCTACCACCGAAACTCAAACGCAGGCTACCACCGAGACACGAATGTAGGCAGCGCTACCAACATACAGCTCAATAGATCAGCGCGCCAACCGCGTGAAGTGTCCCTCGGAACTGCAACATGCATCAATGCCGCGCCCCGGTCCGTTTGTTACGCGCGTTAATCTACCGTGCAGCGGGTCGGTGCATAAATTGCTCGCATCGCGCCCATTATGCGAGTGTTGCCCGACTTTGCATTTTTCGGCGGAGCTTTCAATAATGTGGTAAAGTCTCTGTGGTAGAGACAGCTCTCTCCGGCGGGGAGATTTAGATTTTTTTTTAATGTCAGATTGAAATTCGATGAATGACAAGGAATAGTGCTCATTAAGTGGCATAATTAATTTACGTCTCTACAAAGTACTAACTACGATAACAGATCTCCTACGATGAAAGGGAATGCTGACTCCTAATCTCAAGGGGTGTGAATTCGTGTCCAAGGATCAAAGCATATGTATTTTTATTACGAATATATTGTATGACCAATTGAGTCTTCGTATATAAATGTTACCAACTTAATCGTTTCAGCCTTGTATAAACTTAGCGAAACGTAGTAATAATTAGCTACATTTGTTCCATATTTCTCTTCGTATATATATGACTACTTAATATCTCTGTGGGCAAGGGTAAAAAATAGGCATAAAAGATAAATAGAGCCCTAGGCAAGGAACGAAATAACAGGAGACTTATTAATAAGAGAAATCGAGCAAATATGTGAAAAAATGGTACTTAAAATCTTAGAATTCCAAATATTTAAATGATTACAATGAATTTATGAAATTAATTTATATTAATACAGTGGAGCAAATTGACTTTTAATACTACATTATTATATACACTAGGGTCAATCGTAGTGATGAAATAGCACGTTTAATTACATCAAACTATTATTAATTACAACTTTGTTATTACAGTTGTTCTGAATACGTAAGCATTTATTATCACATTGTGCATTATTCAACAAAATATATTTGAAATATATGAAACACGTCTGATCATTATGATTTATACATATTTGAAAACACACAACGGTAAACTGGATCAACGAATGATATTATAAAGCGGTATGTACGTCCTCACGGGAGAAGCCTAGTCACACCATTAATGATGAGAAATTGTCTTAGGGATGGCAAAATTTAGGTAAACTTTATAAAGTAATAATCGAACATCACCAAAATAAACATGTGACGTAGTTAATTTTTGAGATCTTAAGACTAATTTACCATTTCTTTTAAGATCAGGAGACGGTTCCTAACGTAAACGACGCCTAGTATTAAAGGTGGTAGGGCCTCGCAACAGCCTCGGCTGTTGCAAGAATGGGCAGACCCATCCGGGTAAGTACCACGACCTCACAGAAGACCAGCGTAAAGTGGAAGTATGACAAATACTTTCGCGTTTCGTCTGGTGAGTGAGGTAGCCGGAGCCCAATTTTCAAAAGGTTGTCAACGCATCTGTAACCCTCGGGTGTAGCAGATGTCCATGGGCGGCGGTATTCACCTACCATCAGGTGAACCGTTTGCTCGTTTGGCAACTTTTCATATAAAAAAAAAAGCTTCAATTCTGGTAATAACAGGCTATTAAGCTAATATATCTATAACGTATCAACCAAAAATGTACTAATAAACTCTATTCTGCTATCTAGGATTGTTTTCATTCATTACTTTTTATTACCAACTTGTTATGGTTAGGGTTGAACAATGTGGTGAATTTATCTCGAAAAAAGCACGAAAACACACACACGGCAGCCCTACGCGCATGAATGGCCGCCCACGCGCGCGTCCGCTAGCAGGGATACGCTCATCAATGAGTGCGCCGCAGATAGCACGCACACAGGCGCACCGTGCATACACGTACACGTGCGAAATGATTTTTACCACGTTGACACCAGATAAGCGCCATTGAAAGTTGTTGTGTACAGATTTGACCTTCTAAATACGCGGCGATAAGTTGCTGCGATAACGCTGGGCTAACTACGCCACATCTAGAATGATATCGATGAAAATGCCAATGGGTAATAAAGTCTTGTTTGTTTTAGATTTTAATAAACGTATATTTAAAAGTTTTATGATATGTTTTCTTTCTTTATACACCTAAAATATGTACAATGGCGGGTGGCATTAACATCAACTTTATCTACGAGTCAACTTTTAGGCGGTCCAGAAAAGTTCAGGCAGTTTTATTGATTATAAAATGAAAAAAGAGGGAAATCATTGAAAAATCTAATTAGATTATAAAATGAAAACTATATTAGTCATATTAATTAAAAATAAAAATAATATAATTATTTATTGCATAATATTGCAACACACGATAAAATAAATATATTTAAATACACAATTCATACACACATACATATGTAAATATATACACAATATATAATAATAATATACTATATGACGTTACCGTTTAGTAAACCACACCCAACAATTAATGCTAATCTCTATCAGTTATTGACCAGGACAAATCGGCCATCCTAACGCCCGGTTTCTGAAACACTGATCATCGTAATTGTCACGTAACCATCTGTCAAATGGCATTTCAAATATCATTTTAGTTGCAAACAGGATGGTCAAACTCTCTGAATTGTCTAGAATGATTTTCTTAATGATCAGAGTGATCAATTTAAAGAGTTTAACCATCCTTTTGGCAACTCAAATAACATTTGAAAAGCCATTTGACAGCTGATTAGTTAACATCTACGATGATCAGTGTTTCAGAAACCGGTCGTAAGTCGCTTGCGTATTCTACACCTATCCAGGATGCCCTCTAGTATCCGTTTCGCGGCCGTTTTTAAACGGTTTTATTTAGCTCGACCCGTACGGAATTTGTTTGTTTATTTATTTGGGTCAAAATTAGAAATTGAAATTTAAGCACCTTGCCGTTGTCAGATTGATCTGAAATTTGGTACACACATTTAATTTAGATGACAATACAATATTAACAAAAAAAAAAATAACAAAAAAAAACAAAATAAAACCGTTTAACTTAAAAGTTTTTAAACGGTTTTATATATTATTATTATTAAAGCATAACATTCACTCGACTGCTGGCATCCCTGCGAGTAACGAGGGAATTTCGTCGCGGTCGAAATCGGTCAGGAGATAAACTTATATTTTTAACAACACACGCCCCGCTCGTACAAACAGCGTGATTTATTGGAACACATATTACAAAACTCGCACTGCGCCGGCGGGAAATTCGCGCGGCCAAATTATTCGCAGCGTAGAGCCGGTGAAGTTGTCACCTGTCACACGTGACGAATATATCGCGCACCTCGCAAAAAGGTGCGCGATATTTTGCAAACGACATAACTCCGTGTTAAAGGTGGCCCTGCGTTCGCGTTAATTAGGCGGATGTGATTACTGGTGACATACGGGTGTTGAAAATAGTGTCTTATCATTAGGGAGATACGCGGTATTTACCTCTCCGAAGAAATATTATGGAATGTTTGCTTAATTTAAAATCTTAACAATCAGAACGCCCTAAAAATCTGGGCTCACATTGTTACGTATTTTAATCGAATAAATGAAATCAAGTAATCTTAATCACTTTCTTTGTTCAATGAAACGATTCATTGCTGTCAATTATAAGTCAGAAATTATACCCTTGATGTTTTCATAGAGTTTCACATATCCGTTTTCTCGAAGGCAAGGACGGGTTATGAAATAAAACCCAACGATGTTCCCTTTCTACTCGGCCGATAACTCCTCCGAGTCCGTAGGCAACAGGCCATGGGAGCCACGACAGCCAGCGCCGCCAAGCAGCAATCCTCCCAACACCCTGCAAGCGAACCTAGTCTGTTCACAGTGGATAGGGAGAGTGGCTCCTCCTCAACCAAGCTACCTTCTAGTATCCACTCAGAGTGGTCTCAATGAGCCTACTTGGAGCGGCCCTCTCAGGCTAGCCTTACTACTCAGGCCCAATGTGGGCTCGGCTTGCCTTCACCGTGGGTGATTAAGACACGGCTACTAGCGTCCGCCACGAACGAGGTAGAGGGCGTAATTTTTTTTAATTTTTTTAGTCAATAATAATTTAGTTAACATGACGACTATGCTAGTCTACCGTTAGTTTCAATTTATTGATGGGTATGTATGTTAAAGATCAAAACAATCCGATAATGTGAAGATGAGTGATCGAATCAAAAGTGTGGCGGTGGTATATGGTGAAATATAAACACACTTAACTTTTAACCAAGGTTAAGTATGTAATAATTATTATTTTTTCTTTACACAAGGTTATCTAGTCCCAAAGCGTCTAAAGCATGTATTGTTTTAAGTAGGTGTTTAACTAGGATTATAAAATACCAGACACTGAACATACTATGTGCATCACACAACATTTTCGAAGTGATGGGGATCGATGCCAATCCTCTGGTGTAAGAGACATGTTCGTAGGATCGCTATTCGCTACGTCAATCGGTTCGTCAATCAATGTCAACTCCGTAGTTATGATCATTATTGTCCATACCCTAACTTCAGATTTCTGAGTATGCTCCCTCAATCTTTATACCATCAGCTCCAGATTCGCTTTAAAGTTTTTACCGAATATCCAACGATTCGCTGCCCCTCCCTTATAACATACTACTAGTAAATAGTACATAATATTATATATAAAAATGGATTGCTGTTCGTTAATTTCGCTTAAACTCGAGAACGGCTGGACCGATTTGGCTAATTTTGGTTTTGAAATATATGTGGCAGTCCAGGGAAGGTTTAAACGATGAGAAATTATAGAAAAATTGCATGGAAAATCGAAATAGCGTAATTTTATTTTCCCATACAAACTATACCTGTCAACCACTTTATGCGTGCGTTCCGATTCCTATAGAAATAATTTATATGGCAAAACAACGTTTGCCGAGTCAGCCAGTAATATATATTACTATGAGAGATCACTAGTCCACGGTGAGAGCTGATACTCCTACTAAGTAAAAAGTCCATGTATAATTAAACTTCCCACTCGTCCGAGGGCCTCCACAGCGCTATTGAACGTCGAGCACCATCGACACTCGCTGCTGTCAATTCGGACGTGGAGTGTGTCTCGGATCCGAGATAGCGATGCGACTGCGCGGGGCGTCGTTGGCCGCGCTCCAAATCGCCACCCGTGCTAGCTACTAGGCCAGCGCTCCATCGGCTCCACCGGCGCTATCGCATCGTGTACTTTTTCACGGGCGGAATTCCAGCTCCTCAGAATCCTCTTCATCGTCGTCTATCCGTTCTCCAGCAGTAGACTCCCCATTCGAGAGCTGCCTGACCTGAGTTCTTAGGAATCAGTTACGACAGTCTTCTGTATCGTAACTCTAATGTAAAGTAGTAAAGCGACAGCTAATATATGTCACACTGGTCGAAAGAGAAGGTATTGAAGGTATGAACAGAAGGTATTAGGGTATAATCCACCGCGCGGCCGCATTTCGAATTGGCGAACTTCATAACCATTTTGAAAATATGTAGTAGTCTCAATTACCACGTTTTCCTTCACCGCTGAGCACGTGATAAGTAAACATATAAAATTAACAATTTCATTGGTGCCGGCACCGGGAATCGAACTCAGGTTGCTCGAGATTAATTAAATAGTTATAATAGAAGTTGGTGACCACAAACATAAATTTTAAAATATATTCATCTCAAAGACGACAGCAAGTCGGATTGGCAATGACATCGTCGCGTCGAACACTTCAGTTTCATGACTTGGAATGTAAGAGAGAAGGAAGATATGAGGGGTAAAATAAGAAGTTCAATTGGTATAAAATTCTAAGAAATCAATCTCAGTGTATTAATAAACCTCCTAACGAGATTGGCGGTGAGGAAAATAGTTCCCTTTAGATTAAATTCGTCTAGATTCCGTGTCGTCTTATAACAGATGTCAGTTTTATGGCACACTCGCGTCAACTGTATGTTTGTCTAGTAATAACAGTCTACCGAGTGTAAGTCTACACTCAGTAAACTGTATGTAGACTACATAGTATATAATCACATACCCTAGACATACATTCAGAGTTATCTTGTTAATTGTTATGCTAAAATAAAACAATGGGAAGCTAAGTACCGCTCTTTAAATCTTGGATAGTTGTAATAAAGTTGCCGCGTCATATACATAGATGTCGCTGTAAAATCGCAATGAAAACAAAATCGCTTTTTACATTTCACGCGTAAATTAACTTATAGCGCTATACAAACTGATATACGAGAATTTCCAAGCCATTAGTGCCACTTTCGAAGATCAATTACTATAAACATGAGAACAGCTCGTTAAATAAATTTCACACTGATTTAGTTTTAGTTTAGGTGCTCCTGTACAGAAGTGCGCAACTGAACCGATGTTTATTTTTTTAAAAAATCCTCGATTCATACAAATCTGTTCTATTACTTTTTAAATGAGACGTTTTTGCTTCGCGGTTGATTAATTATTTAATCTTTATTAATTTAGTATAGTATTTGTGAGAGTTTCCACTTTTCCAAGTGCCGGGCGTAATTTAGTGTGGACGAAATGTCACTGTGTGTTTACGCACACCGAACAAAATGCACATAGGCACTATAGCTGGCTTTTGGCAAGTTGGTAGTTGGCAAGATGGCCCCATTACTCCGACACGTACGCGCAGATCAACGCACTATTTGTATTTTGATAATTCTACACGCCTCGAACGGGTCAAACCTAAATTGACAGTGTATGAAATCGCTTGAATGACTCCTTTTGGTCGTAACATTTTGTGCGATTTGTGACACACGTCCGCAAAGTCAATTTTTATTTGCTTTTTCGGCTGATTTTAATCCACATAAGTGCTTAAATAATATGTTTAACATGATACTGGGAATCGTTTGGGAAAGTTTAGTCATTAGTAAACCTGACAAAGTATAAATGCTTAAAATATTTATAGCTTTCTAAAAAAAATCCACCCTATGAGCGTTTGCAGCTCCGTGACGACGGCGAAATAAACATTTAGCAAAGATTCACGTACTACACCGTATTTGCCAAGTGAAATAATAAAACAGTGTAGGTAATATTTTTTCGTCCATTTTTATGTTCCTCGTGCAAAACGCGCCAGTACAAGACTTAAAAGCAATCAATCTAGATGAAATTGAAAGAATACAGGTGGTATTAAAATGTTAAGGTATTTTTATGAGAAAGTTTCAAAGCACCGACGACTACGACGACAACAATGGGCAATGATACTAATCTTATTTGTCAGTTTTTTTTATGTTTAAATTTAGATTTTTATGTTCAACATAAACCACATTATGTGAACAATACGAGTATACCTCGTAGGTATCCTGATAAAGACATACTCTCCAGTTTCTTTAAGGAAAATTCCGGTTGCGTTAAGTCCCACCTCAATGCGTCAGTTTTGGTTTTTATCCGAACTATATTATATTTAGAAAATGTTTTCCATCTGCAAATTTTTCTACGTTACTAATGAGAACCACATATTAATTCGACATTCTACTGGTGGTTTATGTATTTGCTGGTGGTCCTAATTATGACCATGTTTGAAATAGGCCAAATGAACTAACATTTTTCCTATTTTCTTAACCGACCTCAAAAACGGTGGAGGTTCTGAATTCGATGAATTTATGTTTGTTACCTCAAAACTTTCCACTGGGTGAACCGCTTTGATGATTCTCTTTTATTAAAACATGTAGAAAAAGTGCGAAAAGATTGTCGCCGCTGTGGGAATCGAACCCACGTCTTCGGCATTCGCGGCCTGACGCTCTAGCCACTGAGCTAAACGTTTCTCTTTTATTTGAAAGCTGGTGCTTCCCATATGGTCCCATATTAATTTCATTGGTATTGGATCTTGCACAGCACTCGTCAGTTTTGTTTTTCGTTAATAACGACTTCAAATATCCCGCTCCGTGTTAACTTTATAAAAGTTCTGAGGTAACAAACATAAAAAAAATACAGACTAATTGAGAACCCCCTCCTTTGGAAGTTGGTTAAAAATTGACATGTTCTAAAATCGTTTTTCGGTTTTACTTCATTTTTGAATGAATGAAATGAAATGTATTTCATTTTTATATATATATATATATATATTTATATATTTATATATTTATCTCATTATATATATATATATGAATAAACATAAGGCAACGACAAGTGGACAAAAGCCATTTAATGGTAATTTATCTTTAAATAAAAAAATCATAATACAGAGATAAAATGTTTAGGGATGAAAAAAGTGAGCTTTAACGAGTCTTTTAAATATTGCCAGTGATTGCGCTCGCCGGATTTGAAGCGGTAAGGAGTTCCAAACCCTGACCGATTCGACAGAAAAGGATTTCGAGTAGAAGGAAGTATTATGGGAGGGAATTTTTAAGGTCAGGTTATTCTCGGAGCATTTTTGTTATTATTTTAATACAAATGGCATCTAAGCGGTCAAGTACGTATAAATAAATTATTTATCCGAAAATCCACGAAACTTAAGGCGAGCATTGTATTATCGCGGTAAAAGTAAATTTAGTTACTTATGTACTATTTGTATACTATACGAAATTACTCAAAGGATATACATGCAAATTGTTGGACTTAAAACAAACAACTTAAATTGTCGCGTAGATTCTATTTCGATATCTTGCAGGATTCAGAAGGTAATTATGTAGTCGGGTAGGAAGGTAAGATATATAGTAGAGCCACGTGGCAGTTTTTGCTGTTCGTGCAACAGGGCAGGCTCGTTCACGGAAGTACAACGGCCTCACAAAGGAACGGCGCGTGTTGCAGGTTTTTTTATGTGAGAAGGTGGCAAACGAGCTGGTGGTTCACCTGATGCTAAGTGTAACACCCGTAGGGTTGCCACTTTTTAGTTAAGCGGCCCCGCATACCTCACTCACCAGACGAAATGCAGAAATTTAACACTTCCACTTCACGCCGGTCTTCTGTGAGATCGTGTACCCGGACGGAGCTGCCAATTCGTGCAACAGCGAAGACTGTTGCGTGGCCCAACCACAGCTAAACAGGTATTTTACTCCCACTTTTACAGGCTGACAATGTGTTGTAAACGTCCATGGGTGTTTATAAAACTAAACGGTTCTAATTTCAATTACGTTACTATATCTACGAGGATGAAGTCGCGAGTTTATGCTGGTATTGATTTAAATAAACAAGGAATCGCTCTTTTCGCCCATTGGCAGACGTCTTTCCCACTTTAGACACATTTAATATTATAGGCGTTGATGTAAAAATTGTTATTAATAAAAAAATGTTTTACGTTCTCATTTAAATAGATTCTGAAGCAATTTAAAACTCAAGCGCAAAAAGCGGCTTTGGCCAGCGAATAAATAGGTTAATTGTGACGCGCCCAATTGGCCTCTGATAAACGGCGAAAACGGCACGAAAATAACGATTAAAATAACAACAAACGTCAGTACATCTTCACTATTGACACCGTCATCCCGTAAGGTTATTGCCTCTGTTATTTTTAATGGTACTGCGTCGTACAAGTGCGCCTAGTTGGAATGAGGCCGCGGGGCGAGGCTGGGTCAGATAGGTGGCGGCGGTGCGGTGCCAAATTGGCCCCTATTGCCAGGTAGTAAGGGGGCTAGGTGTGCGCCGCGTGCGTACTCTGTGACGTCAATGGCGCGCGCGTGTGTGCGTGCTATCAGAGCGATAACGGGCCGGGGGTGAAGGATCGCCGACGCAACGTTCACGTGTCGGCCATCATATCGACGTATTCTAGGAAGATGCCCAGATACCGGCTGATTGATTGCCCTTTGTTTGCACGCGGCCTGCTTAATTACCTGTTGCTTTACGCCACTATCGCTGTTATTGCGAGTCGGAGACCGTTCCGACTGACCCTCGCGCCGCGCTCCCGTAGCGGCTAGCATTATCGCCGAGTGGAATTGTTTGAAACGGGACGTGTTTAAATTATTTTTATTCTCATTTCCGACTACTAATTCCGACAGCTTAGATTCCGATTTTTTTTAATGTGCGAAGGTAAAAAGCGAGCTCGCGGTTCACCTGGTGCTAAGTAAACGCCGCACAGGGACATTTGCAACACCCGTAGCATTGCACATTTTAATAATGTGGACCCCGGCTACCTCAACCACCAATCGAAACTCAGAAGTATAACACTTTACGCCGATCTTCTGTGAGGTTGTGGTACTTATCCGTACAGAGCCGCCCGTTTGTGCAATACCACCTACCACAGTTAAAATTTTGTTACTTGACTTAACGCAGTTTAACAGAGCTTTAATTATCTATATTAACGACCCTCGCAGATTCGATTTGAACTATTAAAGTACTCCGAGCAAAAGTTTTAATTCTGACAAAACAAAAATATCTATATATAAAATGAACACCTAAACGCTTTTGTTTTTATTTGGCACATAGAACAGCAAACAGTACAATAATCTTAATAATGTAGATATCGAAATATTTAATTGTAGATATCCCAAGATAAGAATACACCAAGACTAAAACTGGGACGTGGAGGCAAACTTCCGTGTGCATTAATTTACAGAGGCGGAAATGAAGAACAAAAAAAATGCAAAAAATGCAGAAGGCTCCGAGGCGCTAGCAGCCTTAACGGTTCACGGTACACAAAACCCCACTTACAGCGGACGCGATATCCGGTCGGCTCCCACGCGACACTAACGCCCGGTTACTGAAACACTGCTCATTGTAAAAGTCAACTAACCAGCTGTCAAATAGATTTAGAAATGTTATTTGAGTATCCAAAAGAATCCTCTTTGAATTGATCATTCTGATCATTAATTAAACCGTTCTGATCAATTCAGAGAATTTAACAATCCTTTTGCCAACTCAAACAACATTTGAAAAGCCATTTGACAGCTGATTAGTTGTCTTCTACGATGATTAGTGTTTCATAAACCGGGCGTAAGTTGTTGCTTAGTTTCCCTCGAGTGTCAAGCTCTTTTAAATTTAACTGGTGGTCGCCCAGTCGTCGAAATTCAATAAAAATTAATTACAATGCTAGTGTGTGTAATGTTTTTATTATTGATTTAATGTATATTTTATGCATAACTTTTAAAAAAATATTAGGTAGCATCCTGCATTCCTTCTCTATGTAAACTACAAGTGCGGGAAATTTCATACTCCTCCGTCCGCACAATTTTCGTAAAAAGGGGTGCAAAGTTTCTGCTTCACGTATTATAATACATATAAGATAAGATAGAGAACGAAAAAATTTAAGCAAAACTTAGAAACTGTAAGTGTCTTAATGTAAGTGTACTATGTTATTCACTATAATACATTGAGCTTTTGATTTTTAGTATACATACATTAGTATATGGCACGCGACAGTTGTAGCGTCTGAACAAGTCATTCAATTATCAAGATTACCACTATTGTTACTTTTGTAAGCTGCATTATTTTTTAAATATTTAAACATACATGCAAATGTGACTCTACCTGTATGCTTAAAATTCACTTTTAGGTACATAGAGGTATTATAAAACGCCCCTTGTAAAGCAGAACTTCGAACGGGTTTTGAATTTACGACAAGGCAAGTCCTTCCTCGTCGTTAACTTCTGACATCGTTAAGGAGAAAATAATTCTTTGTTCGTTTTCGATGATTCCTATACAATGTCTATTTGTGTTTAGGAACTAAGATTCATTTAATCACTATTCACAACTCAGTTCTGAACAGTTTAGTGTCTCACAATTAAAAAAAATATTTAAAAAATGCAGAAAAATGAACATCCGTTGAAGAAAAGTTTTCACGAAGTTTTGTGTAAAAAATATTGTAATAAGTAACCAAAAAATGTTTCTACTTTTTTCGTTCCGTTTTTTGTACAATCGGTTCAAAGGTTTTTTCGCATGGATGTAATACATTGCTTTTACGACATCCGAGAAATGGAGCTGTCTGCAGAATTAGTTAGCATTGACATTAGTTAGCATTGTAGCAACCTGCTACGGCCGTTAGTAGCTCGGCAGCTGATATACGCGGACCCTTGCTGCGCCGGAAGCAATGTCGCGCCAACTCCAGCCCAGGGTTGAAACACGAGGGTGCGAGAGTTTGCAACATTTACGAGCACTTAATAATTTTAATCGTGTTAAAGCATAGTAGTTTTTGATGTCGCAAAAATGGCCAGGTTCGCCTGGGAGACTTTCCCAAAAAACTTTTTTGTTATGCGAAAAGCTGGCAAGCGAGCTGGCGGTTCACCTGATGTTAAGTGATAACCGCCGCCCATTGACATTTGCAACACCCGTAGGATTGCATATGCGTCGCCACCTTTTAATAAAGTGGGCTCCGTCTACCTTACTCACCACACGAAACGCAGAAGTATAAGACTTCTACTTCACGCTAATCTTCTGTGAGTTCGTGGTACCTATCCGGACGGAGATGCCCATTCATTGCGTGGCCCTAGCACCTCTCCGAAGTTTTTCCGGTATCGAGTGAGACGATCTTTTTTATTTTGTGAGAGAATTCGTGATTATTTCCACCTAGAGAGCATATCGCCAAGATAACGGGACCAAACAAGACACGAGATTGGGTGACGTGGATATTCCAAGAGATCCAGTGCTAAGCAACCCTCCCAGCAACGGATAGACTCTAGCTGGTGACACGAGTGTCATAATGCCTCCCACTAAATAGAATAAAGATTGAACCTTTTTTACATCATACGTGGGGTTACAAATATGTTGCTACCCGTTTAAAATCCTGTACTAGTAGACTCACACTGCAGACGAAACATGAATGTCTAATACGTCTTCATGCCCTGTTCTTTAAGGCCGTAATAGATCACCGGAAAAGCCTACCCTGCTGCTACCGACTATAGCTTATTGTAGACCTCAAGACGGAATTTGACGCCGTGAAGTAATAAGCTTAAACAAAGCATCCACAAGATCAGGCGTGATTATTTTTTTTATTAGAATATCCCTTCAAATACCCAAGAAAACATTCTAGAAATAATAATAGGTATGGTAATAATGCCGGAGCAGATATAGTCGTTTAAATTCGTAGTTATCTTTTTGCTGTTTACTTACTTTTATAGTACGCAGATAACTACGTAGGTGATTCAACTTGTTGTTTAATAAAAACATTCAGTTTATTTTATTTCATTGAAGCGGGCTTATCTTACAATAGCTTACTCGATACGGCTCCTCGCACGAAGATTAATACATCAAGTGTGTACCTATTTCTAGTGTTAAACAGAATTTATGATTAAATGAAACTGTTTTAAGAACCTTGTCCTGTGGCCATGAAAGCTAAAAAGTGTTCGAAAAGGGTTTAAAAATCCGTAAAATAGTTTCACTTCACCACGCCAAATGCGATTAAGGTTTCGGCTTTTTTCCAATTTGCTCTACCAGTATTGAACTATTTTGTTAGTACAAGGTTACTAGTTATTTGTCTAAAATAATAGTAATATAATGGCCTAATAAATGTTGGCTCATGAACGAAATAATTGTAAATCATTGACAAGTTAAAAGTATTACAAAAGATCTCTAATGGCATCATCACAAATGGGGATATCAAAAACGGAGACAATATTTGTTTTAACGATATGAATTAAAATAATTTTCTAATGAAACTATCCAAGTGATGTGATCGTGATTAACTTAATTTTTTTACGTTGTTAAATCTAAGTGTTGGCAGCCCTAGGTGAAACAAGGGCGGTTGTCGCGAGTCTCGCACCTAGCACTTGCAGAAAAACTGCGAACGGGAACAGCCACTCGTAGACCTGGAAACGACCTCCCGGGCCCATTGCGTAATGTGCCAAATGTGCTCAGCACTTACACGGATAAATATTTAAATCCATTGTTTGAGTGCTGTTATTCCGGGGCCGGATATCCGGCGAGGCGATGCACTCGCTCCCGTTTTCATGTCGCTCTATCGCTCTGTACGGAGTGTAAAAAATTTGTAACATAACCGTGATTAAACTGGACATTTTATGAAGATGATAGTTTCAGTTTTTTCATGAGAATGATAGTTCTGATCCCGAATGAATACAAATATTTTTAATGTAAGCAAAAAGTAAATTCGATCTTACATTAACTGTGATTTTATTTCTTAAAACTTAAGAATAATATTAATAATAAGAAAGCAACCTTTAAATGTATATCTAACGTATGTTTAGGAGTAAGTTAGTAGTAGTTAATTTAAGGTAAGTTCCAGCTCGAGATTGGAAAAGGTAAATAGAGGCAACAATATATTAACAATTAATAACTGTAATAAGTTTTATTATTTAAAAAATGCAAATAACTATTGGTTGAATCTAGATTAGACCTGTAATTGTAGATCTTCAAGAATTTAATGAAATTTTTGAAGAGGTTACATTATTTGCTGTGTCGCTCCCCAAGAAATTTTCTTCCAATTACGACCACTTTTTCAAATCAAAAGAATCATTCTAAAATATGTGAAGTATGTCAATTCGTGTCGCACACTTTGTACAAAGGACGCTTTTAACCAGCGGATCCTGTATCGGATGTTACTTTCCTCTTTTTCTTTTTTATTTAAAAAATTGCGTAATTTCGATGCACGTTGTTTATGAAGATTTAATATCCCGAGGACGAGGGACAAAAGTGAGCAGAAATATGCAAGCACATTTGCTGCTTCGAAACTTTCTTTACCTATTGAATAACTCCCCCCCCCCCCCCCCCCCAGCATCCACTATTTCGGTTGCGTCATACCGCCACGATGCGAGACGCGTAATTAATTAGCGGGCGACAATAGTGGGCCCCGGTTTTTTATGAGGCGAGCACTGCCCTAAACAATGGAGGGCCCATAAAGTAACTTTCTCGGTAAGCCGTCATGTGCCAGTGATGCAACGAAAATAATTGAATAATGAATTTTGCGTTTGTTTGCTCCCGCGAGTGACTGCTGCTCGATTTTACGGGCTCTTTGTCTCCCGAGTTATTTATGAAGTAGTCGGTTAATTATTGCCCTATACGATAATGTTAGCCGAGCATAGCGGTGATAGCTCATTGTCCGGGCGCTTGCTTTTAATTCAATACTCGAGCAACCTGAGTTCGATCCCCGGTGACGGCAACAGTGAAGTTTTTGATTTTAAGCGATGATTTATCAGGTGCTCCGCGGTTAATAAAAACATTGTGGGGGAAACCTGCATATTCTGGAAGACATGTGAAGTCCGCCAATCTGCAGTGCGGCCGCGTGGTGGACTTAAGCAGACTGGTACCTTTCAACGCTAAGCAGGCTGTCTTACTTATGTAATTAACAAGTATCGCTTATGTAATTATTATGCATTGGTTAAATAAAATACATTTTAATAAAATAATTTTATCGGCGGTAGGGCCACGCAGCAGCCTCGGCTGTTGCACGATCGGGCAGGCCCGTCCAGGTAAGTACCACGACCTCGCAGAAGACCAGCGTAAAGTGGAAGTATGACAAATACTTTCGCGTTTCGTCTGGTGAGTGAGGTGGCCGGAGCCCAATTTTCAAAAGGTTGTCAACGCATTCTGCAAACCCTCGGGTGTAGCAGATGTCCATAGGCGGCGGTATTCACTTAAGATCAGGTGACCCATCTGCTCATTTGGCAACTTTTCGCATTAAAAAAGTTACAAATATTGCCATAGATAAACAAAACTGTCTATCAAGCCTATTTTTCAGGGCGCTGTGCCAAGACCGCTGTCAACTCTTATGCTAATGCTTGTATCCAACCTTTGAGCAATCAACCTGGATATAGAGCTCAGTCAAGCGTCAGTGCCCAAGAAACGCCAGGTGTGACTGCACGGATATAAGCACACAAATAAACAAGTCAGCCGCACCAACGTGGCCCGTACGTGTCCCGCGTCCGATTTGAACCGGTGCCAATCAGCGCCCCCTGCCGACACATTAGCTACCATTAGCGATTACCTATCGTCACTTTTATTCGTCAATAAATTCAGTGGTCACAAGTTTGCCGTCGTCGAATAACGGACGCCTGAAATTTAAGCGAAATATAAAACTCGCTCGCGTTCAGAAAGTGCGTGAGTTCGACAGCCTAACGCAATTACGTGTTCATGTCTATCTAGATGTATTCTAATGAAAATAGATTCAATATTCTCATGCTTAAACTTCTAGCTCTTATCCGTCTAAACTGAAGGCAGAATTTAAAAAACCAACTAAGCCTAAATGCCTCAGTCTTTTTTGGTTGAGTAAAAAGATTAATTCACTGAAGATCTTATTTTTTGACCTTACCAGTTTACTTAACCTTGTAACTGTACAAACCCATTTTTTATTAACGAAAAACAAAACCGCCTTCTAATATCTCACTCTGTATTTATTTTATAGTTGATTTTCAGGAGTTCCCTAAATATCTCCTTAGTCTGAGATCCAATATCAATGAAATTAATATGGGGCCTCATGGGAAGCACCAGCTTTCAAATAAAAAGGAATAAATACAAAAGAATCATCAAAATGGGATCACGCAGTCGAAAGTTCTGAGGTAAAAAACATAAAAAAATACAGTCGAATTGAGAACCTTCTCCTTTTTTTGAGGTCGGTTGAAAATTACTAATGCGTGTACAATAACTTTGGTACCTTCCTTCAGTTCTTCCCCTTTAAAATTTTATGGAGTAACAAAAATAAACAACGGGAACAGGATGAAGATAAGCAAGTGTAACTTAAAGTTATCTTAATGCCAAGTTAACATCGTGTTTAGTCCTCGAGCGGACAATGCCATCGCAACAGATGTAAGAAACGAATCGAGCTTTTTGTAACTTGTTTTTGTTTCAACGGACCAACAAAAGATTTACGGCTCGCGTACTCACGGTATCGGTGTGGCATCAGCCCAATATAATGGCGATTTTGACACTTCCAATACAACGGAGCGTCCGGCAGACCATCTGGCACCGGCCTGTGGTCGACGGATACCTGCCCGAAAATATAGCCCTTATTGCGATGGTAATAAGGCGTGCCGGAGTCACTCGCGCCATTGGGAAGGACAAAGCGGGCGATGGCTAGAACAATTAGCGTTTGTTCGCGGGTCCTGAGGCGGCCGGTGGGAGCGGATGGCCGCCATATGGTGCCAAAGTGCGCGAACGACACGCACTCTCGCCGAAGACCCTGATTCGTTTGATTTATAATCCTTTTGTCGTCACAAACGATTCTTGTATTATCTTGTATTATCTTTCAGTCCCGAGACAATTAAAGCTTCATCGAACGCAGAACCGGTGGGCTAAGGGCTAGCCAGAACCCACGCGTTTGAGGTTCTCTTCAGTGAGTAGAGCCGTAACTGTACTGTGTGCGTTAATTATGCATGTCGCCTACACCTACTACACCGGTCATCGAGGTTCGGTGCAGACCGTGACCCCGATGGTCGTTGGTTGTGCTTAGTCAGTGGCTGCGGACGTAATGTACGCGTTGAGTTGGTTTCGCCGTGCTCGAAGGCGAGGACGAACTATGGTGTTTGTGGATGCGCTAACTGAGTGTGTAGTGTTATTTGTTGTACCCCGGACAGTGGGTCCGACGTACTTAAGTATGTCACAAACGCACTAATACTCGTACTTGATACTTTGATAGTTTCATTCGATCATTGTTAGTCGCTTATTGGCAGTATTGACTCAGTAATGTTGGCGTTATCAATGATTCAATATTGAATATGATTTTCGAACATCTACGGCTGCATCTCAGTTTACCATCACGAGGTACAGCGTTGAAACAGTGGCCATTTTAATGAAAAACATGTGATAAGTTCACACTACAACAATAAGCTATCGAAGGAAAGAAAACAGCTAAGTCTGATAACATCTCTGCGAATAACTAAAATTGTAGATACGTATTAATACTTAATGAGACGGTCCCAAACGTTTTCGTTTTACAAGCTGTCGGAACACAAAAAATGTTCCCTTACTAATCTACGACGATGAGTGTCCAATGTGGTGCTGTTGAGTTTTTTTCCGAAAGGGTTGCAGCACCGCCGGTGCTCGACTGCCGGCGGAAGATAACCTCGCTGTGCCCTCAGCTGATTACGGTTTTTACTCGGCCGCCGCTTATCTCGGGACTGCGATAGCCCTCGATGGATACCGCCGCCGATAGGTTTGAGTGACATGTCGATTTTTTACGCGCGACCAGCTCCTAGCTTTTCCTTATCATAACGCAGCGTGGTTCGTAGGTAAATGAAATTACTCCGTGACGATGACTCCGTGGCGTAATGGCCGAGATATTAGCTTCGACGTCGGAGGTCGTGGGTTCGATTCCCAAAGGGACAACTATTTATGTGACCCACAGATAGTTATTACGCATCTGGGTGTTTGTCCGCGTGAAATTTATGTGTGTAAAACGTTCTTACAACACAGGATAATGCAATCCTAAAGTAAGAGCAAGGTATTTAAAAAAAAAACAGAAAAATGAAATGGAAGTCATGCTGAAATTCAATAAATAGGTCTTAGACAATAAGGGCAGTTATGTCGGGCATTCCCTGTTATTCACCTGGTCTTTGAGTCCCAGGCTGGAAATAATAGAGCGCGTCATAGTTGTTTTTACAATTAAGTAGAAATAAGTTATTGTGTGTGGATAAAATCAAATAACCTTAGAAAAGTTCAGAAGTGTTCACTATGAAGTATACCAGATCAACAACGAATTAAGGAATTCGTAAACGTGTAAAGACAATGTATGTACACTATTGTCGAATATTATTTACGTTTTCATCACTTAACTCTACTCAATGGCACTATTCAAACAAATTTTCTTCCAGGTTTCTGATGCAGATTCGTATAACGCGTGCAAATCTGCTAAAGAGTTTGCAGTCAAAGAGTAGTATTAACGATTGAGGAATTTAATGTCTTTAAATCTAAATTTATATTTAAATCTTCGTTTTTATAATCCCAAACCGTGGCGTTCTAAACTGCATAATCATGTAGGTTCGTCGATATTTCAAAGTTTCTTTACTAGGTAATTAATTAAACTATACTCGGCAAATAAGAAAGCGGCGCGAATTTCACATAATACTCAGGTCAGTCTCAAATCATTACATCGGAGATATCTGATGTGGTATCGATTTGAGTTCTTGTGTAAAAACTCCCGCGGAACAAAGAAAAAATCAGTAACACAGCTTCTCAATGGCTGTCCTAATAATAGGTAGATGCGGGCACACTCAAAATGCTATTACATTCATTCCGGATTTACCTTTAGCTTTCATCCCATATCGACTGGAAATCGCATTGTATCGACATCGATAACTGCGACACAATGCACCGCGAAGATGTGGGTCGATAGGCGAGGGCACTTCACTATAGGCGTTAAATAGGGTACTGTGTGAAATACCATAATTAAGGTGATTTTAAGTCTTTTTTTTTTCATATACAATATTTTTAATATTTTGCCAATATACAAATTAAAAATGCTTCCGACTTGGTCGCAAAGGGTAAAGCATTTAATATGATGTTTGTTTTATTTAGGTTTAGGATGATGAAGGGTAGCTGATAAAGGAATGAAAAAAGCTGATACTTTTCTTCTTCTTTTGTATAGATAATTAGATATATAGATACCTTAGTGCTATTTTCTAGTGCCTAGAAAAACACTATGTTCATCACAAAATATATTTCCAGTAGTGGGGATCGAACTTACACCTTCTGGGGCAGGAGACACGTACACTACCCAGGGTCATTAATGTTACTTTTAATTAAATTTTATTTTATGCTTATATGCTTATTGCTCAGTTTAATATTTTGATTTTAATTAATTGGACTAATTATTATAGATATATAACATTAACCCTCCCGTCTTTATTTTTTTCCATGTGTAGATAAATGTACACGGATTCCCCACGGACGAATATTCGACCTACTATTTTTTTCTGGTGTGCGAGTTTAGACCTAGGATTTTCCTCAACCGGCGGGATGCTTAATTCGTACCTAAAATAGCAATCATCATGTTTACGACACGCTCAGCTCTCATCAAACATAGGTATCAGTTAATATATACGTTAAAGAGCGATTATACTACACTCTTATTCCTCCACGACCATTTCCAGTTGACCAAACTTTTGCAAAATAGGAAACAGTATTAAAAAAAAGCAACAAAAAACATACAACCGGCTTATTGTTCAATGTTACCTCAATGTCTTCAACATTTTATGACAAACAACACTAAGAAGAGACAACTTACCTGTAAACACCTTCACCAGATGTTCTGGGTGTCAAGCTATTAATTTTACAACGCCCTGTTGGAACTATTTGGAACATAAAGTAACGAACCGAACTAAAGAGTAGAAAATAATTTTCTATATATTTAAATTATGAATAGTGTGATTAAATAAAAAAATAAAATTTTGTAGAATAGCACATTATAATATTTTAATGACAGTATATTTAAAGTATACTGGTACAAGTAGAGTCATATATAGATATGAAAACATCTTAAAAAGCACTCCACGCTTTTCAGCATTACAACACATTTCATAATTTAAATTTATTGAACACTAGCGACCCGCCCCGGCTTCGTACGGGTGCAATGTATCATACATATGAACCTTCCTCTTGAATCACTCTATCTAGTAAAAACAACCGCATCAAGATCTGTTGCATAGTTTTAAAGATTTAAGCATACATATGGACACACAGGCAGAGCGAAGACTTTTTTTACTACTTTCTATGTAGTGATGATTATTTTGTTCTTTTTAGTTCGCATTTACAAAAGCTTTTTTTTTAAGTTTTTTTAACTATTATCAATTTTATATTTTTTACTTCTGCTAAGTATAAATGCATGTTTTTTAAACATTTTTTAAATGCGTACTTTGCACATGGGCACTACCGCATATCGAAATTGGGGAATAGCTTATCCTGAAGGTCCTGGTCTGGATGATGGGAAAAACTATTTCAATCATTGCATTGTCATGGGTCTTTGACGAGTATGCAATGATTGATTCAAATCTGTATTCAAACATACATGACATAATATAAACGTGTAAATAAAGATAAATGACGCACGAACTACTGACGAATATAATACAGTATTTACATACATGTTCAAATAATCGCTAAAATGTATCAAATTTATAACATGAACAAATTAATTCATTAAAATATCGCGAATTCTAAGATAACGTCGCCTTGAGAAACGCAAGCCAATGCTATAACTGCGTTTTAAAATATAAATTAAACGCCGCAGAAAATAATTACAATACGCTCGAACATTATTGCACTGGAATATGGAAACCACAGTTTATAACACTCTAGCGAAACAAAACAACCTTTTACCTGTCCATACAAACCGCAGAGGAATGAACACAGCACCTGCTGCCGATCATACCTAAAATTATAACACAAACAAATTGATACCTAACAATGCATTTTCCTCAATATTGCAAATAACGTTCTCTGTGTATTGAAGATTTTTCGATGGGAAAGAATTAGCCTATGTTGAACTTGTGTGACAAGGTTCGTTTGATAAACAGACGAATCACCACTTCTGCTTTGTGTATACTGGAGCCAGAAGAACTGGTGCTCTCAAACTGAACTTACAAAAATTCTGCTCAATTTTTACCTGCTGTTTTTACTTTAAACCCACCAAGTCCAGTTAATTAAACTTCAGTCTGTTAAATAAACTTCTTCCCAAAAAAAATGTCGATTAATATGATAACTCAGTGCCATTCGGGAATACGTGCGTGTCGCTCAAAAATCGCTGTCGCTGTTGTCTTCCTTTTTGTCCGCCGGGACAACTATCTGTGGGTCACACAAATAGTTGTCCCGTGTGGGAATCGAACACAGGACCCCTGACGCCGAAGCCCATGCCTTGGCAACTGCGCCATGGAGTCATCAAAATCTTATAATGAAATGGGTCCCGTCTACCTCTCTCACCAGACGAAACGCAGAAGTAAAACACTTCAACTTCACGTCCGGTCTTCCGTGAGGTGTGGTACTCAACAAGACCTGCCCATTCTTGTTTCTACCACAAGTTGATCGCCTATAAATAATCAAGCAGTGATAATTTGATGCAAATAGTGCAACTAATTAAAAACGTCAATCTCTTTCTTAGCCCATATTCTGGTCTCAACTAACTGATCCCCTGTTAAAACATTTTCAATCAAACTTAAAAATCTTGTATTATGCACAGCAGCTGGTGCAGACACACACATGCATGTTATTTAAAAAAATCGTAATATATCAAACAAACCACAAGCAACCTTGGGCTTCGCATAAAGCGATGAAGTTGAAACAATAGCTTCTTTAACGGCAAGCGACGAGCTTAGGTGCGACTGCGAGGGTCCACGTGCGGCCCACGTGTGCCACGGGAAAAGGTGCTATTGTCCAACGATCCTTACATAACGAATTATTTACAGCACTACGAAACGTCTTCAACGTTAACACAAGGGAACAAAGAATAGATCGGAAACAATTCACATTTTGTAGCCTATTTATGCGAAATGACAGTCCACCGCTTTCATATTGTTCTATATGCCTTTAAAAATTCTATTTATGCCTTTGATATCAATGCATGACAACAAAATTTATTTTAAATTGACATTATAATTTTATTTTTTTATTAGAGTAAACTTTGAAACATATTTCAGAATTAATGCCAGGTCACTTGACTAATGCAATATCTTCAATTTTTAATTATTTTCACACGAACTGCAAAGTGCACTCCTCGATAATTGAATATCCAAAACGCATCGCATGGAAATCAACATAACGTAAACAATAGTCATAAATTTAGTCATGAGCATAAACTGAACAATGGTCACCGCAGTAGTCTGGATTATGTAATGAATACCTATGTATATGCTGCTTAAGGTATGCTTTTATCTAGGTCATTCTGCGGTGTCACAATGTTATAAAATATGTCTGTTCACCCACACACAAATATTTTTCTGCATTGGTGCTTTTTAAAAAAAGAGAAGATGGGAAAATAATAATTATTCCAATTTAGTAAATTTAGTTTTAGTTCTCATCTGTAAACATTTAGACATTCTATAGATTGCTTAAACAACACAGTCGAGCTTTCGCTTAGGAACGCCGCCTAGCGCCATCTAGTGACAAAAAGCTTTACTAAAGAACTTACGTTTGAAATTTGACATGAAATCAGTGCGACAATAAGCAACAAGTAAAATTTTCATAATCTCATGTAAATAATATTTATACATTTTATATTTGAAAATTTTAGTTTCTTAACATCAAAATAAACCTCAAAGCTCGTAATTTAATCAATAATCAAATTAACAAATCTATTTGCGCATGTTAATTAAAACGTGGCATGTACGGTTCGTAGCGAATTAAAATAACACACGTCTCATTTTGTCACGTTTTGTCGAATAGGTATTCATCGCTGGTTCCATTTACGCGAAGCAAGACGCTAGATAGAGACAGGTAGATCGGCGAGAAGGTGGAGCGTGGTGTGTAAATAAACAAGGCGAGTCGCGTCGCTGAGCACCTTCCGCTGACCGTCCAGGAGATGGACCGAGATGGCGACGGTGACGGTGGGCCTCGGCCGACGACGGTGGCGGTGGCCGCTAATTAAGTGGAGGTGGGGGCGCCGCGCCCGGGAGCGGGGGGGCGCTCCGTGGGGGCGCGGGGCGGGCGGGGGGGTGCAGCGCGCAGGGCGGGGCGAGAGGCGGGCCGGCTTCATTCCGCCGCGCGCCGCGCCGCAAACAGCACGTAGTCCGCGCGCGCGGGCCATGGTCGCGAGAACCGATGAGATGTTCGGGTGCTATGGTGACAGCTACTCGTACCGCCTGTGGAGCCTGGCCAACGTATGGGGCGCCTGCCGATGTGAGTAACGCCGCGTGCTGGGACTGTGACGTCAGCGCGCGCTGGCCGCCCGCGAGTGCGCCGTACCCTCGGTAGTGACGTGAACGAGGTGCTAGATGAAAGTGCAGAGCCCGCTTATGGGAGTTGGCGGTTGGTACGAAAGCCTGGCGGCCGCTTGGCTCGCGGACATGAGGAGTAAGCAGGTCCCCACCTCCACCACCTCGGCCAGGCGGCTCGCATCCTTAAGTAAGCTTCTTTTCCTTTCGTTTTTATTTGCAAATTTTTCTGAGTTATCTTTCACTTTTTTATTAATTTATTTTCATTTATTCTTTTTCTGATTTTTTTGTTAAAAAATTTAATTTTGTTTGTATACCATTTCTATTTTACAAAGCTAAACAGAATTCTATCCCACAGTGTACTTTTAATGTTCGTAAAAATAAAGTTTCCCGCTTGATAAAAAAGAAACGTTGACCGCTGAATTGAACCAGGTGAAATTTGTACCACCTCGGTCGTATCGAAAATAAAACTCGAGCACGTCTTCATTAGAAATAACCTCGGTGTGGCAGCCTCCCCTCGGCTCCCCCGGGATATAATTCATCCACTTGAGAATCGGGAACAGGTACACACGGACTTGAAAGAAAGTTGCGTCTGACGAGGGGAACCCCGCTCTTTCGACGTCTTAAATCGTAAATGATTATGTTGTTTTAATTCATTTGCTTCCTTCTTTTTCTTTTCACTTTCGCTTTTACTTTATCCTTCTTTAAATGCCGCCTGTCTGGAGTTGGTGAAATGATAGGGACGTTTGACTCTATCAAAATATCGGATGCGTCCAATGTTTCCGGTAAAGCGTTTAGACTCTTAGAATATTAAAGTGAAAATTCACCTTGGTCGATCCTAGGAAGGAATTTTGCGAAGTTGGACATATTAATAATTAAGCATATTTAAATAGATATACTTTTTGTCATATGAAAATGCTAACTACGAGCAGTATTAGAATTAAAGATCAATTTGGCAAATACGTCTCTTCGACACTTTTACCGTTTGGAAAACAACTCCGAAACATACTAACAGTATTGTTAAAATTTAATAATTGCTTAATTTATAAACCCTTATAAATTGCACTTTGTTCAGATATCGATGCCAAATTCGAATAGATAATGACCTTTTACCTTGCATAGTCAATATTCATAACAGCAGATTATTGAATCCATTGGAAAAAGAATTCAGAAATTTGTTGAATTGTGTTGACAACTGACAGTAGTCATTAAAAAAAATGTCGTATATAGACTGTTAATTTCTGTAATCATTGAGAAATAGAGCAGTTAAGAAACTTTTGCCGTGAGATGATGACATGATAACTATATCTGTATAATTAATAAGCAAACATTTCTCGGAACCGATAAGTGCTCCTTGGCCCTGCACTAATCACTGGTTTGGCGTAAACAATATTAACGGATTCATTTACTGGACAAACACGGGTCTGACGATTTGTTAATCAGTGTTTGAAGAGCGCCGTGATTTACCTTAACGGTAGGGTGACTCACCGGTAAGTGATTCAGTTAGGTTTTTCTACTTTCTTATTTCATCTCTTCTGTTTCTGAATCAGCTGCAGTCTATTGATAGCGTTCATAAGGCACCTCCCTTGCAATTTCACATATTCCGCCTGCGATTCGGTCAACAAACGAAAATTTCAAATACTCTTATATTAATTTTAAATCGGCTTCCTATATGAACATTCGGATGGTTAGGCTACAAATTACAGCTACAATTTAATTTCAAATGAACGTAACAAAATTCCAAGATATTATTGCACATTGACCGGTTAGTGTTCCGTCGTAAAAAAATTGCATAGCAATATTTTGCCGTACGTTTGCTTTCAAGATTTTCTAAAATACATTCTGATTTATTTTATTGGGACATCTCATAATCGTAATTCACTTGTCTCGTTTATTTTTTTTTGAGCATAAACAACGTATAACATAATTTCGTTTGACAAATAGTTATTTCGAAGATTTAATGGGATTCGATATATTATATAACTTTTATTATACTTGCGATTGGCTTACATATATTTAATGCTTTTAAGCTGTCATCTCTGATTAAACAATTGGCAGGTGTTGGGACACGTTTTATTGCTAAACAAAATTTAAATCTTTTACAAGCGACAAGCAATTAATATCGATGTAAGTTAATTGCGTTACTGACTCGAAGCAATATTTTATTGAAAAATGAAAAACAATTGTATCATTCTCGTCAATTCTGTTGGTTTACCCGAACTTGATAAGAGGCAAGAATATTGCTAGCTCATTTCACTGCAAATGCAACTGAAATTGTTGCACGTGGGAGTGCATAAAAATCCTAAACAACACCGGAACGCAAATCAAAATAGACCATAACCATAAACAAGTACGGTAACAACTGTGTAAACAAGCGACGTCTCGCCACGGTGACCTACAGTTTCCACACCCAATACAAATATTTTGAGATGGCGGACGCGCGAACTCTTTTTAATGTCTCCGCGACAAAAAGTTCACAAATTCGGTGCAGCAAAGGAACACGATTTGCTATACTCTACGCAGATCAACGTAGATATAACATTCTTATAATTAAATAGTGTACGGTGTACGGTGTAGGCTCATTATATATTGAGTTCTGCTCAGCAACTTCGAACAAATTTAACAAAATTACAACAATATAAAACGAGAAAACAGAATTCGCTAGATATGAATGTAGTTTTACAATTTGTAATTTTCGCGAATCGCAATCAGTAGGTTCTACTCATAAATTTATAGTCTACTGAGAACTTTTTACAATTTCTAATATTTGCGTCATATTTTTTTATATCTACAGTATTCAAAAATTACAAATGACTTACAGAAGACCGAATATATTTATTTTATTAAGTTTATATCGTCTGATATTTTTAAAAAATCCCTTCGTTTTAATGCTATGCACAAGGTTTTTATTAACAAAAACAAACCGACTTCTGTTTGTTTTTCTGTACACTCACTGTACATTTTCTGTTTGGTTTTGAGGGATTTCCTCCTTTATTTCTGGAATCCAAGGTACAATAACAATTAAATTAATAATATATAGACCACATGAGAGGTAGGCCGATCACAATACAAAAATATACTGTTTTGAAATCGGTTGAAAGAGTCATGTGGCTCGATCAGTTTACGTGGCCAATATCAAAGTCCATAGAGTTTCGTGAGACGCCATTAAGTATGGGACGGTGTCGAAACTTTCGCCGGCGCCTTCAATGCCGAGGCGGCGAGCTGCTGGGTGCTGGGCCCGCCGCCCGCCGCCCGCGCCTGCCCTCCCCCCACAGGTGCGACCAATCACCACCGTGCGAGCGTGTGTGCGTCGTCGGAGCGTTATCGGCGCGGGCGCGCGTGTGCGCGTGCGATAATTGTTATTTATTGTAACAGTGCAATAGGAAGCGGCCGGCGCGTGTGTGCATTAGTGTAGGTTTTTTTATCAGCGGTGAACGGACGCACTCTGGCCGTGCGCACAGATTACTGGGCCGATAGCCGCCGCCTGTGTAGGTGTACCATCCGCTCCACCTAGTGAAATATAGGTACGTCGCGCGGCTTGTGATAATGAGCGAGCGTGCGTTGCGCCGGCCGTTGTGAACGCTTACGTAATGCCCTAACCGAATTGTCCGTCATGGCGCGTTGCTCTTATTAATTCACGTATGGATGTTTGTGGCGCTTAGGGCACGGTGTGGATGAGCGGGTTTTCTTTAGCACCGCGCAGCGCCATCTGTTGACGAGCAGAGGAAGTAATCTAAGTTTATTTTAACCGATATCTTTTTTAAATGTATAAAACACTTAATTATGTAGGTAACATACTGATTATTATTTGTAAAGTTTGCTAGCAATCAGGTGATTCGTCCGATGTTAAGTGTCTACAAGATAATCTACAAAGACTGCAAATACGTTATTAACTTTAAAAGTGTACGCTGGTTGCCTCAATCATCAGACGAAACGCGAAAATAGCTAAAGTTGATGCTTCCCTAAACGAGCCTTCATGCAACAGCATAAGGTACTAAGTGAGTAGTGAGGCCTACCAGATAAATAAATAATGTAATATCATTCTTATAAACATTACCATAATTATAAGTTTAATAGATAATAATAAAACTAAAAGAAGCGTAATAGAATTTATCTTAATTTGATATTATTAAAAGTGTATGTTATAAGTGTAATTTTAAAAGTTAATTCGTTCTAATCCAACATGAAGTATGCATACCTCTTTTAAATTCTATAAAGAATAACAGATAATGAAAATGCCCGGAACGGAGAATGCCCAATAAAATTATGTAGATGTATCAATGTGATAGATAATCCTGCTTACCGTTATTTATTTCAATATAATTGGTGTAATGATATGTAGGTACATTTATACATGGATCGGCCGTTTACATACTTTGAATATTGAGTTGTATTTACGCCTAATTCTAAATCGGTACAATTTAATTAATATTGAATTATTAACATGGTTATTAACATTCCCTATACAACCTTCATTTTTATTTGATAAGGTGGAAAACGAGCTGACGGCTCACCTAATGTTAAGTGATAACCGCCGCGCATGGCAACACCTATGCGTTGCCACCTTTTAACAAAGTGGACCCCGGCTACCTCACTCTCCAGACGAAACGCAGAACTATAACACTTCCACTTCACGCCGGTCTTCTGTGAGGTCGTGGTACTACCCCGGACGGTACTACCCATTCCTGCAACAGGGAACTGTTGCGTGGTCCTACCACATTAATCACTACCTGTTTAATGTTATTACATTTTTGTATATTAATTTTGACGTGATCTGTGATATTTAAATGAAGATTTATAATTCTATGCTATGCGTGGTATATAACATGTATATGTATGTTGGGATGATATATTCTGTACACCACATAGAGAACAGCATTAGCATATTTGCTTCAGTTTGTTAGAAATTATTAGTATTTTTTACCAAAATAACTTTCTTAAGAATTTAATAATAAGTTTTATCACTTTTTATATAAAAAATGAGTAATATTGGCAGCTTATACTTTTATACATTATATACAGAGTTCCACTTCAATAATAAGAAAATCAGTCATTCATCTTACATCTTTAAAAGAACATTTTGTGGCACCCATATGGCAAGATTCAGTCAACCGTCATTATTACTTAAATTAAATTATTAATAACATTCAATGTGAAAACTGTGAATTGACTACAGGATAGATGAATTTACTAAAACCAACATGCAGCGCCATCTGTTGGTGAGTAGCGTAACCAACGTATACTGCTTTTAAATTTCAATTTTATTATTATACTTACTCTTTTTTTACCTATCGCATTCAAAATGCTTATAACATAGTGAATGCTAACTTATTGAAACTGACGACAAAATTATAATACAGTGATTTATTTTAATGGTTCAGTTCAGTTTACATTCTTTCAGACAAGAATTATACATTTATAAAAATTTTAATAACCTTGTAACAAAATAAATACAGGGATAAATTATTCTAGATTGTCTAGGTAACTTATTTGAAAAATAATATCTTGCACGTGCATGAGCTGCGGATGCTCGAAGCGATAGACTGCACGTTTGTTTGGTATCAATTGCTTGAATACTTTCTCATAACATTTGTTAAAATATTTTGTTGTGATGTCAAAATAAACTAAAAACTTAAGTTTTTTCTTCGTAGAAATCGGCTTACACTAACAACAAGATTAACCAACAAACATTAACGTTGCTGTTCTGTATATTCTAAATGTATATTCTAAATAACGCGGGATGGGATATTAAATGTAATAATAATATGTTTTAAATATTCAACTTTTTATTAATCACTTATACGTTTGAAATTAGAACATTTTCAAATACCTGAGCGTTTCCGATGGACTTAATTTGCGACAGTCACTTAATGGATGAAACGCCGTTCAAATTACTTCGCTGGAGATAGCTGTAGCTGCCTCAGCACTGTTACCGGCCGACGCTAACAGCGGTCCGTCGCTTATGCTGTCGCTGCCGTCCGTGTTAGCGTCGCGCGGTATACGTGTCGGTATTGCCCAAAATTGGACGGGCCCGGTGCCCGGCGCCCGCTAATTAATACGTCGCGTCCTGAAGTGCGTTGATCCTTTATTATGTTTGATTTAGGACGCTTGCGCTATTTCCTACGTTGCGCCCACCGATATATTCCGCTCCACTAACGTATTTAAACGATTCGACTTTTAATGTAAATAATTTGTATTCATAATTAACTAAACTGACACAATTATTTGGTACTCATAATTTACTATGTAAATTGTTTCTTATATTGTTCACTCTTAAAAATAGAAATACATCAAATGAAAGCATGAGATAAAGTATTTTGAATTTATGCAAATATATTAAACTTCTTTCTTGGCTAACACAATATAGTTACGGAAAAATTTAACTCTTACTTACATGCCACTTTCGTTCACAACCGCCAAGATGCTACTATTCCACGTAAATATTTAAAAAATATAAAATCTGTTTACTCCGACTGCGCCTAAGCGTTAACTAGAACAAACATACAAGAGCAAATCATTCTCATGTACAAAAAGGAAAACGGTAATAATGTTACCATTGGTAATGGAATAATAAAACGGCTAAGCTCACCCAGAATCGGTGTATGTACCGACTAGTTTCGGACCTATCAGAGATCCTATATCACGTTGAGTGGGATGAGTTCGCGGTCGCACCCCGTCTTGCACTCACTCAAAACAGGCGAATCCATTTAATCACCACTCACGAGTCTACGTGGATCTTTATTATACCATTAATTGTCTCAAGAATGTTTTGATAACATATTACAATAGCGACGTCGCAGCCATGTCGCCTCGTGCCAACCGTTAAGTGCCCGGTTTCGTTTTCGTAAAAGGTTTATTTTCGAAGAGAAGGATTGGCGACGCGAGAAGCTCGCTTGCCTTTGTTGGTGTCCTAGAATGGGCAATCTAGCATCCTCCACCGTAAACACCTTAACAATCAAAATGGTTATTCAAATATGGGAGGAGAAACTTGTTATACGAGTGATATAATGTGATAAAGATCTATTATTAATAAGTAATTGTATAAGTAATAAAATAATGGGTAAGGACTTTTTTATGTGGGAATGTGGCAAGTGAGCAGGTGGTTCACCTAATGTCAAGTGATAACTTCCGCCCACGGACATATGCAACACCCGTAGGGTTGCAGATGCGTTGCCATCTTATAATAAAGTCACCAGACGAAACGCAGAAGTGTAACACTTCCACTTCATGCCAATCTTCTGTGAGGTTGTGGTACTTACCAGGACGGACCTGCCCATTCGTACAACAGAAGCTGATGCGTGGCCCTACAACAGCGAAGCCTTAAAGATGTCATGTGTAAAGAATAGCGGTGTATGTTGTCTACCGACTGTAAAGTGTCACAAACGATAAAGTATAATATTCCAACACTCTGTCCATTTGTGCCACAGTAGAAGCTGTTTGTGGCACACGCAAACCATAACATCACCATTGATAACGACAAATTTGTTGACATTAGGCAGGCTTATTCAAAAATTTTGTCAATAAAATTATTATTATAATCAGCTGATACAATTTTCAAATAAATTTCCAAAGTAAATTTCCAATTCTGTTATAAATAGTTGGAACTATTAACTTTATGGGAGGCACATTTAATTTGGAACACACAAAGACTCACCACCAGTATTAGCTTAAGCAGACAACTAAGGTGAATCTCGAATCCACAGTCCGCCCGCTGGCCGGCGGAGGGTCCGAGGGCAAGCCCCTGGAGGAGGAGGAGGAGCGGGGTGGTTCGCCGCTGGGCCCCGGCGGGCCCTTCCACTGCGGACAGTGCCGGGGCGCGTACCCCACGCGCGAGCAGCTTGAGCGCCACGAGACACTGCACGCGCCCAGCACTCAGGTGGATACAAACAAATATGTCAGTGCTCATCGTAATATACCAAACAACTATTTCTCATTTGGATCTCACGATAATAATCGACATTAAAGTTTATCTATTGCTAAACAATAATCGGCTTAAATCAAAGTTTTTTCAATGGCGATGTAAGATGATATTGTTCTTTAAAGTTGTTTTGGTCCAGTCTCGGCGTTCTAAGCGCCCCTCCCCAAACTGTAATTTATAAATTAAACTTGAAAAGAAATTTAATATAAAGCATAGTAAAATTTAAAAGTAAGGGATAATAATCTGTGTAAATAAAGTAATATTTTGTATTATGTTGTCCACAGACTTGTAAGATCTGCCACAAAAGCTTCTTCAATGTGTACCGACTGCAACGACACATGATCAGCCACGACGAGAGCGCCGGATTGCGCAAGTACAAATGCAACGACTGCGACAAAGCGTTCAAGTTTAAGCATCACCTCAAGGAACACCTTAGAATACACAGTGGAGAGAAACCCTTTGAATGTGCCAACTGCGGCAAGAAGTTCTCCCACTCCGGCTCGTACTCGAGCCACACGACCTCGAAGAAGTGTCTGGTCATGAACCTAAAAATGGGTCGGATAAAACCCAACAACCCAGCTCTCAACCCTGGTCGTAATCAATCGCGAAAACGTGCGAATGCGATGGACGCATCACAGCTTAACAACAACATAGTGCCAAACGGGAACTCCTTCCTGCCCATCATGCCAAAGTACAATGACGCTGCGGCGTTTTTTGCCTCCATGTCCTCGCAAGAGAACAACTTCCACCGTCCAGCTCTAGGACAGCCTGGTATTCCATTTTACATACCTCCAGGTATGCCAATGAGCCCGGCGAGCGGTATTGCACCTTACAGTTTTCCTACGTCACTGAGCCAATTTTTTGAGCAGATCAGAACCTCAACACAATATCAACAGAGAAAAATAGAAAATGTTTCTAGTCCCAAAATGAATAATCCACCAGCCGCCGACCCGGAAGATATGATAGAAGAAGTTACTGAGGAAGAAGATAAACGCTCCGAGGGCAGTGCGGAACTCGTGATGGATATAGAAGATGAGGAGACAATCACCGTTAAAAAAGAGCGCGATGATCGAGAAAATGAATATCGGCAGGAATGTCGCAATTATGACACGATTGTTCCGAATGACACCCACCACGATGCTGATTACAATGATCCGAGTTTCGATAAAATATTGAAATCTTTAAGCGAAACAGTAACTAAGCATTTCTTTAAAGTTAAGAAACTCAATTCTCACCATGATCAAGTTTTGCCTTCCACTGACTCATCACCTTGCTCACCTCAAGCTGTGGTCAAAGAGGAAATTGATGATGATCATGTATGTCTCAAATGTAGTTTGGCGTTCAAAGACAAGAACGATTTAATAGAGCACGAAAAATTGGTTTGTGGAAATCTATTTAGGAAACACGAAGGGCTTGCCGCTCAGGTAGCCGAAACCGTTGCTCTTAATAGGTTAGAAGCCGAAATGCGCGCTTCAATACAGAGCGGAGTAAGCGCTAGTGAAGACGAAGATTTCGCTAAAGAGGATCGTGATGATAAAATATCCAATCACGATACAGATAGAAAAATTCGAGTGCGAACCGCTTTGAGTGAAGAGCAGCAATTGATTTTAAAAGAGCATTACTCTATTAATCCACGGCCGAACAGGGAGGAGTTTAAGAAAATCGCCCAACAGATTGGACTTGACAATCGAGTTGTGCAGGTGTGGTTCCAGAATAATAGAGCAAGAGTGCGTCGAATGACTCAAACTGTCGCGCTGTCGGATCAACCCTTGGACTTATCGACGAAGAAGTCCAGTGTGTCCGTGACATCTAGTCCGTTGCCGTCGCCGCCTTGTAGCATTACAGTGACACATTCCGACTCTGAGGAAGCAGTGAACCTGAGCCAGAAGTCGTCGCGCAGCACGACGCCCCAGCGTAACAACAACGTCACGACGTATTCACATTCCAATTGCTCGTCCTCCTCGTTCAACGACTTCAGACTATCGCCACTACCGGGCGAATCGGTTAACGGTCACAAGCGGCCGATGTCGCAGAAGATGCCCATCAATCCCATCATGCCGATGGACAAGCTTCTGCAATACAACGAGATGTCGAAAGCTCGATCCCCGATACTCAATCTGCAGAACATGAGCACGGACCCCAACCGACAGGGGCTGAGCCCGTGCTACGATCGCCCAGCCTGGGTCGAAATGCAACCGCCAAACGAATTCGACGACGACGCCGCGCGACTCAAGAGGAGCAAATTGAAAGCGGAAATAAAGGAGGGTGAGGGGCAGTTCGTTTGCAATCAATGCGATAAAACGTTCGTAAAGCAAAGTTCACTGGCGAGGCACAAGTACGAGCATTCAGGTCAGTACACTCTTAATGAAACATTTTTATCGTAATTAGTAATTAATGCTCATTGTTATAATTAAAGCGTTCTCGTTTTTTTTACTTTCTATGCAAGCTACTCTTAATAATTATAGGCAATGATATTTAATAATGTAGATGACGCATCTCCATACTGCGTGGCGTTAAAAATTGTTCCGGTTCACATATTACATATGTAAGTGAATGTGACAGGTGATATAGAACGTATCATATGGAAAGAGATAGGAATCTATAGAATCGCAATTTCATCACAACAATTAGTGTAATTTGAGGGCCTCAATTTCGGTGTGGTAGTGTCATATCTTTGTATATAATACCATTGATTATTTATTGGAGTTGGGTATGGAAAACCTGGCAGAGCATCGCGTAGCTGTATTGACTGGTTATGCTAACATGCGCGCATTTTCCTAATATTCAATTGTACTACTTACAGGTCAACGTCCGTACAAGTGCGAGGAATGTCCGAAGGCTTTCAAACACAAACACCATCTGACGGAGCACAAGCGGCTGCACACAGGAGAGAAACCCTTCCAGTGCTGCAAGTGCCTCAAGAAGTTCTCCCACTCAGGCTCCTACAGCCAGCACATGAACCATAGGTTTGCCATTTGCAAGCCTTATAGGGATTAAGTTATTTTTTTGCCAACCGTGCAATCGTGAATTTTAACCATCGTCTTGCCGGGTACTATTGGATAAAATGCTGTTTATTTCGGTTGTATTCGGCCTGATATTCAAATTTTAGACCAAAATTAACATCCGCTGCATTGCATTAGTGAACAGTTTCACTGTAACGGTACAACAAAAATGAAATTGGAACGCAGTTGCGGCGGCAAGCACTCATTAACTAACGATCTATCTGAAATTTGCCTCAGGTTACTCTAAGAGATTGTTAAAACTCTATTACTTTTATACTTTAAAAACTTCTGTCATCTGTACCTAAGATATCGAATTTAGAAAATTTGTTTAATAAAAAAAAATGTATTTGTCAGAATAAGTTAAACCAAAGTGATTGCAATCAACTGAGACATCGTTACCATACCAAAAATTCATATAATGGAAAAATAAAAGCAATTGAACCTGTGTCTTATCGCCGATGCCTTTTACCGAGACTCATTGTGCTTTAATTTTATTTCGTAGCAGTTAGCTCAATCGAAACCTATACCTCAATATAGTGTTGCCAATTAGCTACTAAATTCTCAACGGATAATATACTCATAATAAATAAGTATTCATCGCTCGGTATTTCGTTTTTATGTAAGGTCAATGCTCAATGTCATTTTTAACGTTTGTACATAATATGAATTCCTTATTTATGTAGCGCAGATTGTGCCAACTATGCCAAAGAAATGTGCCATGAGCCACGACTGCCAAAAATTTATTAAAATTGTAAAATATTTAGCAGCTTACAATTAGTGGTAGTTTTACGTGCTGTAACCCAAAGGCCAGTACCTGTAGCATAGTACTCGATAAATTCTATTTTATTATTTTTATTTAAGATACAAATTTTGTCATTTATTAGTGTTTATTTGTCTTTTTCTCGTCTTCCAATGCCTGGAAGAGCATTTGCAAATGCCAAAAACATGAATTCTATTATATTACACAAATTTTGCACACAATTAGCTTTAATTAAAATATAACTCAAAACATGGTATGATAATTACTTTATTATTGCTCTGTTTACGCTAAAATACTAGGTCCATAATGCCTGTCTACCATTTGAGATATCGATATCCTAAAATTGTATTTTTTTTTTAAATCCTTTCGTTGTTCTGACACTAACAATATACGTAAAAAATCACAATTTTTAAGATTTCTTAAAATATAACAGAAAATATAACAATTGATTGAAATTCATGTCTAAATAACAATTCAGTATTCTAAACTATAACGAAATACTTAATCATTTGTCTTGCATGTTTCCACGCGTTCAAAATTTATTGTATGTTGTTAAAAATTATAGAGTTAAATAATAAGCTTCTGGTAATTTAGTGTTAAGTGTTAGATAGATACAATCTTACTTAAGTTTAAAGCATTCCATAATACTCCTATGGGATCTCTGCTGTGTTTAAAAAACTTTTCAAATAGTCCAAAGGTTAGCCTCTATAATTGTTGTACATATTAATAATTGTAAATAACATAACAGTTTATCTGTAAATACGATTGCTTGTGTAATATCTATTTTACGTTGTGTAATATATAATATCTGTGGCATCCTTGATGCTGCAGCCCGTCACAATGAACAATGAGACAATAAAGGGCATCTGTTTATTAAATGCAATAGGATAAATTTTAATAACTTTTAACTTATTATATAATGAGATTTAAAATATTTCCACTTTGTGATCGTTGCCTACATACCTACTATTAAGTATATTATAATTTCATAATACTGTGTGTAAATGATAATGAAACGTTTATGAACATTTATTTAATTCTGTTTTTTATGATGTACTTAAGTTGTATAAACTTAAATTCATATTTTCATTCATAGCATCAATATCCAAAAGTAGGAGCCATTTTAGCGGTCTTAAATATCAAAATTAATATAGTCTATTTGTAGCTGGTAGCTTACCATTACATTTGTGAGATAAAAATATAACATTAGATTCCAAAAAACGATAGCGAAATTTCACATACCATCATTGTACGTGTTATGATTAAAATGGACACAATTCACATGCAATTGGACACTTATTTTATAACTTAATCCTAATAATGAAATTTATAAAGGCAAAGTTTTTTGTTTTTACTTCAACAGTTCATGCAGTTAAAGTATTCATTCAATATGTTTAATTATTTATTGTTTAGAAAGAAGTCAGTACAATAGGCAAAATTGATGGCACTGATTTTCAGATAAATGCATACAGCAGTATATTAGAACAGAAAGTTCCTAAGCAAATACATTTTAAGAGATACCTAACGATTATTTCTATATTTTGTAAGTAGGTAAAAAATAATTTTAAAGGTTTCTATGCAACGAATTACGTAAATTATTGCAGATATTGCGTATATGATACATTCTCATTTAGACAGACAACGAGTTATACTTCATTGTACACAGTATTCCGTGTGTCACATACTAGAGTAGGCGCCAGACATCGTCTGCGAAGTAGGCTTTTCGTATCAGTATTCCGCAGCACACAACATGTCGCGCAACGAATGTGTAACAATAATGTAAAATTAAAACTTATCTCTACCTATTATTAATGTGTAATCAAATTAGGTCTGTTTGAACTATTTCATATTTTATTATAATTTTATAGTAAGGGACTTCCAAATTACCGGTGGGCTAGATAAACCAAAGAATAATTATGTTACATTGACGTGGACACCTGTATCATATGAATCTCCCGTCTTCGTTTATACTTTAGTTTTTAAGTTCTATGCCAAAAAAAATATATTAATTTTAAGGCTTTCGAAAGGAGTTTATTGTGTAAAAGAAGAACGAAATTTATTTTTTAAATATAACGGCATCATGTACTATGGCAAAATTTAGTTATATGTGCAATATTGATATTGCAGAGTATTTCTTCCTTTTTTTTTATAAATATAGTTTTAGCGTTAATGTTAAGCCAACGTGAATTCCTAATGCCATAGCGAGTTTATTGCATTTTTGGGGCGAGCTCATTGAGCCCCGCCAGCCGAGGCCAACTTGTTAAACTAAGCACTCTAGATTGTTAAACTTACCCATAGATTAAAATGTGTTAAAATATTGCCTATATAAATTATAGTAATTCATTTAATTGATATTATAATGTATATTGAATTTATGAATATTAAAAATATATATATTGACATTTCAATGCAACCAAACAAGTTTATTAATCCATCTAACCTTTTTCCATACATTTACCCACAGGCAACTAGGCGAATATACTTGATATGACAAATGATCTAAGGAATGATACAGTTATATGCGGCGCCCTCGAGAGGACTTCACATACAATTCGATGATTCGACTATAACTGCAAATTATGGTGGCCTTTTTTAAAATTAAACCTTGTCTGAGTCAATTTGACAAATAAAGAGAATCGGGAAAATTCTTACTTGGACAACTTTCTGTCCAATTTTCCCGATACTCTTAATGTAACGCAATTAGCAAAGGTACACTCTAAAACAGTAATTGATTTAGGGAAGTCACTATTAGCTCACTAAGGTATTCAGGTCTTATGATGGATTATTTATTTATGCCTTGGATCATTAGAAATACCTAAAAAAAACTCTTGACGAATTAAAAAGTTTAAGATGTCTTTCAAATTCAGAAACTTAAACCTATGTGCATTTTAGTACATTTACCTATGTAGGGACATTGAAATAAAAAAAAAGTAACAGCCTATACATGTCCCACTGCTGGGCAAAGGCCTCCTCTATACAGAGGGTATCAGGGCATAGTCCACCACGCGGCCCCACTGCGGATTGGCGGACTTCACATATCTTCAAAAAATATTTTTTTTTGTTAATATTTCTAAAATATGCAGGTTTCCTCACGATGTTTTGCTTCACCGCGGAGCACGTGATAAGTCAGTACTTAAAGTTAAAAACTTCATTGGCACCGGGGATCGAACTCAGGTTGCTCGAGTATATTGAATTAAAGGCGAGCGCCCAGACACTGAGCTATCACGGCTCTTGAAATATTATATAATAATTATGAAACAAAAAAATATTATCATCTGAAATTGTTATGTACAAATTATATGTTTTTCGTATATTATCACATAATAAAAAAGTAGAAAATGAAGTAACGGAATACACATATCCCACTTCTGATAAAAAAAAATTTTCGCCATTTTCTGCCCCGCGCAGCTACTTTGTGGAGTGAGTTGTCGCCAGTACATAGTTTTATGCCAGTTTATATATACAGCGTGTCGTTACAACCGTGACAATAAATGAACAAACGTCTAACGCTACTTGCCAATAATTATAAAAAAATGTAAAATGTTAAAAAAATCCATAATTAAAAAAATATATTTTTCAAACAAACTAATTAAATAAAAAAGAAACAAAATTTGTAACACCTATACAACTACAACTGACTGATTCATACATTCAGAGACTGTTACATTCGTTGCCACAACGTCGCATTACAAGTCTCTCCTTCTATCAGTATATTTTATCTCTTTTAAATTTATTGATCATTCAACCCACAAATGAACTTTACGTTACACTTTTATACGTAAGAATGTTCTAAAAATGTTTGTTTTGTAAAATTTAATAACTCGGTAAATATTGATGATTAAAGAATGTAAACGCTTAATACAATTTTAAATAGTTATCCTCTATATGTGTGTTCATTTATTGTCGCGTTGTAACGACACGCTGTATATAATTATATATATATTACGTACTTAAATTGATAAATGATTGATTGCTAAATGTGGTAGGTATCTCCCCAATTACTACGAACTAAAATATCCAGAACGCGTAATGAACCATTCAAAAGCCTGTGTTTCCATAACATGATTCATAAACATTACCTAGTTTAGAATTTATTACTCAAGTTATGAGTTTAAGTATGTAAATGACACAACATAAAACTATATTTTTTTTTTTATGGAAAAAAGAGGCAAACAAACAAGCGGGTCACCTGTTGGTCAGCGCTCACCACCGCTCATGGGCACTTGCAACATCAGTTGAGTCACAATTGCGTTGCCGGCCTTTAGGGTCGTATCGTTCCGAAAATACCACTGGTGAAAATTTGTTCAGAAATTAGCTGCGCGAGGCAGAAAAATGTGGGAAAAATCTTTAATTAATTTTCGCAATGAAAAGAACCTTAAAACCTCACGGCCTTTTCAAAGGCCACATCTCAAAGTGTAAATTGGTAATTTTTTTAGTGCAATAATTCAGTGACTATGAGAATATGAATAAAATTCCATAAGTAAAATACAATAAAATTGAAAAACAGATCTTAAACTAAGAAAAATAATAAGGAATAACTATATTACGTGCATTAATACTTTAATAAATAAATAAATAAAGTGAAGAGTGAATAGTTAATTTCAACTATAATATATTTACTTTTCTGCTTGAAAACATTACATCCACCTTCATCATAGCACTACTTCCATATTATTTTATTTATGTCTTTACAATAATAGTTAAAAAAAACCTGTGACACTCTGAGACTGCCGCGGTAAAGCTATTGCATAGCATTTTTAATCAACTTATGCAATTACTTATAATTATTTATTTATTTTTTATTTATGCAATTTTTTTTAAATAAAAATTAGCTGATGCATTGATCTAATATTAGTTGACAATATCGCTGATAAACAGGAGTGTTTTTAGAAATATATATATATATATATATATATATATATATATATATATATACACTTTTTATACGAAAAAAAAAGCCATAGGTATGGTCGGGTTTACCTAGCTTATTAAATTATTTCGGCACTATGATATTGGTCTATCTGTGGTCGGATTGGCTCAGGTAGTAGCTGTCGTTCATACGTCATTTCAATTTGTCATTGCGTTTATGTCAATTGTCAAATAACTTACAAATACCTTATGTGATGTAGTTCATATTTATAGTATTTTTTTAATCTAAGGAGAGTAACATAAAAATTAAAATTTTGTTATACATTCTCTAAGAAATTTACAATGGGTGGTAAAGCAAAACAAGCACAAAGAACTAAAAACAATGCCAGAGTAAGTTGTACTTTTAAATTTTTGAGCTGATTACTGCAATTATTTATCATGGCAAAGAAATTATATTTCAATGTTCTACTTTATTGCTCTACTAATGCATTACAAATTACATTAGTTGCTTTATATTTTATAACTTTTAATGAGTTACGCCACTTTGTCCAATTAGTATATAATATTATTTCTTTATTTATATGTAGCCCTCAAGCAGTGGCCGGAGTGCGGAACTTCTTAGTAATTCCTTAAAGGACCCAGCCCTCTTTGGTCTTGGAATTGGAAAGCCAATACCACCCCTGTTTTCAACACTGACAGCTGTTAATTACGAGCAAGGTCTGAATACTGAGTTCACACTGTGCTTTAAGAAATTTAATAAAAAAGATCCTGTAACTAGGGCCAAGGTATGTATGGTATTTCTTTAGTTAATTATGAATATTCTTAAAAAATACCTGTGCTTTCCCAAAATTGTACCTTGGTACTGGTTTTGTCTTAAAAAAATATTTCCAACCACAGGCGCTGCAAGAGTTCCTGGAATTGACGAAGAATGGAAATGTTGATGATGTTGTGGCTACATTGCCTGGTTGGGCTCATTTTTATCCAATACTCACAATTGACACTGACCGTAAAGTTCGAGAATGTGCACAGGTAACCTTAAATATTTTGTCTTATTGAAAGTAAATATTAACATCATTATTGATTAACAAATAGAGTAGATTGATTATCATTTACTAGTGAACTCATCAATTATTAGAATAATTCCTAAATGAACTATGTAGATGGAAAATTAATGATGAATTGATCGCTTCAGGCATTTTCATGTTTACTTTAATAGTTAATACTTTAATAATTATTTGTAAACATGTCTTTATTTGATAAAAAATGGTATAAAAAAAAAGAAAGTCCCGCTGAGTTTCTTTGGCCGGTTCTTCTCAGGTCAGTGGCTTTTCATTCCGAACCGGTGGTAGTGTTTTGACCATCAATAAGAAAGTGTAATGCTTCTATATTGAATAAAAGTAGTTGATTTTGATTTTGAATATGGCAAACTAAAACTGTTTGGTTTCAAGTAAGAAACTGATACTGACTATTTTAGTACTTTTTTTAATGTGAGAATGATGGAAAGAAGCTGGTGGTTCACATAATATTATCAAAGCAAACACTTCCACTTAATGCCTATTTTTTAAAGTTAGAAGGTGGCAGACGAGCTGGCGGTTCACCTGATGTCAAGTGATGACTATGGTAGGGTTGCATGTGTTTTACCACATTTTAATAAAGTCAGTAAGGCCCCAGCTACGTCACTCACCAGACGAAACACAGATGTGTAACACTTCCATTCATTCATATCTTCTGTGAGGTTGTGGTGCTTTCCCAAACAGATCTGCCAATTCATGCGTGGTTCTACCACCGAAAAATTAGTGTATATTCCATAAATTTATGTATTAACTTTAAACTCTATATTGTATTTCTGAGAGTTCAAATTGAAAGTTATTAATAGATATATTAATCATATCCCTAAATGCAAGGCTTTAAATAAAAGGCTTGCTGATATATAGCATGAGATATAGGTTTTTGTTTGTTATAACATCACTCTAGTTAAAATAATTAACCGAGTTAGTTATGCATGTAGCCAGTATTGCAATTGTGTGCAGGCGTGTAACGCGGCTGTGGTCCGAGTGAGCGGGCGCCGCGTGGCGCCGCACCTGAAGCGGCTCCTGCCCGCCTGGCTACTCGCGCAGCATGACGCCCACGCGCCTGCACAGCACCACGCGCACTCTTCCATCACGGTAACACAATTCAAAACATATCCCTTATAGGAATTAACAAAACGTCAGTCAGATTAAGGTTTAAATTTACTTCAAGTTAATTTATCTTATTTAATTTGGTACTATTTAACTATATCTATCTATGCTAACAATAAACTGAACAAGGGCAACTTATACATACTGTCCGCCAAAAATATGTACACTACATGCTTCAATATCATTAAACAATTTGAAATTATAAATTTCAAAACAAAATACAAAACTATTGAAAAGTAACTGAATATGAAAATAAATCTAAGAAGAGAAACATTATGTGGTTGAATAATTTGTTTGAATGCACTCAGCTTCTGATGAAATATATTTACTCACACAATACCAGTTGTCAGTTTGTTGTACAGGGAACACATTCTAGATTAATGGGGTTACTTTGGCGAAATTTTCAAATAATTTTATTTTATTTAACTTATCTTCACATTAGTTGAAACACATTAGTTGGCTGGAATGACTTCACCTCTGTGAAGTCATTCCAGCCAACTAATGTGTTTAGATCAGGTATTGAGTCTCTGGGTCTTACAATTACTTGTCTCCTCCCCACATTTCTTAGCCCCTCCCCTCATTTCTTAGCTGACCTACTAGGGACTCATATTAAAAAAGTAATTTTAAACTAACTGTTGTCTGTTAAATAAGTGGGAACATTTTTTTTCTTTTGTAAAAATATTTGCCCTGGCACAGAAACATTTTACATTACCTAAATTTTTTTTTACAGAATACATTTCCTCAAGGCAAGCTGGGTGAAGCAATAAAATTTTGCAAAGTGGAAATCATAACATTATTTCTAGACAACCTAATGGGGAATGCAGACGCAATGCTCATCAAAAAGTATGTGTTATAATTTTATACAGGATTAATTTATATTTTCATTTATAAATTGTTTATAAAATCAAAAGACAGAGATGTGTATTTGTAAGTGTTATCCTTAAAAGTAAGTCAAAATTTGTAAATTAATTTGTGTTTGATAAAAGTCCTAATGAATGTTTAGACCTGTTTGATGAAGAAATGGGAGGCAAGAGAGTCAATGAAAACTTCCTTCCTTGAAACATTCCTTCATCCCTCATCTTATGGCAATTTTAATACCAAATGAAGTTATCAAAAATGTATTTTATTTTCGCCATTAATAAATGTAAATCTTTATTGTAGACCAGAGAACCAAGAAGAGAAAGATATTCAAATATCCCAAATAATAGCAAGCAGCCTTCGGGCGCTAGAGTTCTTCGTGGAGCAGCTCCCACCCACGGAAGATGATTGGCTTTGGGACTCAATCACGCCTCTGCTTCGAGCCGGTTCCTTTTGGAAGCTGATACAAAATACCAATCAGCATAATTATATGCGGTAAGTTAATTATTTTGTGAATGACTTGGTTGTACAGTTACTAAGTTATTGGTGCTAAGGAGTTGAAAGTTTGATTACCATATAGGATAAGTATTAGATCTGAGAGTGATGATGCTTATTAACATCAACTTCATTGATTGAGCTCTTGGCATCTCCCACCACAGACTTAAGAGTTGTTTTTGGAGTTTTGTTGCATAAGTCTGTCTTATGCAACTACCTATGTACTGTTTATTGAACAATAAATTTGGAAAATCTGTAGTTTTATATAAGTATCAAACACTATGTGTAAACCTGAATTCAATATGGTACCCACAATGGAAGTAATCAGAGACATCCTTTAAGTTGATGCAGTTATATCAGCCATCTGGCGAAATGTAAAGGCCATCCTAGGTATCGTTTTTATGTACGAAGGTGAGGAGTGAGCTGGTGGTAGCTATCAGGTGAACCGCCAGCCTGCAAACGCAGAGGTAGAACAGTTCCACTTGCGTTGTTCTGTGGCGGCGTGGTGCGCAGGGCCTCGTGGTTCGGGTGCGCGGGCCGCCTGGCGGAGCGCTTCGGGCCGCGGTTCGCCGCCGCCCACGGCGTGCGGACGGCGCGCGCCCTGCTCGGGCCCTGCGACGCCGCGGTGGCGGCCCACCGCTGGGCGGCGCTGCTGCGCTTCGCCAGCGCCCTCCCGGTGAGTGCCTTCCGCACACACTAGTCATTTGGCAAACCAACATATGCCAGTAGTAGTGCCCCTGTCTCTTGCGCCAGAGCGTGTGGTGTGGGTTCGATCCCAACTACTGGAAAAATATTGTGTGACGAACTAAGTGTTTTTCTAGTGTCTGTATGGTTACGTTTATCTAGTAACCATAGTTTTGGACTAGATAACGTTGTGTAAAAATGTTAACCAAAATATTTTGTTTATACTTCTTGTATTTTGTTACTCGAAAGGTAATTATGGATGCAAAAAAATGCAAATTTAAATTTAAAATACTTATTTATTACATAAAAATTACAAGCCATAGTTGCTTGTGAGACAAGAGTGAGACGGTCCCGGTGTCCAAACTGTGTTGCGTCGTATCCGTGGGATTAAAATAGCACGGAATAACCTTGAAAATATTTTGTTTAGTTGGGTACTTCAGTGTATTTTGTTATAATCGTGTAACAAGGTCGTAAACGGGCAAGCGGTTTAACTGATCGTAAGCGATCATCGCCGCCCATGGATGTGTTTTAACGTTTTTATTGCAATAGCAGAAACTCCTACATCCTACGTCCGGGTAGGTACCACGACCTCACAAAAGACCAGCGTAAAGTGGAAATATGACAAATACTTTCGCGTTTCGTCTGGTGAGTGAAGTAGCCGGAGCCCAATTTTCAAAACGTTGTCAATGCATCTATAACCCCCGGGTGTAACAGATGTCCATGGGCGGCGGTATTCACTCACCATCAGGTGAACCGTCTGCTCATTTGGCAACTTTTCACATAAAAAAAAGAGTGAGGTAGCCGGGGCCCACTTGATCAAACTTAACATCAGGTGAAGCGCCGGCCCGCTTGCCACTTCTTGCATAAAAAAAAAAAGAAACTTTGCAGGAGTGGTGGAGCTGTTTCGAGAAGCCGGAGCTGCTCGTGAAGCGGATCGTGGAGGTGGTGGAGAGCGGTAAGTGTGTTGGGGGTGGGAGTGGGGGTGGGGGTGGGGCAGCGGGGGAGAGCGGGCGCTAAGCGATTGTGGTGCGCAGGCGGGTGGGGCGATGCGGCGCTGCTGGCGAAGCTAGTGCTGCCGCTTTTGGCGCTCATGCCGCAACACCTGCTGGCCGACCGCTTCTTCCGCGACCTCTTCCACGCCACATTCCGAGGGTCAGTACGCTTCGTTCATCCATTTGCACATAACAATAGTATGTAACCGATAATTAAGTAATCGTTGACTATTTCAAATGCAATGTTTCAGTCTCGAGAGGAAGAATATTATGACTTCGAAGAGCGAACGTCAAGCGTGGATCACGAACCTGGCGGATTGTCTGCGATTCCTGTCGGTCCAGGAGGGCGCCTTTGTGGTGGAAATCGTCACGAGCGTCCACCGAACGTGGCTGGAGAGGATACTGGCGGTGCGAGAGAATCAGATCAGGAACAATCTGATCAAGCATTCCGCGACGAACATGGCGACACTCTTCAAATTCTGGCTCAAATGTTCGAGCGAGGCGAGCGGCGCGGTCTACGATCAGCTGCTGAGGAACTGCTGGCAGAACGTCTGCTCCACTATAGACGGTCAAATGAGCAAGCTCTCGGCCGACCGCGACGAGATCGGCGGCGTCATCGAGAACCACATCCTGCTGCTGCAGAGCCTGAAGTCCGCGCTGAAGCAGGAGGCGAGGAGGCAGCACAGCATAAAGTTCGCCGACGAGGCGGGCCCAGAGGCCGAAGCGGAGGCGGCCAGCGGGGTGGAGTGCGACGCGGCCGCCGCCGAGCGCTACTACCACAGTCTGAGCGAGACGGCGCATACTGCGTGCTCGCTCTACTTCGAGTTCGCGCGCGAGAGGGGCGCGCCCGAGGCGGTGTTCGGCCCCCTCGTCGCGCTGCTGGTGCAGTTCGACGGCGAGGCGCTGTACGCGGCGCTGGCGCGGCGCCTCGGCCTGGGCTCCGCGCGGGGCCTGTACGAGGCCGTGCTGCGCCCCTGGCTGCTGGACGAGCGCGCGCGCTGCCGCCCGCTGCTCGAGGTGCTCTTCCTCCTGCTGCAGCACCTCGGCCGCGACGACCAGGACGCCATCTTCCACTCCTTCCAACAGGTCTCCGCAACGCGCTAGTCCTTTATGTGCATGCTGCGCTCTCGACGGCCGGCCTAGGGCACGGCGACTACCTAACTGTCAAGCCGTCGCGCTGTGTATCGTGCTTCTGACTTACTAGTATTTTTAAATTTAGAAGATATCAGACGAGCCGATGGTTCACCTAATGTCAAATGATGACCACTATACAGTTGAGTATACGTTTAAACACGATTTAATAAAGTGGGCCCCACTTGCCGCACTTACTAGACGAAACGCAGAAGTATAACTTTTCCATTCATGCCGATTTTCTGTGAGGTCGTGGTACCTCCCCGAACGGGCCTGCCCATTCGTGCAACAGCGAAGACTGTCGGGTGGCAGCACATGCGCTATATGCATAAATTACATGTGACATATCACAGTCACGGCCGTTAGCTATGTAACTTTCATAACGACTTCGTTCGTTGAATATGAGAACCGGGCATTAGACCAAAGTGGCATGTTTATGGAGTCACTGGGAAGCCCACTGACTTGGCTGACGTGCCTTCGCGCTGCGCAGCTGCCCGAGGAGGCGGTCGAGTGGTGCCTCGAGCTGAGCACGTCGCACCCCCGCTGCGGGGGCGCGGCGGGGGCGGGGCCGGGGGCGCGCTGGCTGCGCGGGGGGGCGGCGGCCGGAGCGCTCGGCGCAGTCTGCCGCCGCGCGCTGTGGGCCGAGGACGCGCACGCCGCCTCGCTGCTGCTGCGCTGCCTCACGCACGACCAAAACGGAGGTGCCCCAGCTGACTACATATGATATTATCGTCACCCTCCTGTCCTTATACCAGTCATGTTAAAAGCGGTTTTGGCTATGTTTTTACTACCGACCCTCCTGATGTCAACTCTCGTTGGGAAACGAAAACCCAGATCCATGGATATTAATACATCCATTTTAATATATGTTCACTTGTAGTTATGCGATATTCTAATCTAGGTTCGTAATAACAGGTATAGTTACTTCTAGGGCAAAAACCGCCCTGGCGCGTTGTAGGACATATAAATTGTACGAGGGATTACAGAATGTATAAAGTAAGAACAGGAATGGGCCAAGAATTGATCCCTGGGGTACAAGGCCTCCCTCAGCCTGAGGTGTAAGCGTGAACATTGGCGCAGAGTGTCCGGTGAGCGAGGAGGCGGTGGGCGACGCGGCGCGGCAGCTGTGCGCGGCGCTGGCGGCGGAGGGGGCGGAGGGGGCGGAGGGCGCGGGGGCGGGGGCGGAGCGGGTGGCGCGCGTGGCGGCGCGGTGCGCGTCGCTGCTGGCGGCCGCGCCCGCGCCGCCCGCGCCCCTCGCGCCCCTCGCCGCCGCCCTGCTGCGCCTGCAGCTCGACGTGCCCGTGAGTGCACCACCTCTCCTTGTCCAACTTCCCTACGTCCCCTCGCTGCGTCAAGTCAAATGCTGATATATTTCAAATAATCCTTGCCAATCACAGCGCGGCGACGAGCGGCTCTCGTTGGCCACGTGGCTGGAGGTGCGCTCCTCGTGGCAGGACGCCATCGCCTGCCTGCCGCTCGAAGCGAAGCGCTCCTTGCAGGAGGACGTCGTCGCGATGGTGCACCAGCGGCTCTTCGACGAGTGAGTGGCGCACATCTTTTTTATGTGCTAAAGTGCCTTATTATAACATTACCATGCATATTGAGCGCTTAGCTCAGTTGGCTAGAGCTTCCGGGCGCGTTGCTCAGAAGATGCAACTTATAATTTGTCTATTAAGCTGACGTTGATGTTGTTCATGGGTTGGACTAACGTGACAGTAATCAACTTGAAATCGATTTCACATTCATAATGTAAGTGGGAGGAGTTACACAAATACCGAAAGAGTCTTAATCGCAGCACGGAGCGCTTGGACGTGGCGAAGATCGAGAACTTGGTGTCGCCGCTGCCGTTCGTGCTGAGCCCGTGCGAGTACTCGGGCGCGCCGAGCGACTGCGCCGAGCTGGCGGGCTTCACGCGGCGGCTGCTCCGCTTCGGGGGCGAGTCCTCTGAGCGCGCCGAGCGCGTGGAGCAGCACGCGCTGCGCAGCGACTGCATGCGCGGCCGGCTCAGCTGCCCGCGCGGCGACGAGAGCGCGCTCGTGCGGCGCATCGCCGAGCGCGCGGGCTCGAGCGCCGCGGCCGAGCTGAGCGCGCGGGACCTGCTGCCCGCCGCCCGCGAGTGGCTCTGCGCGGCGCTGTTCCTGCGCGCCGCGCTGCTGCGCCGCTCGGAGCCCGACGGGGACGCGCAGGCCCCTTGGTGCAACGCCGTGCTGTCCGACGCCTACTTCCGCGAGCAGTACGCCGAGCTGCTGCGTGTCCACGCGGTGCTCACCACGCTCTACGAGCGATACGCCTTCGTGAGTAGCCTCTAACAATTGCTCGCTTAAGCTATTTTCGAAACAGCAAGTCTAACGACAGAATCGAAGTAGTCAGGTTCAGATTATATGTCTTATCTATGAAAGTAAGCATTACTACGTACACAGAGATAGGAAAGCTAGAATTTTACGTGGCTAACAATGATCTTCAAATACTACAGATTGTTTAAGATAATCTTTCCAGGTTTTGTATTGTAATCCCATAGTTTTACAAATACACTTATTACATTAATGAAAATTCTAGTGGCCCGGCTACGAAATAATCGAAAAAACGAAACATCGTCTCGACATGGTGCTCGACGAAATATTCGATGAAACATCGACGGAAGTACGGAATGACGTGAGGACCTTTCTCCTCGAGAAAGCGAATAGCGTCGGATATTACTGGGCCTACGCACGCTACTATTACGAGGCGAAAATCAACCGAGCAACTAAAGAACGGACAAAAAGAGAGAAGCCGGTGTTTCTGTTCGACGATGAAGAGGAGGACACTGCGGAAATGAGAACAGAATCTAAAACGGAGGACGATAGCTCGTCTGTATATTACTCCGGAACGGAATCTCAAGAGAATTTAGAGGAGGCCGAAGATGCCGCCGAGGCTGAAATATTAGAGTTTCTATCGACGTGTCGCGATAAAATGCCGGATACCTCACCTGGCGCTGGAGTGACGCACATTTTACAGGTATGCTTTTGATATCCGTTGTTTAGTTTGGTACAATTCAACAGCCGTTTAGCTTAGTGGAGTGTCATCGGCAAACATTATAATTATCATTTTTTTTGTATGCTATAAGACGTGGCACAATTGCACCATAAAGGATCGTCCGTAGGCCGAGCTGCTGGGCGGGCGGCCGTCGCCGAGCGCGCGGCTGCACGTGGCGCTGCTGAGCTTCGCGGCCGCGCACGGCGCCGAGCCGGCGGGCGCCGAGCTCGCGGCCGACGCGGCCCGGACGCTCAGCCCCGACGCCGCCGCGGAGCTCTTCGCCAACGCCTACTACCGCCACAACCACACCATGCTCTACGACAGGTCGGCCGCCGCGACTTCTACTCGCCTCGCTACTGCTGGATCGGGGGCCACTTTATCAAATAAATAAAAAAAAAAACAGAAATAATGAAACCTTTTAGCCGTGTATAATTATGCACTTTTAGTTTTAAGTCCAAAATAACACTCAGCAACGGCGCCGTCCGTCTGGCAGGGAGCTGATGTCGGCGCCGTGGGCGCAGGTGGCGAGCAACGCCGCCGTCCTGGACTACCTGGCCGAGCTGGTGACCCTCGACGTGGGCTGGAGTCTGCCGCCCCACCACTGGGACTTCATCACCATCTCGCTATGCTCGCTCATCAGCTCGCTCGAGTGCAGCGTCGCCGAGTGGGGCTGCACCAAGGTGATTCAATACAGGCTTATTTTATTGGACGTCATAAAACTACTTCACTTGACTAGACCTGTCCAGAGAATAACTGGCAATGTACTTTTACGTGCTAAAAATCCTTTCTGGATCACCGGATCCCCGATCAGGGGCATGTATTTATTCAAATAGACGCTTGCGCGCTCTTATGAATCGTCAAATTTTACATCAAAGATTATGTATATAGGTTCGTAAGTTACCACCGGTTCGGAAAGCAGTTTCTGTTGAGAAGAGACCGGCAAGAAACTCTACAGTTGCTCTTTTTCAAAAATATCAGTTTACAATATAATATACAGGTATAATAGTCTTATTCTAGCCTACGTGAGTATCAACAGTATTAACTCCACACATTGGCGTCGTCGAGATATTCCGCAATAGTGTAATATGCTTTAACCATAAGTTGACTTTTAATTTTTGTTCAATTGTTTATTAATTAATGCATGTCATCATATGTATGTTTTATGTACTGAGTAAGAGAGGGCGCTAGGTTTATGTTTGCCTCGCGCTAACGAGTGGTTCTTGTAATAATTACGTATCGGCCGGTATGGGTTGTAACGGCAGTACGTTTTAACAAGCAGTTATAAGTTGTGAACCAGTGTAATAAAACAGTGTAGTGTGAGTGTAACAAGTGTTTCATTAAACATTTTGGGCCGTTACCGAGCCGGATTGAGCGAATTATAAGTGAAGTTGTGACGTTGGAGTTAGTGTACTGAGCTGAGGTCGTAAGTGCATTAGACTTTATTGAAACTGTTATACTAAAGTGGGAACTATTATAAACATTGTGCATATGAGCTAAAGGTGTTATTTCTTTGGGACTTTAAATATTTCAACAACTTTATGTGGACTGAATAAGTGGTATCGGTTAAGCGAAAAGTAACTTTATTTAATTTACGTTGTAATAATTTCAAAAATGATTGCGGAATTAATTTCGGCACAAGAAGAAGTTGCTGCCCACATATCGAGAGCATTATCTAACTATAAAAAATCTAAATCAAAATTATCTGTCTCCTATGTAGAGGCAAGATTAGAATTGTTAGAATCAGATTTTAAAGTTTTTAAAACAAATCATTTAGAAGTATTAAAACTAGCTACACAAGAAGATAGAAAAACATTTAAATATTTCAAGGAAGATAAATATTATAACAGCGAAGATGAATACTTAGAGTTGAAATCGTTAATGAAAGAATTTTTGTATGAACGTGGTCAAAGGTCAACATCTAGTGCAAGTGGCAAATCTTCGCAACAAGTAACGACATCTACCCATCAAACAAAATTACCCCCAATAGATATACCATCATTCTCCGGAGACTATAACAACTGGACAAGTTTTTATGAGTTATTTAAATCTCTTATACATTCCAATGAAACGTTAAGCAAGATACAAAAATATCACTACTTAAAGAGCAATTTAAAGGGCGATGCAGAAAATTTATTAAAGCAACTTCCACTTACTGAAGCCAATTACGATAAGGCATTAGAAGTTTTGGAATCTAGATATGACAATAAACGACTTATAGTACATGCTCACATTACACGTTTACTAAACCAAAAAAGACTTACGTCTGAGTCTGCCAAAGGTATACGTGAATTACTTGACACTACAAATGAATGTTTGAATGCACTTAACAATATGGGCGTATCAACAACGAATTGGGATCCGATTATAACATATCTTATTGTCTCAAAATTTGATAGCGATAGTCATCGACTATGGGAACAAAGATTAGGAGGAAAACGCGATATACCAACAATTCAAGAACTTAATGAATTTATGGACATGCGTTTTCGATCATTAGAAGCGTTAAATATGTCAACTCCAAAGGAAAGCACTTCTAAACCTCGACAACAGATAAAGGCTTTCAAAGCTACTTCAGAACCTCTTTGCACGTATTGTTCGAAAGATCATTATTTGTATAACTGTAAGGAGTTTGGACGATTGAATCCAGATCAAAGGAGAGAATTAGCAAAGGAGAAGCAATTGTGCTTCAATTGTCTTGTTCCCAACCACAGTGTGAGATTTTGCAAACAAAGTAGTTCATGCCGCATTTGCAAACGTCGTCACCATTCTCTTCTTCACACATCGAATCCCATAGCAACACAAATTGCACATTCGAACAAAACACAAATCGATGAGGATTCCAGTTCCCGAGATGCAAATAAGGATGCCCACTTGGCAGTACATAAGGCTGAAACTATGACAAATCAAGTCTTATTAGCAACAGCGATGGTTCGAATACAAGCGAGAGATGGAAGAAAACATACATTACGAGCTCTGGTAGATCAAGGATCACAGGCATCGTTTATAACTACCTCAGCAGCACAGCTACTAAACTTGAAACGAGAAAAATCGCATAGTACAATTCGAGGAATAGATTCAACAGTATTTATGACATCTAGAGAAATGGTGGAATTTAGTCTTTATTCGTCTTACAATGATAAGCCATTAATACTAGTCAAGGCCCATGTACTAAAGACTTTAGGTTCGATTCTGCCATGCAAGGGAGTCTCTGATCTTCAGTTAGATTATAAAATACATCAATTACAATTAGCAGATCCTACATTTACAAATCCAAGTGGAATAGATCTACTGTTAGGTGCAGACATATATGCACAAATATTATTAGATGGTCTTCAGAAGTTTGGCACCGTCATTGCCCAGAATTCATCACTCGGGTGGCTACTTTCGGGTAGAGTTGATGGTACACAGAAGGAACACGTTGAAGTTCTTTCCATGCATAGTCACCTAGAGATAGACGAATTGTTGCAAAGATTCTGGCAATCGGAAGAATTAACTACTGATACACGCATGCTGACTAAAAGTGAAATTCAGTGTGAAGAGATATTTATGAAGACTCATACACGCACAGATTCGGGGCGTTACATTGTTGCTCTACCATTTTCAACCGAAAGTGGCACACCGCTCGGAGAATCGAAATACCTTGCAGTCAAACGTTTACTTTACATGGAACGTAGGTTCCACAGTAATCCTGAGTTTAAACAACGTTATATAGATTTTATGAAGGAATATGAGACTCTTCAACACATGGAAAGGGTACCAGCGAAGGATCTTCACAAGTCAGATGTATGTTACTTACCACATCACGGAGTTGTTAGAGAGGAGAGTGTATCAACAAAGTTGCGTGTCGTTTTTGATGGATCCGCAAAAACAACAAATGGAACTTCGCTTAATGAACAATTATTAATTGGCCCTTCACTGCAACATGATATACGCGATCTGTTCTTACGGTGGCGCTCGCACAAGGTTTGCTTGGTGGCAGATATACAACGTATGTACAGGCAAATTCTAGTAAGACATGAAGATCGAGATTTTCAAAGGATCGTATGGCGAGAAAATCCATCTGATCCTATAGTGGATTATCGTTTATGTACAGTAACATATGGCACTTCCTCTGCTCCATATCTAGCAATAAGGAGCTTGAGACAATTAGCTTCGGACGAAAGAGCTAAATATCCTGAAGCAGCAACTGTTTTAGAAAGGGACTTTTATACTGATGATTTACTTTCTGGATGTGATACGGAACGGGAAGCAATTGATCTATGTCGAGACTTAATAAAATTGTTACAATGTGGAGGTTTTGTACTACACAAATGGAATTCAAATTCTGTCAAAGTGTTAAATAATTTAACAACTAAGAGTGATCAGCCACAAGGATCACGTAACATAATAATGGAGACATCTTTAAAGGCATTGGGTATCCGGTGGAATCCAAAGACTGATTGTTTTGAATTAGCTATAGATTTACCACATATAAATATGAAGTTGACGAAAAGGAATGTATTGTCAGATATTGCAAAAATCTATGATCCTTTAGGCTGGTTATCTCCGGTGGTTGTGGTTGCAAAGGTATTTTTACAAAAGCTGTGGTTGCTTGGTCATGACTGGGATAAAGAATTACCGCCGTGTCATCAGAATGAATGGCTAACGTTTCGTAATGAATTGATATCAATGCCAGTTATAAGTTTGCCTCGTTGGATTGGTATTATTAAAACTAATAAGCGGGTTGAAATACATGGCTTTAGTGATGCATCTACCTCAGCATATGCTGGCGTAGTATACGTGAGAATTTTTGATGATCAGTCGAATGTTAAAGTAAATTTAGTTGCAGCCAAAACCAAAGTAGCTCCTTTAAAACAACTATCAATTCCACGTCTGGAATTGTGTGGAGCTGTGCTAACGGCTAAATTAATGCATCGTGTTAAGGTTAGTCTTAAGGTTTCTGATGAATATGTGTTTGGTTGGTCTGACTCAACCATAGTTCTTGCATGGCTTCAAAAGCATCCGAATTCATGGAAAACGTTTGTTGGTAATAGAGTAACGGAAATTTTAAACGTAACTCGGTCTCATCAGTGGCATCATGTAGGGACGAAGGAGAATCCCGCGGATTGTGCGTCGCGAGGTATTTTGGCAACACAGCTGCCACAGCAGGAACTATGGTGGAACGGGCCAAGTTGGCTAAATACTTCAATAGATATTTCGTTATCAAATGAATTACATGTAACTGATTTAGAACAAAAGATATCTGTGCTAAATTTAAATATAGATGTAGAAAATGAATGGATTATTGAAAATTATTCGAAATTGTCAAAATTAAAAAGAGTAATCGCGTATTGTTTAAGATTCTGTAAATTATGTAAACAAAGGATTGAAAGGAAAAGGCAAAATACATTTACAAGTGTTGATCTGATGCCTACCTATTTAACTAGTAATGAATTAAGGAATGCTATGAATTGTTGTATTAAAATTTCTCAAAGTTTATTTTTTTGTTATGAAATTCAAAGCTTATTGAGTGACAATGGTGGTGTTTCCAGGAAAAGTTCTTTGTATTTTTTAAGGCCATTTTTAGATGAGCATGGCATTATTAGAGTGGGGGGGGACGACTGAAAAATGCACCAATTCCTCGGGATATAAAACACCCTATAGCACTCTCTGGGAAATCGTCTTTATCTAAGTTAATCATTAGTGAAACACATGAAAGAACTCTTCATGGAGGCCCATTGTTAATGTTAAATATAATTAGAGCAAATTATTGGATCACTAATGTAAAATCTCTTGTTAAATCACATGTTCGAAGGTGTGTGAAATGTATTCGGTATGCTCCAAAATTTGCAAAGCAACAAATGGGCAATTTGCCATCAGCCAGGGTAACAGTCTCCAGACCTTTTTCGAACAGTGGTGTGGATTTTGCTGGCCCTTGTCATCTTAAATCATCAAAACTTAGAAATGCCCCAACTTTAAAGGCCTATATTGCGATATTTATTTGTACGGCAACTAAAGCTATCCATTTAGAGTTAGTATCAGAATTGTCAACATCAGCCTTTATAGCAGCATTCAAGAGATTTTGTTCCCGTCGTGGACATTGCGCCCATTTATTTTCAGATTGTGGTACTAACTTTATCGGTGCTAATTTCGAGTTAGTTAAAATGTTACATAGAGCTAAATCTGCACTGCCAATAGAGCTTGCTGAATTATTATCGTCTGACGGTACTGAATGGCACTTTATTCCCCCAGGATCACCTCATTTTGGAGGGTTATGGGAGGCCGGTGTTCGATCCGTAAAACACCATATTCAACGTGTTTTAGGTGACACCAAGTTAACGTTCGAGGAATATGCTACTTTGTTGGCACAGATAGAGTGCTGCCTCAATTCCCGTCCAATTTCTGCCATGAGCGATTCGGTTGATGACCTTACTGCTCTGACTCCAGGCCATTTTTTGGTGTTGGGACCACCTACAATAGTCCCTCATGAAAATGTGATCGATATCCCGGTTAATAGACTTAATCGTTGGCAACATATCGAACACACTTTGCAATCATATTGGCGTAGGTGGCAGCAAGAATATTTAACTACTTTGCAGCAAAGATATAAATGGACTTCACCTACTAATTCTATAAAGGTTAATGATTTAGTCATTATTAAAAATGAATGTATGCCACCTTCTAAATGGCTGCTTGGGAGAGTTCTTACTACTCATCCAGGAAATGATGGATTGGTTAGAGTTGTTACAGTTAAATGCAAAAATAACATCTTAACTAGACCTATTACGAAGTTATGTTTGTTGCCTCTTGAGAATACAATTTGAAGGACTAATTCGTCCTTGGCTGGCGGCAATGTTCAATTGTTTATTAATTAATGCATGTCATCATATGTATGTTTTATGTACTGAGTAAGAGAGGGCGCTAGGTTTATGTTTGCCTCGCGCTAACGAGTGGTTCTTGTAATAATTACGTATCGGCCGGTATGGGTTGTAACGGCAGTACGTTTTAACAAGCAGTTATAAGTTGTGAACCAGTGTAATAAAACAGTGTAGTGTGAGTGTAACAAGTGTTTCATTAAACACAAGCGTCACGCCCCTCGCGCAGGACGGACGCGACCTACAGATTTATGAAATACGTCTGGTGATTTCAACAAGCCAAACGGCACGTCTGCAACGCGAATCATCTGAATTCAGTGTCGTGCGTACTTTTTCTCGTATTTTTTTTTTATAAAAGGTTTTATAGTTGACATAGTTTGAGAGTGAGATATAGACGGATCGCGATATTGCTTGGTAACCCTGGCCTTCACATCTTTACATGTATATCCGAAATTTCACTGCAATACGCTATCTCAAATAAAATATTTGGTGGTATGTATGATCTGTGAACGCGTCGGAATGGCAGAGTGCGAGGAGCGGCAGCTGACGTCGGGGCACATGACGACGCTGGCGGCGCTGGTGGCGGCCGTGCCCCACCTGCAGTGGGGGTGCGTGGCGGCCGTGCTGCGCGAGGGGCCGCTCTCGCTGGGGGCGCTGGCGGCCGCGGCGGCCCACGCGCTGCTGGCGCCGCGCCACCCCGCGCTCAAGCTGCTGGCCTTCGCGCTGCTCAACGCCCTCGCCGAGCGGAGGCTCCTCGCCGACGGTGAGCGGCCACTACCCTCCAAACAGTAGCAGCTTTAGTTTTTTATAATATGCCATAAATAGTATTTCTATCGTATAACAAACTAAATCAGTCGATCGCAATGGAACGGGATTGCGGTTACCTTCCACGTACGGTTATGTGTCTAGAATATTCGTGGGCTCTGATCGTGTTGAATTATTTTCCCTTAACACTTATTCTTTGTTGTTTGTTATCAATTTTGTAACATTGAGAGAACTGTGGCTGTGTGCAGCCGAGCTGCTGTCGCAGTGGAGCGCGAAGCAGGAGCAGGGGCAGGAGGGGGAGGGGGACGAGGAGGAGGGCGCGGACGGGGCCGGGGGGGAGGGGGAGGGCGAGAGCGAGACGGAGGGCGCCGCGCCCCCGCCCCTCTCGCTCACAATCTTCGAGGAGCCCCTCCAGCATCTGCAGGAGCTCGCCGACGCCGCACTCTCCGGAATCAGGTAGAAAGTCAGCCTAACTCGCATCTATCCTTAAAAAAACCAAATTGCTTTTGTATGCACGGATATACTGCATTGCAAGGAAAACAAACTTCAACTTAGTATCCCTAATTGCAACCACATTCATTTTACCAAAAATAGAAATATTATTAAATTTAATTATCACCTTTGTAACACTGTTTTGAAGAATATTTCTGTTGTTAGAGATTTAGGAATTTTGATTGACATTAAACTTTCACTTAACCAGCATATCGAGTCTATTATTAATAAAGCATATAAAATGTACGGTTTTGTAATGAGATCATCGACGGAGTTTAAGAGGCCACAAACATACCTTTATCTCTTTAAAACTCTTATACGCTCCCAACTTGAATATAATGTACCAATTTGGAATCCTTTTTACTACAAATATGTAAACGAGATTGAGAAGGTCCAACGAAAGTTTCTTCGCTCCATGCAATATAGATGTAAGAAATCCAATTTATCATGTTCACAATTATTAAACAACTATAAATTGCTATCACTTGAGGCAAGACGTACATATTTAGAAGCTAATGTGTTATATTGTATTGTGCACAACAATTTTGATTGCATTGATTTAACAAATAAGATTTGCTATGTAGTTCCTCGTACTACCCATAAACGAACAGTTCGCCCGGGCACTCTCTTTGCCATCAATACTTGCCGAACAAACTCAGGACTACGATGTCCTATACAACGTATGCTTAAATCACATAACTCCAATTTTGTTGATATTGATATATTTGAATGCTCTAAATCTAAGTATAAGAACCAAATAGTTTCCAAATTAAATAAGTTAAGCTATACTTTTTAATAATTATGTATTTTTGTATTCTTGAAGTGTTCCTTTTTTTTTTTTTTTTAATCTTTGTGCTATTTGTTATTGTTTTATTTATTTTTATTTTTGTAACGTATCTAGTAGCTTCCATTAAAATTATATTGTATGTTTAATACGTGGATAATGTAGTGGGCTGTAATATTATTACTACATCAACGCAACAGATCTGTTCATATCATATATTGTAGCTGTTTGTTATCCCCAATAAAATAAAGTAAAATAAAATAATGCTTGCAGTTGTCGATTTTATGTTCTGATTAAGGACGTAACAGGATTTGTTCGAAAGACTCACAGAATCGGTTTTGACTTGGTGATTTCTATGCACATGTGCCTGTTCGGGCAGCGCGTGCGAGGAGTCGTGCGAGCTGGTGCCGCTGTCGGACAGCCACCTGGTGGCGCTGGGCTATCTGATGCTCTCCGTGGCCGTCTACGAGCAGTGCGACCTGGCGCGAGGCGACCTGGTGCACCACTACATCGAGCACTTCAGGTCACCCGCGCTTGGAATATATATTAAGAGCTCATCAAGACTACATTTACATTTCGATATAATGGTATTCTCGCGTCTTCAGGAAGCACAAATACGCGGACTATCTGATGTCGATAAGCCTGCGCCTGCTGCCGGCCAAGATGCTGGAGTACGCTCTGGACGACACGGGCAGCACCCCGGTGCCCGCCGAGTACGCACAGCATTTCGTCACCACGCCCAACATCACCGTTGAAGGTTTTGTCACAGGGTTTTTATTTCAGTGATTTCACCCATGCGCTTAGATACTTATATTTGTACGCAGCCTTGCCTTCTACAGAAATTAACTGTGGTGAGGCCACGCACCAGTGTTCATTATTGCACGAATGGGCAAGTCCGTCCGGGTAAGTACCACGACCTTACGGAAGACTGGCGCAAAAGTAGAAGTTACACTTCTGCGTTTCGTTTGATGAGTGAGGTAGCCGGGGCTCACTTTATATAGAGGTGGCGATGGTATTTGCAACCCTACGGGTGTTGCAAATGTCCATGGGCGGCGATTATAATTTATCATCAGGTGAACCTACAGCTCGTTTGCCACTTTCTCACAAATCAATCTCAATAAAAAAAAAAAGAAATCACAGGATTTGTAGCCTCTTTTTTTGGTTTCACCATTATTCCCGTCTCACAGACATTCACCGTCACCACTCATTAAGACGGCCAACAATGTTTTGCAAATCAGCCTCTGTGAGAGCTGTCATGTATGTAAGATCGTTAGCGCCATAGTCCAGTGCTTCGGCGTTAAACGGCGAAGAGTGTCGGCGAGAGCGAGGCTCCCCGCGGGACGCCTCTCCTTCTATTTGACATTGGCACGCGGCAGGCGCGTGCGTGGCGTCGAGCGCGGGCGCGCTGGCGATGCGCGCGCTGTGGGCGGCGGTGGCGGGGCCGGGCGCGAGCGGCGCGCGCGGCTGGTGGGGCGCGCTGGGCGCGCGCAGGGCCAGGGCCGCGCGCCGCCTCGCGCAGGCCTTCGTCGCGCGCCCGCTCACGGCGCGCCACTTCGCGCACCTGCAGCGCCGCAGGCACCTGCTGCCCGACGCGCAGGTCCCGACGCCCTCGCACTTTACAAACTTACATGGATATTTCGAAGTAACCGTTTCATCAATTTTGCCATAAAGCTAGACTTTTATCTTATTATAAAATAAAGGAAGAAATTTCTACCCAAATAAAAAAAATATAGATCTCGATTAGTCGCCTAATAGATTAGGAAAGCTGTAAAAGTATTTTTAACAGAATAGAGGACTATGCATACTACAACAATTTTATCCAAACGGAACAATTAGACATATTAATATGAGAACAATTAGACTTCTAACCGAAATACTAGTGACCCAACGAAATATATTACCTAAAGAAGCGTATCATAAAAGAAATCGAACCGAGCCAAGCTTTTATGTACGACCGCCCTGTTCTTTGATGTCAAGAATAAGTTTCATAACTTCTTGCTTGTGCAGCTATACTAACTGCCTAATAGCGGGCGTTGGGCACGCCTCTCACCTTTCCTCCGACTCCCGCACGGGCAGGTGGCGGTGGCGCGCTCGGGGCCGGTGGGCGAGGCGCGCTGCGCCATCCAGGTGGAGGAGCGCACGCTGGAGCTGTGCGTGGTGTTCTCCGAGGCGCACCCGCTGGTGGCGCCGCGCGCGCTACCGCCCGCGCACCCCGCCGCGCCCGAGACGCACTGGCTCAACGTCTACCTCGCCTACCAGGTGCCCGTCCACCTGCGCTCGCGCACCTTCCCACTCTACTCACGAACTCGTCTGACCGCCGACTCGCCGCCCGCAGAACGGCAGCCTGGTGAACGCGTTCAAGATGTGGATCCGCGCGGTGCACGCGCGCATCGAGAGCGCGCCGCAGTGCTACATCTGCTACTGCCGGCTGCACCCGGCCAGCGGCAAGCTGCCCACCGTGCTCTGCCACCAGTGCCGCAACAAGTACCACCCGCCGTGCCTGGTGCGCTCCCCCATACTAACGTTTTCCTCAAAGAAGACTAATCCGGATAGACGCTTTAACCAACAAACTAAACGACTCATTGCCCCCGCGACAAAATCCCAACGTATTGTGTCAACTTTTACTGGTAGATGCATTGATAACCTTTTCAAAAGTGGGCCCCGGTACAATCTCAGCCACGGAATAATTAACATATTAACAATTTTACAATATTTTGCCATTTAGCATCATCTCTCAGCAGATTAACATTAATTACCTTTTTCTGCCCCAAATCAGTTATATATCTTTGCCCGCGTCCACAGCGCAAGTGGTTCGCCGCCAGCAACAAGTCCAACTGCCCGCTGTGCCGCTCGAGCTTCTAGCATCAGAAGTAGTGGCGACGCGGCCTGCCGCCCGCCACTTAGGCCCTGAAGCCTGACGAGCATCCTCGACCCAACATCCACCGAGTGCCAGTGCAAACTAACATTGACATCCCGTTGTGCAAATGCTCGTGAGAGTGTGAACTTTGCATCCCCTCTTATAGTATATACTATACTTGCTATTATACTCTCAACTAAAGTCCCGTCAACTAAGTTCCAGTCTTCAGTGAATCAATTAAATCTTTTCAGTGTAGTATAATGATAGTATGCAATATTTTGGACATTAATTTCTACTGTACTACACAATGTAATGATGTAAATAAATACATGTTATTGAATTGTAATATTTTTATTAACCATAAATAATGCATTATCAGGGCAGGAATAAATTTAATAAGTACAATTTATATAATAATGTTTTTTTCCTTTAAATAATAAATTATTTGAATTGGGAACACTTTTTTATTTGTCACATCAATTGTACATGGATTATTCGATAAAACATTAAAATTTACAATAAATTTATTAAATAAATTATTCAATAACAATTATCATTTTTCTTACAGATCCTCTCCTTGATGACTAGAAATATTAATTATTATTAATTATTTTGAGATCACAATACACTTAAAAAAAGCAAACCAATATTTTTCAATGGATATTATAAATATATCATACATATTGATAAATAACTTTACAAGCTCACTTTGCCTTCTTGTGGCCATTAAAGACCACTTGATTTAAAAATTTCAGTAATTTGATTTTAATATAAATGTTTTTGTTGAAATAATTATATTTATAATGATAAGTGATAGATTTTTACCTGGGTTTATAAGGCGGTTTGTTTATGTCATATTTACACAAAAATAAGAGTAACACATAATAAATATACAATTTAAAGTGCTATTTATACTTAAACCAAATTTTGGAATGATATGCCTCTTTCTAATCTTAACATGCAGCAGTAATATCAATCAGCATTCTAATGAGTCTGCATCTGTCGGTTGATCCAGTCTATGTCTTCGTAGAACCGTGGGTCGCTGACTCGCAAGGCGGCTCTTTTGTAGAAGAAGTAATACCACGGAGACACTAATAGTAAATTTGCATTATATTAATATATTATGATCATACTTGTTTAACTATCATAATATTAAAGAAATTTCTTTATCTTAATAGTTTAATGTACTGGGGGTATATTGTTGAAATGTAACTATCATGTGGCACCTTAAAATTAAGTAAGGAAGAGAAATTTAAATAATAATTGATTTTAATGCCATGTGCGTTTACTTCAATATACTTGAGCAACCAGTTCAAATTCTGGTGCCTGCAAAAGTGAAATTGAAATTTTTACATGAATTTTTTATTACTATTAAAGCACATACTCATCGGCAAGAGTGAACTTGCTCACTGAGACCAACCCGCATGTTTATGAAATAATTGTCTGTGCCTATAATCTTTAGTCAATTAATTATAACGAACTCCGCTATGCTTCAATTCATTAAGGAAATATTATTTTAACATTCTGTCAAAATAGTTCACCCCTGCCACACATTCAACTTTATAACGGTCAACATCGCACTCTCATCTATTTTTTTATATTGATTTCATTGTGAAGTTATTTCCAAATAAATACAAGATTATCCGGACACTGTTTGTATTTATGTCCAAACACATTTTGAAGGTATCAATCTTCTTGTCTTCTATTTATGCCATTCTATGAGACTGTGGCAATTTAAAATACTTAACTCACCATCCCAGATTTTTTTTTTTTTTCAAGTATGTAACTTGAAGTTGAGTTGAGCTTATGAATGACAAGTTAGACTTACAGCATCTTTGAAATGTGAACAACACTATCAACATTGGTGTAGAAACAGTTTCAGGATCTGACCACTTCTCAAGCAACCAAACTGCATGTAGGGTCACACTGGTTACCATGTACGCAGCAATTACGGAACCTGCTGCACGGAACTTTCGAATCAACACTTCCACTAGACCTGCCTGTAAATGAGATAATTATCTAGAATTGAATAAATTTTAATAATTTTATTTTCATGTCAAACGTTTTTGATGGATAACAAGTTTTCAAACAACTTTATGACCTTTCTGTTTGCCTTTTATGGCATTTAATAACCAATTATTGTCTTATACACAACATACAATAAAAAATATTTATCATGATAAACTTCAACACGAGCTAAATAAACTCCAATGTTACTGCCGATTTTTTTTTAATTCAAATAAAAGTATAAGTATGTAAATTATAACGTGAATATTTCTTCTATTAATCGCTTACCTGGAATAAATATGTAGAGAAAAACGTTATTAGCATCGTAGTAACCGAGAGTACTAAAAATAGGTCTTGAAATCTAGAAAACAATAAGTTTTCATTAATTTGCAATACATTCATAAAAAATTCATAACTTTGTTGTATACATACATAAACAATACCAATAAGCCATCTCGACTTTTAGGAAACAGGCTGATACAGTTAAATATTAAATCACAAAACATAAATGTTATTTGACTAAACAAACAAAACGTGTATCTTGGGGTTGATAATTTCATCTTGATACAAAAAGAATATAACCACTACGTTTACTACATATAAAATTATGAATGATATTGACGTATTGATTAATTTATGACATTACACCATATGATTGATAAAATGTCAAACAGTCAAAGGTTTCTTGAAAAAAATGTGAGCCTTGTTCTATATATTTTTTTTTCTATAAAACTTTTTACACAAAAAATATAAACTAATGTTAAATGTATGATAATACATTCAGAATAGTATATATGCGTTGTTTAGATAAACCAATGTTTATAAATTCATTAATTTATTTTGAAAATTTACAATAAAAAACATAATAAAAATAATATTAAAATGCAACGGTAAAAAAATCAATACAGAATACGTAATATTATAATGACGAATTTTGTTACGCTTTATGTAAAGGTTGAACTTGTCTATTGCAAATTTCCAAAACTACCAACACAATAAGATAAAAATAAAAATTAAATAACCTCAAAAAATATGAATACTGAACGAAATTATCTAATCATATAGTCTATATCGATAAATTAAAATATTTAATGCCGTAAAACATTATGGGAAACATTTAGTACGTGTAAAGATAGATCGATTATTTTTATTATATTTACAATTGACAGTTGTTTTCGCGGTATTAAAATGTGACTGCCGTCGAATTCATGTTAATCTGTTGACGTTTACACTTTTTACCGATAATTAATTATGAAACATAAGCATAATTGAAGTTTATTATAGGATTTGCATGGTAAGTTATTCGTGTGCGTATATTTTGCATTAAAAGTTAGCTGAAAATCTGTTTGCTAACAACTTCCGTCAAGACAGGAAAAGGAAGTGTGCGATGGTGATCGAAAATGTTATGGTGCCGATCTCTACATCCTTATCCTGTCTCACATACTCTTATTAACAATTTTAAAAATATATGATAAATGTTGAACTTCAGCGTAAACTTGCGATATTTAATGCGGCGATTGTCGTAATTTATCACGTTAAATCCTTAATAATCCCTCAATTGGGCGATTCTTTCATTAAAAGGATTTTGTGTAATTTTATTGAGTTTGAAATTTTATTACATTGATATAAAACATTCAAATGTAATATCGCGGCTTTTTATATTAATAAAACAAATGATGAACTCTTATTTCTTCCCTTTGGGGTACAGCAGCAATATAAATATAGTTAGTAAAAATATATTTGTGTGACATATAACTTTCTGAAAGTTTTTTTTTTTATAAATATACTGTTAGTTAAGGATTAGAATCAATATTTTTATATTATTCATATTGAAATAAGTATTGCTTATGTAAATTTTAATTGCAGCAAACTATAAAACACTCATGCAAATTTTGATATACCTATGCACTTTATATAGGTTTTCAATTTTGTAGTTAGTTATTAATATAGTAATAAAAAAAATCAATATCTTAGCTCAGTTTAATATACTTATTTTAATTTTCAAGAAGTGCCATTAAGCACTTCTTGTAAATTAAAATAAGTACAGAAATATGTATTTTTTCTTTTAATATTAATGTTCTTAAATTTATTGCTCAATAAAATATTCATAAGAATAAACTACTTCGGACGTCTTTTACAAAATCAAATATTACATACCTAGAATAATGTTCAAAAATAAGTTAAATAGGCATTATATCTGGTTTGCTTTCTGAGCCTTACACTTTTCAAATCTCAGTATGGAGGATACATTTGCCCGGCAGGTGGATATAAATGTTTTAACTTAGTTCCTCGGTCAGAATTTGAACCATATTTTTCCTGCTGTTTGATATATCACATCATTATACTCAAATAGAAAAAGAAAATTATTTATTACAAAATTAATGTTTCAGCGGGCCCAAGATGACAACAGATCTGTGCATAGATGATGTTGTTGTACAAATTGCATCACCACAAGTTTTATCGGTAAGATAATGGTTGAACCTGGCCATATTTTCTCTGATGTTTATGTATTTATTTTGCCTATATTTAATTAGATAATTGAAATTCTTTTTAGAGAATTCTTTTCAATTTCTTTAAAAATCAATGGTGTTCAATTAAATACTAAAATAAGTTGCCTTAAATATTATTGGTACTGGACTACTACTACTACTAAGAGTTGTATATTTTCGTCTTAGAAGTATTTAAAACGAGTTATAATATTCGGGAAAACAGTTTGTATGGATTTGTGACATTGACTTGACTGCGTTTTTAGATCTTTCACTTAAGACTACATTTGTTTAGCTATTCATACATATGGGGCATGTGTAGATTAGCTGCATTTAAAGTTTATTAAATCTTGGTGAAATGCGCGGATAGATATGAAAACTGTTCATATCCCAAAATAACATATTTTAACTTTTTGATTTGAATAGTACGAAGTATTAGTTTTAAAAAGTTATCAACACATGTGGCAGCGTTGTCCATTATTGAAATGTAAATGTGTGCAGGCGGATAGTGTGGCGGGCGCGGGGGCGGGGGCGGGGGCGCGCGTGGCGAGTGCGGGGGGCGCGGAGTTGGGGCGGCGCCTGCTGCTGGCCGCGCGCGCAGGGGACACGCACGCCGTGCTCGACCTCATGGCCAAAGGGGCGCCCTTCACCACCGACTGGGTACTAAAGTAGAGCCACACTCGATTTTGACAACCCTAAACGGCGAAAACCTTTTCGGCTTTGTTTTAGGTGATTGACTTTTTTAATTTAAAGTTTTGATTCGGTGTGAACTTGTACCTTATGTATTACTTCTAGTCATTACTTTTCCATAACTTAATGAAGTGTTTTGAGTTACGATTTCGGGATTGAAATGAAACGCAGGTTATTTAATGTTCATTTTATTACTCGCTAGTATTTAAGTCTCGCCTGGCGGCGGCCCACTTGGTACTGCTCAAATCCTCATTTAATTCAAATTTAAAAAGTCAATGCCATTCATTGGTGCGTCCTATTATGGCTCCATTTAGGCGTCTTCGAGCACCTCACCTTCACGAACGCTTCTACAGGTGCCACGGCCCGTACGTTGCCGCACCGATCTTAACGTCTTTACGCGACTTGTAACTTCACATCTTCACTTTCCCGTTCTTCTTCCTGTTCGAGTTGCTCCACTGATCCCACCTAGCCAGCCAACGGACGCCGTCGAATAATGGCCGGTGCGCGGCGTGTTCGCAGCTGGGCACGTCGCCGCTGCACCTGGCGGCGGCGAACGCGCACGCGGACACGTGCGCGGTGCTGCTGCGCGCGGGCGTGTCGCGGGACGCGCGCACCAAAGTGGAGCGCACGCCGCTGCACCTGGCGGCGCACGCGGGCCACGCGCGCGTCGTGCGCCTGCTGCTCGAGCACGGCGCCGACGCGGCCGCGCGCGACATGCTGCGCATGACGCCGCTGCACTGGGCGGCCGCGCGCGGGCACGAGGCGGCGGCGCGCGAGCTGCTGCGCCGCGGCGCCGACCCGCGCGCGCGCTGCAAGTTCCGCAAGACGCCGCGCTGCCTGGCGGCGCGCGCACACGCGCCCGCGCTCGTGCGGCTGCTCGACGACGCGCTGGCCCGCGCCGACCCCGGTGAGTGCCGCTCCCCCTCCGCTCCTCCGCTCCTCCGCTCCTTCGCGCCTCTGCAACAGGAAACAGCGGGAGACTGTCCTCTCCTCCGTTTTCCAGGGGTACAACACATCGACCCGATCGGAGTGAAACAGCTGCTGGACAAGAACATCAAAGTGGATACGAAGACAGAGGTGCGTTCGATTTTTCTTATTTAATTACGTATATATATTAGTTAGGTGCATTAGCATTAGCGTCTATTAATATTCTCCACTGATGCTCGAGACGTGCGGACTAACTAGCAGTTGTCGCGCGGCAGGTGCGGGGCGGCGGCGGCGGCGGGGCGGGGGGCGCGGAGGCGCTGCTGCGGCGGCACGGCATCACGCTGCTGCCCACCGACGACGGCAGCACCGTGCTGAGCGCGCTGCAGAGCGGCCGCACCGTCGTGCTCTCCGGTCGGTCGCAGGCATAAGTTACGGGCGCAGGCGGCGAGGACCCGACCGGCTAACCCGTCTCAGCTCGTGTACGCGCAGATGCCGGTAAACTCATGCTGAAGGAGAGCGGGTCGTCCAACTCGTCGGCTGGGTCCACCCCCAAGGCGGGGGCTGCCGGTGGCGGGGCGGGGGGCGTCGGCGGCGGAGGGGGCGTCGGCGGCGGAGGGGGCGTCGGCGGCGGAGGGGGCGTCGGCGGAGGTGGGGGCGGAGGAGGCGCGGTGTTGAGCGCCAAGGCAGTCAAGTCTCCACCGCGCGCTGTAAAGTTGTATACGCTCAACAACTTGACAGGTCTGGGGGGCCTGCCAGCCACACCGATCAGAAAACTCATCAACCCACAGGACTTGCAGGTTTTTATTTCAGTCTTTTTTTTCCTGTTTTGGAGTCTTTTGAACGGAATTCAACAGTTAATTCCCCAAAACCTATCTGAAGATTTCAAGATATTTTTATGTTACATAAATAAGCTTATTTATGATCGCGAATGATACCACTTGCTCAGTTGGCTAACGGGACGTTTGCAGCAAATGAAAATTGTGCAGTTGTCGTCCGATGCAAAGATGCTATCGCCTTCAAAAATGGTGCCCCTTAAGGCCAAGAAGAAGGTGACACAACGGCCTCCCGTTAAGATCCTGATGAACAAAAGCAACTTCGAGAAACTCATAGCCTCGGCCAACAAGACCACGATCGTGAAGAACGGTGTCGAGGTGCGTACCACTTGCTTGTGTAATTGGTAACACGAGATTTAATCTATAGTACACTATTAGTACTGCCATTCACCAAGAGTCTCTGCTAAAATAAATATGCTACGGAAAGTTACATAACAACTTCTGCTGCACAAATGGGCCACGGCCTGATTGCAAACAGGAGTAAAGTAAAATATCCAGTCGCTGTTGGCAATATGCCTACAAAATCACTCGCTAACAGTCGAACCACTAACTCAAATGCCATCACTTGGAAAGAATTTTCAGCAGACGGAGGGGGCGTGCGAGGCGAGGGCGGGCGGTCCGGAGGGCGAGGCGGGTGCGGGGGCGATGGCGATGGCGGGGGCGGGTGCGATGGCGGGGGCGGGGGCGATGGCGGGGGGCGAGGCGTGCGCGTGCTCGTGCGGGTGCGGGTGCGCGTCGCGGCTGGCCACGGCGCAGCGCGCCCTGCAGCGGCTGGCGGCCGAGCTGAGGGCGGCGCGCGCCCGCCTCGCCAAGTACGAGCCCCACTGACCCCGCGCGACGTGAACGCCCCAATGCTCCCCGTGGGATCGGACCGCCAAGTTTATCACTGACGCTATAATTATGTACCACTACTGGGAAAGCCAAGCTATATTGCAATCCAGCAATCGAACTCAAACACCAACCTTGTACCGTTATAAATGTTAGTCACAAGAATTAAGTAGCTCGGATATCGGATGAGAGTGACAGAAAGTTGTAAAGGCATACCCTTCTTGTTTGTCGAAATAAGGGGGGAATTTGTAGTACCTTGCGAATTTTATAGAGCGCACACATGTTCGAATTTATACCGAAGATGTTGATTGAGATGACGCCTGACTTGCATCAAGTATAAGTGATAGAAAAGTACAATGTACTTTGTGACAGCATGAGAATGTTAAACAATACTAAGCTGGCAATTCTACTCTGAATTTAATATCAAGAAGAAAATTAGATTCATTAAGGTCTTGGTACAACTTAAAATAATATTTACAATACAGAAATATTTTTTTATCTATCATAAGCTAATATGTAAGTATATAAAATTTAGAACTTGTAGAAAAATCTTTACACAAGCTTGTGTTGTTTAACCATCTTATGTTAGTACTCTGCTGAGCGAGGGAAAATTATATATTACTTTTTTATTTTTGTATAAATGAAACTTTCATTCTTTATGTTATTTGTACATAATAAAAATTGTTGAATTAAGATAATTATTTCATTATACTCTAAATAAACTTTTCATTACTATAATTAAAAAAATAGGTTGGAAAATTTACTTGATTATGTAGATCTTCTTACTAAAGTTATCCCATTATACAGATATAGCAGACTAATGCCCATTTGACAGATGATTAGTTAACCACTACGATGGTCAGTGTTTCACTATGGGGCGTAAATGTTTAGTAGAACATTATCTTTGATAAGAATTTTTTTATAAATAAGTTGATTAAGCTTATTCATTTAAACCACTCAAAATTCTTTGAAAATTAAATTATTAGGAATTTAAATAAAAATAATGGTTTCAATTTGATAGCCTGAGCTATAATTATAATTTTACAAAAGATGTGATACATTTTATAGTTACTATTATGTTGTGTAATTTACATTCAAAATGCCACAGACGGAAGATTATCTCAAATATTTTAATATGACAGTATTTTTCCATTTCTAGTTTTTTATGGAATTTATACAATAAATGAGATTATCAACTATTAAGAGAACATAGAGTAATACTAGTATAAATGTATTGAGTTTACAGTATAGATTTTTTTATCTGCTGTAATGATTTATTAACACTAAATTATATTATTTAAGTATTTCTCACATAAAGAATTAACCTTTTTGTGAGGTTAAATTTTCGAGATATTTTTATCAAATTGATGACCTAAAATGTCTCTTATGTTCAGTTACCATTGATTACTAAGAGAAATAAATAAATTGATAATTATTTCTTACATTTACGAGATATAACACATTTCCATAACTAGATTAGTTTGAATTATTATTTGATACAGCAGGAACAACCATAGCTGTTATTTTTTAAAGTTGTTTAATTCAATAGTGCATCTCCATTTTGCTGTCATTGCACACCCCCGAAATGGGTTAGAAAAGAATGTTAATTAAAGTATAAATAAACATCCAGTCACTACAAAGATACAACACGATCAAATTGGTTAAATAGATCAGCGCTATGCAATGGTTGGTAAGTGGTGGTGGTGGGTGGTGGTGGGTGGTGGTGGCGGTGATGGCGGTCAGTGGTCGTCCCTGCGCTGCGCCCTGGCCTGCAGCACGCCGCGGAACTGCGCCAGGATGGCGTTCTCGCGCTTCGCCCGCTCCTCCTTGCTGAAGGCGGCCAGCGCGCGCTTCTCGTCCGCCGAGTAGATCTGGTTCTCCTTGCGGATGCGCACCGCCTCCATCCGCCGGTGCCTATCGAAATGAAACACGCACTAGTCATACCACGACGCTTCCTGTGCCACTTCGTTTGATATTAAAGTAAAGAAATTTGTGAATGCCCAAATCAATACTAGGAGTTGCTGACTGGAAGGCCTGAAGTTGGCAACCAAGGAAGCCAGAGTCAGTCTTAGCTCTACACCGACTGTCAACTTCATTAGGGCTGTTGGTTTTAAGAAGGCTAAACTCGAAGGGATGATTACTGTCATGTTCCATATTGTGTAATTTGAAATGAGGATACTTTTTACTTTGTATTCCAATAAAGTTAAATAACTGAAGGTCGTAGAAGAAGTGAGCGACAATTGATGTGTTCTATGAAGCTATCTAGCTAATTACATCATAGTACACCCGGTTGTTAAGTGACAGTCACTGCCCATTGACATTTGCAAACCCATAAGGTTGCAGATGAGTTGACACCTAACAATAAAGTGGGCTCCGGCTACCTCACTCACCAGACGAAAGGCAGAAGTGTAACACTTCCATTTCACGGCAGCATTCCGTGAGGTCGTAGTACTTCCCCGGACAGTTCACAACCCACCCAATCGTTCAACAGCGAACGCATGTTTTATCATTCTTCTGGCCATAATGAGTCGAATAGATGTTCTGGGTCCGTTCCACTGCAATGGAAAGAGAGGGATGGGCCAGACCTGCTGCCGCTCATGACGTAGCCGACCGCCTCGTAGGAGGCGATCTCGTCGGAGGTGAGGCCGATCTCGCCCCTGCGCGGGATGCGCTTGCCCTCGGCCACGAAGGCGGCCATGGCGGCGCCCTCGCCCGGCAGCAGCGCGCGCCCGAAGTCGCGCGGGCCCAGCGCCGCGCCCGCCCGCGGCTCCGGCCCCACCGCCCCGCCCGCCGCCTCCGCCCCCGCCTCCGCCCCCGCCTCCGCTCCCGCCTCCGCCCCTATTGATGTACACTCACTTCCTTTCTCAACCCAGACTTCTTCCTCACTGCTTGAACTAGACCCACTGCTGGAACCCTTTGATTTCTTTTTCTTCGCTTTTTTTCTTGCTTTTTTCACTTTTTTAAGCTTCTTTTTCAGCTTTTTCAATTTTTGTTTTGTCCTCTCCTCCTTGTCCTTAGACTTTTTGGATTTTTTCTTTTCCTTACTTTTTTCACTATCGTTTGGTTGTGATGGTTCTTCATCGGAACTGTAAATGTACAATTATCACAATGAGGTATAAAAAATTAGAATATTTTGATAGAATATTATAAGAACTATACTTGATGAGAACTTAAAACAAAAAAATATAGTGTCAAAGATCTAGGTATAATTATAGATGATTAGTTGAAGTTTCTACTCCATATTGACAATTTAATGAAAAAAGTTCAAAGATGTTAGGGTTTGTCATCAGAAATGCTAAGCGATTTAGGGTTATTAAAATGAAAAAGATTTTAAAGTATGGTTCGTAGTTCAATAGAATACTGTAGTGTAGTGTGGCGCCCACACTTGGCCACTCATAGCCTTAAATGAACATATACAGAAAAGGTTTGTAAGACTATGTTACTCTGAGGGTATAACCTACCAAACCATGTCTTACTTTGTTGTCTTATTTTGTTTACATATAAGCATACTTCGTAACAATATTGACTGCCCGCAAACTCCATGCTCTTTTTTCTACTGTATACCTCGCAAGTATCCCCGCAAAGCTATCACCAAATTAAATGCACTTATTTGGGAAAAAAACTCACCCATGTCTTTTCTGTCTAATTTAATATATGCACTACAACCGTTGACATTCATTTTGACTACTTAAAAATATTTTGGAGTAAAATAAATAAATTTCTTAAAATAAGAAGCTCTTCAAATTTATTGTAATGCTAAGATTTAAGTTATTTGTACTTTGATGTTGTCGTGTAAACTAACATTACTCATTTAAAACCATACCATGGACCACTTCATTTTCTTTCATAGATTTTAATCTTTTTTTCTCTTTGCCCTAGAAATATTATGTTTTATTAAGTATTAAGGGAACCAAACAATATTTTTTAGTACTTTTCTATTTACTTTTATTATTTTGTTTTCAATTTTAAGCTGTGCATGTGTTTGCCTCTTAATTAGATGTACATTAAGCTATAACATTAATTCATGTTTCATATAATATTATTTTTAATGTCATAACTACGGCTGAACTAATAAATAAATAAATTGCTTAGACAAAATGGTACAAAAATAATTGTTATTTTACAGTACCGATATGCATTTTTAATTAAACTGTTACTAACAGTTTACTATTTGATAAGGGAAAACTAACAAATAGGAACACCTGCAAGATCAGAGCATGCGCAAATGCCTTCAATTACAGGCTAAAATTCAAAATGGCATTGTTTACTTACTTTAAACTGTTTATGATTCTAAAAGATTTAGTGGGCCTATTTTATACTAATTTTGATTATGGTAAAACCATTCTTACCAAACTGGTTATAAATGACTCTAAATTTATCAATAACAACTTTAAATATTAATTAAATTTGCAACAAATGTATAAAAAAAACTGACTCTGGTCTTAATGGTGATTTTCCCCAAACTGAAGAGACTCCAACTTGTCCAATCCTTTCTCTTTCTTCCCTTCTAGCATCAAAGAACTCTTCCTCTTGGGGTTTATAACGTCCTCTCGGACCTGGTGCTCCACTCCCTAGTCCTACAAAATAATAAACAATTTTATCAAGCAGAAATGTACTAAATGCTTTTATAAAATCTCAAGTATGGTAGGGAGTAAATATTATTTAAAGCAAAAAATAAACCATTTTAATAACATCTTTTCTGGTAAAAGTGATCTAAATATAGGATGATAAGAGTTAAGCTTGTATCATGTAAAAACCTACCTCCACCAAGACCACCACCATTAAACTCCCTGTATGAGCTACGTTCGCGATCGCGACTTGGCGGTATCTGTGATCTTTCTCTTGCCGTAATGGGTTCCCTTTCTCTAGTAGCCTCTCTTCGACGGTCCACTTTCGGCTCCGCGTGTCCGTCTTTACTGCGGCCTCTGCGCCGGTCTTTACTGTGTTCCGCTCGCGGCTCCGATGCCTGCTGACACTGCGCCGTCTATCGCGACTATGGCTCCTATGCCTGTTACGACTGCGACTTCGGCTGCGACGGCGGCTGCGGTCACGGTCGCTCCCCATTTTGATAAACACACTATCACACTATGTCAATAAGCTTATGGAAAATAAATGCTAAGACTTTACTGTTCTACCAAATTTAACATTCTCTCTGAATATAAGGTTTCATTTCCAACCAAACAAAATGTTTATTAACATTTAAACACCAAGTCAACTTTGACACTGACAAACCAAAGTGATGCGTTTGACATTTGTTCATTGATTGATGTTCAGTTTTCTGTTGCCATACTATCATCATATCCAATTAATTTAATTAAAAATAAAATATTAGTAACTGGACGACCAGCCTACGTTTCTTTTCTGAAGTTTTATTTGGTTTGAAGTTTTTGCTAACGTTACTTGATTAGGTCATTTGGATTCGAATTTTTTTCCGAGCTATGTCCGTAGACGTCTACAAATGTGATATAGACGTAGACGTTTCCGTCTATGGCTATATCACATTTGTAGCGTCATCTCACTAAGTTATAAGGTATTAGAGCCAACATCCAGTTATATCAAAAACTTGGAACTATGGAACTATTACCCGCAATAGTAGTAGCAGCAGTTTTTTTTACACGAAACTGATCAGTGCTTGACTGCCATCTCACCTGATGGTAAGTGGCGATGCAACCGTAGATGGTAAGTGCGTAAGCTCAGTAAAAGCCTATTCATTCTTGTCTTGAATACGCCTACGTTATAAACCGAAAGAAAGAAAAGAAAAAGAGAAATGCTTATTTAGTACCCTACATAAATAAATGAAAATTGTTTACAATAAAAAGAAATTCAATTAAAATTAACCAAATAGGTTTCACTCAGCATGATTTAATGGAGTTATTAAACTTCTTAAACACTGATTTGCAGTGGAACCGTGCATGGACGCCGGCAAGTCGTTCCATACATTAGCTGTACGGATGATGAATGACGAAGCGTATTGCTTCGTTTTTGCGCGTGGAACATCGACAGCAAAAGGGTGGAGCCCCGTTGAATGTCGAGCGCTCCCCCTCTTTCGAATCCGAGGTTCAACCCGAGTATTGATTAGTATATTTTAAATTGCTTCTTAATATGGTTTTTTATAATTTTGGACATATTCGAGACATGCAGGGGGCAATTTTAATAACTAGTTATATGCTAGATGTTACCCTTCATCGAGCACTTTTCAATTGCATTGATGCTGGCGCCAGGACATGAAATCGAGTTGCTCGACTATACGGAATTACAAGGAAGCGCTCGGATATCGAGCCACCGTGGCTACTATTAATCATTACATTTATGGGGAAACGGTTATAAGAAAGAAAATATTTCTGATCTAATTAACAGATCCTTGCATGTCACATATTCGTTCTATGAATGAAACACGTTTTTATAAATCGTTCTAATTTAAAAGATATTATACTATAATATATATAATATAAAGTGTATTTGAAATAAGTTTTGACTCTAAAACTAGTTGTTTGACGTACTATTCACATAGAGCTGTTTCCGAGTACTTGCAAAACGTACGAATACCCTCAGGGCGCAAAAATTAATTTTAACACACGCTTTAAGAATACATTTAAATAAGTTGTGATTACACAAAATGTTCATAAACGTTAAATTTTATTTTACTAAAATTTAAACGCAAGATGCTTGCCAAGGCTTCGTGGACTTCTTCGTCTCGTTTTCCTTAAATGTATTTCCACCCTCTTCGAAGGAATACCCGTCGTGCCCACTTCATTTTGTTACCGATGTAATAAATTCGGGAATTTATTACATATATAACATGGGGATGTTCGTCGAGGGAACTTGATAGTATTGTAGTGGATTGGAAAAGGATACGTGTCAATCACACGTTTTATCAACACCTAGATTTGTATTCGTAGATCATCAGTATAATAAGAATTACGACAGAATTTAAAAAACTTTTAGAGTTATAATATATTTTTTTTAGTTTTATTCGGAAACTTCACAGCATACAATAATCACATAACAAAATACAATTCACAAAAATATTTAGCCATTTAGGAAGTTACAACAATTTACATTTTAGTTTATATATCATGCAATAATACGTTCAATAATTTAGGTACATTGCGTATAGATAATTATCAATTTTATTGTAATTATATTTACTTATTCCTTCACTGTTAATATTACGTAAGCCTGTAATGAGACGATCTATTTTTCCAAACAGCTGCCGATGTAAATACCGCTCGGAACGAAGTTGTTTTGTCGTTAACTAAATATAATAATAATGCATATATTATACCATTCCCTTCCTTGTTTTGCAATAAGGAGTAAGGAATGCGGAAGCAATCAGGACTACTCGTCAGCCGTTGTGGCGCAAATTATGACATACCGGGGGTTCCGTCGACAACGGAGACCGCGCGTTAGACATCCAAAGGATGTTGTGGAGGATATACATCGGTGGTAGTTATTTACAAATAGGTAAATCTCCTCGTTTGCCATTGTATAGAGAATAAAATAAAATAGCAGTATTTTGCCTTTTCTTTGTTATTAGGGTGTTAGTGTGATATTTTTCTTTAATTAATGTTTTTCATCCTAAATATTGCTCTTTGTTATAGGAATGTTAAGGGAATCGTTCCTTTACATATTCTTTTTCGTGATGGCTCTTAGTTTCCTGCGATTTCACCCGTAGGAATTTCGAAAATAATTCGAAGATTTCACTGATGTCTCAAAATTCAAAATTCCTAATCATGAAAGATTACAGGGCTTTTACAATAAGAATCATTTCAAGATTCCCTTTTTTCATAATTTATAATTGGATTATTTTGGAGAGAATTATTATACTATACAATGATATGTTAATAGTATAACAACAAAACAATACAATGGAAGTAATTTTACTTTTCCACAGAATTTTCTTCGAAACTAAACAAAACTTTTCATTTTAAATATTTATATTGTAACGTCAAAAAATCTTTATTTGCAAGAGGTAAAATGAATGTAGTAAGTTCTGTTTCTAGCCTCCTTTACTGAGTTGAAATGAGTAGTTTTATGAAACTATTTATTAGTTATTACATTATGATTCTATTAATGCTATAATTAGGCGCCTAAACTGTGAGAATGTACGACACGTGTTAGTCACCAAGAGGAACGCTACATCAACTAGGAAAATAAGAGATATCTTTTCGTTTTCCTGTTCGATAACAACGTAAGTACTTATTAAAGCAATTAGGATTATACCCCTAATGAGTTACGCTTATCACCCACACTAACGAGATGGTATCAGATGATCATGTGCTCGATCACTAATTACTATCTGAGACTATTTCTTACACTGTCCATTCGAACCATTCGATTTTCATTAGTCAATCGGTAGAGGCGGATTAATTGATGCCAATCTACATTGAAGTTAATTAAGTAAGAACACTGTCTGATTGTAATAAATTTTAGCAATTTCTCAGAACTTTTTTTTTTTTATTTAATTAGGATTGTAAACTGAACATTACACTCACATTACAGAATAATGGACACAGATAAAGTTGATACGGAACTAAACCACAAGTGAATGTTCTTCTGTGAGCGAACACAACATGCACAAAAAACAGTCTCAACAATAAATAATTGTACAATGAAATAAAAAAAATAACTTTTCAAACGAAATAAAAAATGAAAAGCAAAAGAAATTAAAGCTAAATTAAAAATGATAGATAAAACAACATTTAAACTTAACTTTAAATTACAACTAATTCAAAACTATTGTAATATATTTTAAATTATAGTTTAGCCCTTACATATTTTTTAATGTTACTACACCGTACACTAAATATATCGAAATCCTGGCATATAGCATTGTAGCTCGAACACAGCCGGTACAAAGGAGAGTGCTGACCGTAACGGGTGCGTCGGAATGGTAGCACAAACACATTTCGCCTCTGCAAACGGACACCATGTCGTGGCAGACTGAGATTTAATTTCTCGAGAAGATCTGTACAGTAATACAATGTCAACTACTTCGCGTCTACCAGCAAGTGAGTTCATTTTATAATGTTGCAGACGAGAGTTGTAAGAATTCAATGTTAGGCAGCGATTACTAGCGTATGTCAGATGGTACAAGAACTGTTTTTTTTTAGATTTTAACAAAACACTGCCCTTACTTTAGGATAACACTATCCTGTGTTGTAAGGACGTTTTACAAACATAAATTTCACGTGGACAAACACCCAGATGCGAAACAACTATCTGTGGGTCGCACAAATAGTTGTCCCGTGTGGGAATCGAACCCACGACCCCCCACGCCGAAGCCAATACCTTGGAAACTGCGCCACGGAGTCATCGAAAGTTTTTGAATCCTTTCAATACTTTCAATGTGAATTCCAAAAGATGGGCTCCATACAGGACTGCAGTACTCCAGTAAGGATCGGACGTAGCAGTTGAAGAGGGCAACAGAAATGTTTTTGTTTGCCTTATCACAAAGCCTGCTAGTTTCGCCCCCTTTTTAGTAATGTGGTCTATATGCTCGCGAAAATCTAACTTTTGATCCACAATAACTCCTAAATCACGCGTACTCGTGACCTCGTTTAATGGAATGTTGTTTATTACATATGTTGCGTTGCATGGGTCGCGTTTACGCGTTTTTCGATGTAAGATATAGTAAAAGACGCATTACAAAAACGATTTCAAAAAACCGGCCAAGTGCGTGTGGGACTCGCGCTCGACTGGTTCCATACAATTATCTATGAAAACGGAAAAAAAATCATGTCTGTTGTATGGGAACCCACTTAAATATTTTTTTATTCTGTTTTAGTATTTGTTGTTATAGCGGATACAGAAATACGTCATCTGTGAAAATTTCGACTGTCTAACTATGGCGGTCCATGAAATACAGCCTAGTGACAACGGACAGATAGACAGATAGATAGCGGAGTTTTAGTAGTTAGGGTCCCGTTTTACCCTTTGCGTACGGAAGCCTAAAAATAGAAGAAAATATTTTGTCTCATTTGGATATCTCAACGGCCACAGTTTTCATCACGGTCTTTCGTAAGGTTCTTTTTTCGAAGGCTTATTATTTCTTGTCCCATATTCGAGAATAGCTTTCAATTCATCAGCAGACGAGAATAATGAGAGCAGTTGGCGAACACATGATTGCTTTCACGAGGAGAACAAAACAAAAAGAACCAACACAGCTCTGCAACTGCACTTAAATTATATTGGAACACGAAAAAAAAAATGATTGGTTTGTAGGAAATCGATTAGTAGCCATTTGTAGTACTTTTATAAAAATATATATGTTTTGCTTTTCAAAATTTGTCAGTATGTATGTCGAAAAGATGATACAATTGCCTTGGTTAGACTATTTGGAAACTCCAATGTTATACAAATATTGAAGAGAAGGTCATAAATGTCCGCCCAATTGATAATATAAGTATATGTATAGAACACTTCTAAAACTGTTTATCGGAATATCTAAATTTTTAGATATACGATGATTGGAATTATATTAATTCATCTTATGGTTGGAAAAAAATACATAGCTATTACTATTTTATTTAAATAGGATTTTAATAGCAAAGTGATCTCTAGTTTTCGAATATTTCATTGTAAAATGTCACAAAAAGTGTTTACTGTAAAGGAAACACACTAGATGACATGAAGCATTGCAATGTAATCTAAACAAAGTAAATAAATAAGTTGAGAGTTTCCAGGGAGATATAGCGTATAGTGTTACTCAGGGGCTAAAGTGTCGCTCGTGTAACCCGGAGGGTAAAGTTCAAATCCTCTCGACGATGAAAAAGTTTTCGTCCATTTTTCTACAAATTTAGTTTTTTTTTTTAAATTCACCCACAAACCAGTGAAATAGAAGTCTTCGTATTTCATATAGAAGCTGAAATATAAATCCATTTTCTGAATTAACATCATAAAAAACGTAATTTGCATTTGAGGGCTGTTAAATATTTATAACCGAGGGGTTATAAATATACAGGAGATGATATCGGAAATTTTGTTTTGACCTATATTCCATCCCGTAATCCATACTGATGGGGTCTAGTTATGAAATCTGCACAATCCATATAAGTAATATGGATTGTGCAGATTTCTTGTTACATTTTTTTTAAGGGTGACTATACCTAATACAAAAATAATTATTGAAAAGATATTAATACCAATAAAAAGGCAAGACAAAGAATACAACGAGAATACATTATTATTATTTTACTTCACTCTACTTATTTCGCTAAAACCATTTTAAATTCTATGCGGTAACTGGACGCGATGAGCACAAGATCGAGGCATTTGATTACTAGGAGAAGCGTCCAACGAACAACAGAGGCTGATGATGATGATGGTGATATAACATTTATACTTTCAATATTTAACGGTGGTAGAGCCACGCAGCAGCCTCGGCTGTTGCACGAATGGGCAGGCTCGTCCGGATAAGTACCACGACCTCACAGAAGACCGGCGTAAAGTGGAAGTATAATACTTTCGCGTTTCGTCTGGTGAGTGTGGTGGCCGGAGCCCAATTTTCAAAAGGTTGTCCAACGCATCTGCAATCCTCGGGTGTAGCAGATGTCCATGGGCGGCGGTACTCACTTACCATCAGGTGAACCGCCTGCTCGCTTGGCAACTTTTCACATTAAAAAAAAAAATCACACACAACTGAGACGAATATTCCCTCAAAATGTTGCGGTTGTAGAGCGTAATCTAAAGGCATACTAACATACTCTCGTATAACATCTAACAAAACCCGATAATAAAAAAATAAGTAGATAGAGAAAAAATTTAAACACAAGAACTGTCACCGAAAAACATATTAACTGTTTTTGTTATTTGACATGCCGTATCAAAAATAAGTCAATGTTGATTTCGGAAGGTGTTAAGTTAAGCTACAAGCACATATAAATTTAGTATTTTATAGTAGCGGAATAACTTAGATTCCCAGTCAGATGAATATTTTATTGCCACGGATTGCCCAGCGACAGGAAATGAAACAAAACCGAGCGCTACTAATATCCTAACGTCTGCAGTAGCTTCGGTATCATCGCAAATATTCCTATTAAATTCTAAAGTTTAATTAAACTTCAGGTCGATCTTAACGCGTTGTAGCTAACGATAACAAACACTCTACATAGTGTTTTAAAAGTCCTTCTCTAAAAAACTTGTGCCTTATAATGGGAGCAATTAGTAGAGCCATTCATAATACAGGTAAATTGGCCATTCACCTACTGTTCCGGTTCTTTTTGAGGTTCCGTAACCAAATGGTAAAACAGGACACTATTACTAAGACTCCGCTGTCTGTCTGTCTGTCTGCCCGTCTGTCACCAGGCTGTATCTTATGAACCACGATATGTATTTCTGTTGCCGCTATAAAAACATATACTAAAAACAGAATAAAAATTATATTTAAGCGGGCTCTCATACAACAGATATGATTTTTTGCCGGTTTTATAGATAATGGTA